ACCCTCCCCTCACAGAGCTCCCTGACTCCATATGGTGCCACTTCACCGTTGGGTACTGCAAATATCTAGTGGGCAGCATTTATCGATCACCTTCATGTGGAGCAGACCACAACCAGGTACTGCTAAATACAATCTCAGCAACTCAAGACATGGGTTATGATCAAATTGTCATAGCTGGTGACTTCAATGCCCCATCTCTTAACTTGGTGTCGGGAAAAGCCCATGATAGATTTGATCGAAATCTGCTGCATACCATCAGGAAGGCTGGATTCACTGAAAATGTCAAGATGGATACTAGATGGGGCCCTGATGGGAAGTCTTCTAGACTGGATTACGTGCTCACTAGTGACCAGCTACTAGTGGAAAACGTTCAGATCACGACTCCCATAGGTAGTAGTGACCACGCGGTCATAGTATTCGACATAGTCCTCCGCGAGCGCTTACAGTGGGACAATACACAGCCCTATCTGTGTTATAACAAAGCCAACTACACCAAAATGCGAAGACTTCTGTCTGAAGCAAATTGGCCTAAAAAATGGACAGAGCTAACAGTAGAAGAACACTGGAGAGTGGTAAAGGAGATCATTCACCAGGCGGTCTCAGACACTGTTCCTTTAGTCACACCAAAAGCTAGGAAGCAACGATCATGGCTAAAAAGGGGGACACAACGCCTTCTGCAGGCGAAGCGAAAAGCCTGGTTCGCGTGGCGACGATCGAAGAGTCAACCCGAACATGAAGTGTACCTTGAACTCAGGAATCGATGTAACATACGAGTCCGGAGCGATAGAAGGACATTTCAGGGAGACCTCGCCAATAAGCTTCTCGTGAACCCCAAAAGCCTATACAGGTTTATGTCCGAAAGAAAACCGACCAACCAGGGAGCATGCAATCTAGTGGGTTCTGATGGGAAATCTCTTACTAGTCTTGAAATGGCAGAGACATTCAGCCTAGCCTTTCACAGGCAACTAAACAGTAACGAGGATATTACCCCTACAGAACATCCAGATTACATCGCAAAACCAACACGCGAAAACCTGCTGGGAACATTTCAAATTACCCCGGCTATGGTACTTGCAAAATTGGGAAGGTTGGCTTCGGGAAAGTCTTCAGGTTGTGATGACATCAGACCATCTGTCCTGAAGCAGTGTTCAGAAAGTCTCTGCCAACCCCTAAGTGATCTGTTCCAACACTCCCTTGATGTAGGGAAACTTCCATGTGAATGGAAACGAGCAATCCTATCCCCTATCTTCAAGGGTGGTGACCGGCAGAATGTGACCAGTTACAGACCAGTTGCTCTACTTCCAGTGATATCGAAGATATTGGAAAGTCTCATTGACGACCACATGAGAAAATACTTCGATGGGACTAACCTTCTTCACGAAGCACAGCACGGTTTCAGGAGGGGAAGATCCTGCGTGACGAATCTTCTACTAGCTTGGAACGATTGGACACTATCCTGGGACAAAAAGGTACCAGCCCACGTGATCTTTCTCGACTTTGCGAAAGCATTCGACACAGTTCACCATGGTCTGCTCCTTCACAAAATAAGCAAGGCGGGTGTTTCTGGAGCACTTCTCGCATGGCTGACAGATTACTTAGGCGAGAGAGAATTCTGCACCAAAGTCAACCGCATCCGATCATCCTGGCACACCTCGGCATCAGGGGTTCCTCAGGGTTCTATCCTAGGGCCGTTGATGTTTTTGATTTTTATCAACGACCTGCCCTCCCAACTAAACTGCTCTGCGCTTCTTTACGCTGACGACGTAAAGATTTGGAGAGCAATAAACTCATCGGAAGACTCAGATAGATTGCAGGCTGACCTGCAAACTCTGGGAAACTGGGCTCTGGCTAACGGAATGCCTTTCAACCTAAAGAAGTGCAAAGTAGTGCAACTTCATTCCGGCAGGTCACAGAGTGTAAATTACACCCTTGGTGGCCAGAACTTGAGTTGTGTTCCATCAGAGCGTGATCTAGGTCTTATTCTAACAGAAAAGCTAGACACCAGTGGAAATTACTCGAGGGACGTCGCCAAAGCCTACGCAACATTACACTTTATGCATAGGCAGCTGGGAGCTCTCACTCCCGAACTGTTCTTAAGGTTATATAAGGCATATGTGAGGCCACACCTTGAGGTGCATAATATCATTGCACCTCCGCTACTCAAAAGGGATGCTAACATTCTAGAAAGTGTCCAGAGACGAGCGACAAAATGGGTGATCGGCCTCCGCAACAAATCATATGAGGAAAGACTAAAGAAATTAGGTCTTTTCACACTTAGTTACCGTAGGCACAGGGGAGACCTCATCACCGTCTACAAGATCCTAAATGACCAGGCCCACCCAAATAAAAGCATCCTGCCATTAAGTGATTATAGGCTTCCACGAGGTAACCCGCTAAGGATAGCACACCAGAGACCAAAGACTCGAGTGCGATCACATTTCTTTTCGCTTCGTGTTTGCCGTCTCTGGAACGCTTTACCGGCGGCCGTGACTACAGCGCCATCTCTGGAGATTTTTAAGCGGAAGCTAGACAATCATGCAGAAATGCAAGGTTTGTGTCTCAATGGCTTATCCTCATAAAACTTGAAACCACACTGTCAATGGATAAGCGTACAAACTAAATCCCCACGACCTATTCTGCCTTCTCTCACTCTATCTTTTCCTTAGGTCACCTTTATTATTCCACTTATCTCAACCTATATTATCTACACTACAACCTATTATTTTTATTCTTATTATTATTACTACTATTCTGCTTTTATGACTACACCGAATGACCAAGGGGAGTTAGGTCAAACTCCATTCACGGCAGCAATACAGTCCTAACATACTGCATACTACAAACCACATCTCGACCAATCCCCGCACCACTCCTCCTGGAGTCTACCAGAGCTAAAGCAGTCGAGTGGCGGGACTTACTACGCAGAAGCTCACCGAAGATCTGGAACCTCTACCTCACAATCAAGAAGCGAGCTCAAAGAAATCACTGGTTTATACTAGCTCGTAATCAGGATATTGGATATTGAATGTTATGTCTAACCTTCCTGTAATTTTCCCTTAGGTTTGTTTTTCTCTAGTAATTATTGTCATATATTTACTCCGTAATCATTGGCGTTTGCGCGCACTACTCAAAAATGTCAAGTCAGGGTACTTAAAATATTTTAGCGTTCTGTTATTGGAAAATTGCTCCCATTTTTCATGAAGATTATTATCTAAGTTTTAAGTAAATAGAGTGACAAATGGTGCGTCTGCTATTATTACATTCAATGATGTGGAATTCTTGTAGTTTTAATGTTTTGAAATTGCACTATATTCGCTCGAAGCATTTTTGTTGAGTGTAATTTTTATGATATAACTACATCCATATATGATTTAAGAGGGTGAGTCGTTCTGAAAAGTATCCCTATTTCACCTCCGTATAGCTAGCCACAATTGCGGTAAATATATATTCCTTATTTCTCATATTCCAGTGTCTGAAAAGATTATTCAATTACTCACCTCCTTAGACATCTTTGTACTTTAAATTTCCATCTACGTTCTCAAATCCATTTTTCAGAAAAATTCAAAATATTCCTTCATTCTGTGCGTTAGAGAGGAAGAGGAATTGATCACTGAAGCCATATATATATATATATATATATATATTCTGTTACAGTCTACGGACTATCATAAATGTAGCTGTCGGTGATTAAAATTATCAGATTTGTTGGGAATATTTTCACAGAATAACTTGGCCTATAAATATTTCATGTAGTTCATTTAAGTTCCTGTCAACTGACGTCTGTGTCAAAGTACCTGTTGACTTTTAGCAACAGTATATTTTTTCTCCATGTTAGACATCCACATTTCAGCGAATATAGTTTGTTTTTACGATTTCGGCTTTACCCACTGACTCAGTAGCAGTCTGCGTAGTCAAGACAAATAATAATTTGAGACTTCCTTGTGCAAAAGAGGGGTTCGATCTCACGGCCGTCGCACACCTGATACCAATAGTTGGCCTGCTAAATTTGGGCTACCTATATCACATGCTGAAAATTCCATACTTACATCAGAAATACTGTCTGGAGTCAAGCTACAATAAAAAAAATTTGTTCCTGACTTAGTTACAGTTTTACGTTACTTTTTAAGAATCAAACCAAGGCACTAATGATCAAACGTATATCCATAACATGTAACGGTGTAGTCTATGTTACTTTTAGTCCAGGCTAATTCCTGTGTCAGATACATGAATTCCAAAGATAACTATTTGGGAGTGATTCACCTAGGAGTTATGCTAATTTATTCTTGCCACGTTTTGGTTTCCTTTTTTTAAAGAACTAATATGTCTATCTCACAACGATATGAGACCACAGTTTGTAATCATAAAGAAAATTCAGGGATAATGGGTTGCAGGTCGTCATTTTCTGCGCAGTAGCTTGAGTGATCACAAAATCAATGTGAACCGTGATGGCGAGCTACCCAGTGACATGGTAGCCACATTGGAACCCTGACTGATAGAATTCAGTCTGCACTAAAGAAATGACTAGACACATCACACTATTTACTAGTGTCCAGTCAAAGGATGGAGATATATATGCACTACTTGGAAAAACATATGTCACCTTTGTCACTCAAACATTTTTCATACATGAGGTGTTGACTGTGTCGAACTGATGAAAAATAATCAGTTGATGGTCAGACTACTACCGAGAGAAACAGGGTTATAAGCTGTTTCACTGTTGTTCAAGCAAAAAATATCTATCAGTCTCCATTAAAATTCTACACATTACAATTTATAAGGGATTATTAATATCCCTGAGTGAAGTAATCGCTTGTAAGAGTGAAATTTATTTAAAGAATCGATTTTCAGAAGTATCTTGTCTAGGAAACCAAACAATAAATGCTTAACACAAAGTAAATAATATCTAATCTAAATTTTACCACTTTTTCAATTTCATTATGTTGCTTCCTTATTACTATAGAATAAATTGTGATAAACATTTAGAGAATTAACGCCACAATATGAACGAAGAAGCTTCACATGAACAAGAGATTTGTAAAGCACTCAAGGATTTGAGGTAAATGAATGATGTTTTATAACGTCTCAATTTTAGGCTTTCAATCTTCAACACTTTAATTCATGATGAAATGTGGAATAAAGTGGCCAGCGATATCCTAAAAACACCGTCGTTTAAATCCAATTTAGACAAAAGAATTAACACAGATATAATGTCGATGATCAAGTTGTTGCCCAGGTGTGTACATTTGTTTTAGTCATAGTTCTGTTCTTCCCTTCTTCATAAGACTGTCATATATCTTCCTGGCTTTTTAAAAAAGACAGTTATTTCACTGCCTTGTTCAGGTATGGTTTGAAGGCAGTATACTTACCAGCCTCATAGGTGGTCTGATTTATAGTGTATCTAGTACACTAGCTGCTAGCTAAACCTTTAAGGAGGGAAGGTTGACAGTGAGGCTAGCGAATTCACCCCGTGTAAACAACCTCTCCGCTGCTGAAACTTCAAAATCTATAACCAGAAGTCGTACGTTTCATTACAAACGTATAAGAAAAAAAGAAGTAATGGAAATTAAGGAATTATTCGTGGATGATGTATACAAAGATAAAGACAATAACACTTATTTGAAACCAAAGGGGATTATATTCATCAGCCAGCTGCACATTAGAACACATTAAGGGTAAAGAAAAAGAGAAGATATAATCAAAATTTGCAGCACATTACGGCACTAAAGGAGGGGTGAAACCAAAGCAAGCACTAATAACCAGCTAAATATGGAGACAATTTACTAACGGATTCAAGACAAGCAGAGGTTTTTATCATTACACAGACCCTGTACATTTATAATGGGATCAGAACAGAATTCAATCCTAACAAAGCTCTCATAGATCTTTGGGAGAAGTGGAAGTTACTTTCGCGTAAGATAATCACCAATTATTTAGTGTGAGTGTATCGGTGGCGCACTGGTTGGATGCTTATCAGCTAGGCAACTGGAATGTCCTGGTTCGATTCCAGGCCGACAAGCCATTAAGTGTTGTTTATTCATAAGTACATCAAAAAACGTGGGAAGGTTAAACATGAGACTAGTGATCCCATCTTGCAGGAAGACAAGATAGTTACCGGAAGTCCAAAATGATTGAAGCCTTGGGCTCATATTGGAAAGCGAGGAATGGAAATAAAGAAAGTATAAGCCCACTTATGAGATACTTCGTGGATATCATCTTGGAAACGCAACTACGGTGTTAGTGCGTTACAACACCTATGCGGTGTCCTCCAAACCCTAATAACCTTTCACTTACTATTATTGGTGCTAATTAACTAATCGTTGTTATGCAGTGATTTATCTTTTTGTATAACACTCTTCAGAAGCATTGAGAATTCCCGGTATTTACTAATTACTGAATGCAGGATGAAGTTTTCTGAGGTCCTTGAGCGAAATCTTGATCAGTGGAGTACACTAAGTAGGGTATGTGGACAAATACACACCTGACATATTAGCTATTGGAGCTAGAAGTCGGAAGTCATAGGGCATTGAATTCCGTCTCAGTAGCTAAACTCTCAACAACCTAACTTCACCGCTTGAAGGTCTGGATGGGTCGCAGACAAGGATGACAATAGCTATCTTATCATTTCTGGTTTTCAATAGGTCTCTCGTCCACGCCAGGTAAAATACTAGGTCGCACTGGATACAGAGCTCCACTCACCGGAACAGCTGGATTCAGGAAAGGCAAATCATATGCTGATCAAATCACAACTCCACGCATCGTCATTTAACAGAGCATTGAACTGCAGTTAAAACTCTACATAAACTTCATCAACTTCGAAAAGCCCCTAGACAGATAGCGCTGATCGAGAAGCAATTTGGAAACTACTTCAAGGCTACGGCGTGCAGTGTTCAAGTCTCTATCAACCTCATTTAACAGTTGGCTAAATGAAGATGTCTCGTGTCAGGTAATCCACAACGGAAAACTCAGTGAGGTATTAGAATTAAATACAGGAGTAAGACAAAGCTGCCTATTATCATCGATTATATTCTTAATTGTGGTGAACTGGATAATGCGTCGGGCAGTAGGGAGCGAGGAGACAGTAATACGTTGGACCACAGATAAGAAGGCTCCAGAAGATCCGGATTTCACAAATGACATGTCACTAATGTCACACAAACTCCAAGACTTTCAGGCAGGAGAATACCAACAAACTGGCCAAAGAGGCTGGTAGCCAAGAAGAGACTGCAGGTGAACACTGAAAAGACGGAGGTGATGAAGATAACCAACCAACGATCAGTAGCAACAACAACAACCAGGACCAATCACCGTCAACGGGAGAGATTTGACAGAGGTGACTTCTTGGTTTCACTTATCTAAGGAGCACAGTTTCAACGAAAGCTGGCTGAACGGATGAAGATGTCAAAGCAAGCTAGGATAGAAAACGCAACATAAGTCTTGATCAGTGTGAAACCAGTTTGAAAATCTTCTGCACTCCTCAGCACAACAAACAAGATTCGGATTTTCAAGACAAATATCAAGCCAGTCATTTCTTTCGTACAGGTCAGAAACTCGCACTGTGTGTCACGAAAACTATTTCCAACAGACTGCTGCAGCATTTTAGCAACAGCTGCCTCCGCTAGCTCCATACTGAAGACCAAATAGCCGACTGGCGGGTCAGAAAGAATTAGCGACAAGAAACACCTACTGGCAAAAAACCAACCAACAACCTATCGTGTAACAAATATGTAGGAGAAAATGGAGATCGATTGATCCGGCGTCTGTCGAGGAGGCCATCAAATGACATCGCGTGCCAGTCCAAAGCTCGAGTAGAGTCCTATTTGGAAGCAATGAGTCGGTCGTCAGTGTGAAGGTGACATGAAGGAGATCGTGTGGTGAGGAGGATATGAGAGACTATGGTCTATCGTGGACCCAGCTGAAAAGGATGGTAGAAAATAGGAGAAAGTGGAGATGTGTTGTGGAAGCTGTCTGTGTTCCACTCGGAATAATAATAGGTCTCTTTTTTTTCCTTCACCATCCCAGTGAAACATAGGGCTTCAAGCTAGTGGCTTGAAGTTTCTGTAGCAGTGGTGTTTATTTTTACAAGATGGGGTTGCTAGCCTCATGCCCAGCCTTTCCTCTTCACCAGCTTTACTTCTGGCTGAGTGAGGTAAAGGAGTGTGTCGTTGGCCGGGGATCGAACCCCGGACCATGTGCATGGTCGGTGAACATACTAACCGCTATGCCACCGTCTCTAACTGACAATATTTCATGACCTAACCTGAAATCATTCAAATCCCAATAAACCAATATTTGTTAGTTAAAAATAATTATTAGTTAATAGTAAATCTTACGAAATCGAAAGAAAACTTTGAACAAGCGCACAATGAAACGTTTTCCAAATGAAATATCTTTGCTAGATTAATGAAATATTTAGAATTAAACATAATTATCCAAGTCTCACAATGCTTTATATTCCATTTTTAGTTATGAAAAACTATTGAATAGTTTAAAAGAAAAGCTACAGCATACTGTAAACTCATGTCAAACTGATGATTATGAAAATTTGCTACGAACACTATTACATCATTCTATGCAGAATATACAATCCCTAGATGAATATCCTGAGCTTTCAATGCTGCTAAACTCATCATCTGCATTGTCAGTGAATGAAATCTCTGAATTATGTAATCGACTCACCGTTGAATCAATAAATCCAATCCAAGGTAATCTAGAGGATATTAATTGTAACAAGGATGATGGGGATGGGGATAAAAGTTTATCAAAATGGAAACATTTTCCTACGTGTTCTTCACGTCCTAATTCATCACCGTCATCTGAAGCGACAGGCGGTAGCTCATTAACTCTATGCGCAAAGTCTCCATCTACGTCATCTTCGTCACCATCATCGCCGCCTTCACCTCGACACGGATATGCTTCATTGAAAGGTATAAAACAAAATAGCGATGAGGAAGTTAAGCGTAGCATTAAACAATCATTTAAACAAAAAGCTTTAAATGAACAATATTTAAGAAATTCTGTTGAAGATGACGATTTTCAACGTCGTAATAGTCTGTCAAATATGCAAAATTCAATTTATTCATTTAGTGATGCTGATTCGTCATTTTCTGGTTATTTTAATAATGTAAGTGTATTGATTATTTTTGGTAACTATTGGTTACGTTAGTTGTTATTTAACTATTGCAGGGTGTTTTTATTAAGATTACGGCTGTTTCACAACAGATGATGTACTTTGATGATGGTCCAACTGTAGAATGCTTGCCAGCTATGCTAGAGGAACGGGTTCCACTCCAGGCTAACGAGTTCTTCTGATTTGCCGATAGCTTAGGTTTAGAGAAAGAGGTCAGACGTGAGGTTAGAAACTCTCACGCTTTACAATAACAACAACATTATCCAGTATCGTTTTTACGAGCTAATGTAAAACAATTTGATTTTTTTGTACTCGCTCTTGATTGTGAGGTAAAGGTTCCTGGTATTCGGTAAACTTCTGTGTAGTTCGTCTGCGAATCGACTGTCGTAGCTTTGGTTGACTGCAAAAGTAGTAGTGCTGGGATTAATTATGCTGTTGTAGTCAGGGGGGGTTGGATGGGAGAGAATATAAAGAAGTAAAACGATGAGTTTAGATGTCTACCCATTAATGGTGTGCGAGATTTTGAGGGGATAGGCCTTTTGGACGCTACATGATTGCTCAGTCTTAGCTTAAAGTGTCCACAGAATCTACCATAGCTACATCTGCCGGTAAGGAGGTCAAGGGACGGAAAACCTGCAGTGAAAAGAGGTGGGAGAGCACCCGGGGCCTTGCCCTATGGTGATCTATCCTTATGGGATTTCCACATGGGAGCCTATACCTACTCAATGGCAGAACACCTTTGTTTGGGTGATTCCGGTCATTTGTTATCTTGTAGGCAGCAATCAAGTCCTCCTTAAGCCGACGATGACAGCTAAATGTGAATAGGCCTAATTTCTTCGCCGTTCATCGTAAGGTTTGTTTCGGAGACCCATCACTCCTTTTGTCGTCCATTTTTGAACTCTCTTCCAAGGAATGGGGGGGGTGTAATTATATTATGCAATTTAAGTTAGGGTCTGACGAATGTCTTGTACAACCTTAGAATGAGCTCAAGAGTGATTGTACCTAACTGTTTCTCGGGGACAAATTTTACCAGTGTCTGATTGGTTGTCTTATGAATTCTTTGTTAAATATGTAATTACGATTGTACAGCAGCTTATGCAAATGAATCGTCGAAAAGGAAAAATTTTCTTCACCCAATAATAGGAATATTTTGTTCATGTTTCCAAATAGTTTATCTTCTACAACAGTCATGTTCGAAACGATACAGGAAGCTTACACTCATTTACAATGAGTAGGCTAAACTCTTACCGGAAAGTTTATGGAAGCCTGGCTGGCTGCATTTTATCCCTACCGTTATTTGTTAGCTGTCATTTCACCAGGAACAATATAATTTCACATAATCAAAGCATTAAACACACACGTTGATAAATCTTCACTGAATGCTCCTTTTGAATTTTATTCTGTGCTTGAAATGCGCTTATTCAGAAGCAAGAAAAAAGATTTGGATTTTCAACACTTATGGCAAGTTAGCCAGTGTTTTAAATAGTTCAGAGACTTGAAGGACATGTCACAAAAAAGATTCTCAACAGGTTACTGGACATTAACAGCTACCTTCACTCCATACTAATTGTGAGAAGTCCAGTAAGACAGATTAGCAACAAGGAAGAAAGAAGACCAAGATGGATTAGACACACTCTGTGTGTAGACCATTAGGTAATACCACGAGCCAGGCCCTTGAATGGGGCCTCAGTGGGAACGACTAGTTGGATGTGACTTCCCGAGTGACATGGAGGGAAACATGTAAGGAGGAAATGATGGCTTATGAGGAGCTGTGGAGGTAGCCAAAGAGGACTCCATAAAACAGGGTGAAATAGCGGTGTTCTGCAGAAGTTTTATGTTCCGTTCAGAAGCCAAGAGAATTATAAAAATAGTAATCCATTATGATTGGGAAAAAACTTTGGAATGGACGCGGAATCCAGCAATCTACCTGTGAAGTTACCTTGAAAATGAAAGAATAGATTTTTAAAACGAAACATGATACACCCAACCTCATTAGGTCATTAGGCAATTTTTATATTTTTAAAGGTTAAATATTTGAGGTTATTCTGGAACAGTAAATGGAATTGATTTCATTGGGTGTTGCTTAGAATTTTACTGTCTATTCCTTGATAAACTATTATTTGAGATTAATTTTCATCTTGTACATCATGGGATGATAAGTGAAATTAAAACTGAGAATACTTTCAATCGTGAAAGGATTATAACATGTGACGCCTTGATTACTGATTAAGTATTCTTCGGGCGGGGGTGGGGGAACTAAAAGACCTGAAGGAAGGGTACTAGAACTAAACAAAAATATCATTACAACTATTATATTACTACTCCCTTGGGTTCTGAATGGAATATGGGGCTGGCTTCAAGAACACATTTCTGTTTTGTTCCGTTTGGTACTGTCTTCTTCGGCTAGGTCCACAACTGCCCACAATCTCTCATCGCCTCCAATTCGTACGATCTCGTCCATGTCACCCCCGTACCGACAATCTAATTGTCGCTTTCAATCTGGATTCCATTTCAGCGATGGCTTGTATCGCGCACGATATCATTCTATGGTCTCCTCAATGTATACCCTATGCATCTGCATTTTCTCCTAGATATTAGTTGAGCGGTCGGCTCTTGGTTGGTTTTTTCCCAACCAGAGTTTTTTGTTGCTAATTTTTCTGGTCATTTGATCTTTGATGTGAAGCCAGTGAAGTGGGCAGCTATTGATAGAAATCTGCCTCTAGCTGTTGGAAATCCTCTTCATGACTCATGCGCGCAGTGCAAGTTTCTGACCCGTATAGAAGAATAGACTGACTGACTTCATATTTGTGTTGAAAATCCGAATCTTATTCGTTATCCTAGTTGCGTGAAGAAGATTTCCTAACTGGTTTCAAGTCGATGAAGGCGTGCCGCCTTGCCTTTTCGATTCTGGCTGGCTAGTTTTGAAATCTTCATCCATTCGACTGCTTGATGGTTGAAACGATGCTTCATAGGTAACTGAAAGAGGTAGCCTTTGTTAAATCTCACCCGTTGATAGTGTGATTGGTGCTGGTTGTTGTTGTTGTTGTTATTGAGGTTCGTTCGTTATCTTCATCGCCTCCATCTTCTCAGTGTTCACCTGCGGTCCTGTCTTCGCTGCCTGCCTGCTTCTTTAGCCAGTTTTTTTTGGTTTTCGCCTGCCTGCAAGTCTTCGAGTTTGTGTGACAATACACATAAATCATCTACGTGAGAAATCCAGATCTTTTAGAGTCTTCTTCTCGATGGTCTAGGATATTCTTGTCTTCTAACTCCTCGCAGTCTGAGCGCATAATCCAGTCCACCACAATTAAGAATATCATCGGTGACAATAGGCAGCCAGCCTTGTATTACTGCTGTATTAACTTCGAACGCATCACTGAGTTTTCGTTAGGGGATCTTGATTAGTTAACTAGTCAAGCGTTAGCCCCGAGAAGATGGAAGGTTATGTTTTTAAGGATTGCAATCCTACCGTATAAGAAAGACACAACCTGATGGCTACTGAAACTTCAAAACTTAAAGCCTTAAGCGATAGTTCCCACTCGAAACACAAGGAGTGAGGAAAGTTTATCCCTATTTAGCGATTCATTCTGCATTATCTGCGAATGGATATACATTTCAACTGTGCAGATATACTCCTCGGTTCAGAACACATCACTGTATGTCACCTCACACACACACACATTCCACAAATTCGCTTTTCTTTCCACACCTATGGAACCAAAGTATTATTATTATTATTATTAATAACAGCTTTATCCCAATCAGTACTTTCGGTACAAATATGAAATTTTCAACATATAATACAATCATTCTTGTATCTAATATTCTCATTATGAGGGTTATAATTAAAGCAAAGCATTTACATTCATAATATTATTCATTATGAATATGAATATAAAATTAAATTAATTGAAAAAATTAACAACAATGTTACAATGAGAACAAAAAATAATGCCGTTTACTAAGAGTTCCTCTGCAGTAAGTTGGCGATTTCCTGTCTTACACTTTCCTCCTCAAAAATATGTGCCTGTCAAATAAGGTGCTGTGGGGGTTTTATACTTAGTCGTCGGAGAGAACACAGTCTCCATAGTTGCTTCTAGTTTTACCCAGCTGATGAGATAGATGCAAGTAGAGATTTGTGTATGGGGAGGATGATCAGAGTCTGACAGGATAATATTTGCTGATTTCTTTCAGGAATCCAAGTATTAACGAGTTGGTTTAGCAACAGCTTACTCAAATTTCTGACGGCTTTCGATGCCCTGAGCAGTATAACGATGTCTTTCTTAGATAGCCCGGGAAAGACTTATCTGGGAGAACAGTAAAGAAGTATTGTTAGAATACAAGAATTAACAAACGGTAACAATAGAGATAGAATGATACGAGATCGTTTTAACTTCCTTACATAGAATCTTAAACAAACTATCCCTTTAGAAACTAACATGATGTAAGAAGACCAGAAAACATGATCAGAGAAATTACACAGTCCAAGGTACCTAACATTAGATTTAATTTCAACTTTTATGGCATCTATGATAGTGGAACCATACGAACTAACCAGTTCATGTAAGTCACACTTGCATGTCTGAAAGTGAAATTAACAACCTATCATTTGGAGCGATTTATCTTAAGACCATTTGACAATGACTACTGACTAATTTCGAATAAAAAGCTATTCATTTCAGAACAGTTTGACTAAGAAGTAACTGTGTGCCTAGGCAGCAGCACAAAACCATTGTAGCCTAGTTAATGATATGTCCATTTGAAAAATGCCTTATAAGTTTATATGTTCCAACTATCGGCCACTGCAGTGTAACCTATGTCCTATTTCACCTGCCTGATCCTAATGCTGACTGAATGTTTATCAGTAAAGTTTTGCAGTGTGATCAGTAGGTCATGTTGTGGCGAGTGCTACTGATAAGATTTTTCACTAGTATGTAAAGATACGTTCATTAGTAAAAAAACAGCAAATAGGGCAGGGAGATACATTTGATTTCAGAGAAGGCAAATAATACAGCGTGGTGGAGATACATCGGAGATGTGAAAGGAACCCAAAGAGACACAAGATGAAGCCCTGAAGTACCACAAAACAAAGACCTGTGCGAATTGTGTGTTGAAGATAAGGTGTACATAATTTGGCTATACAGAAAACATTCCATTACCAAGCCTTTCGTGTTCTACCATCTCAAGGTTACTTCCCGTAGCAATGCACTCTGAAGTGTTATTATTGTTCACGTGTTGGCTTGTAGGGATTTGATTGCTTACAGGACCTCATCATGAGCAGACATTAGTTAGAGAACCATTGGAAAACCAGCTGGGAGCACTGGAAAGCTGTTTAGACTTGGTTTGGGACTCTTCAGCAGTACGCATCCACCGGGGTTCGAACCTAGGGCCTTCTGGTTACAAGGCGAGCTAGCTTGTAGACCATTAAGCCAGTGGGACTCGATCCAGTGGCCAGTCCATGATTTCTAACTTCTGCCGATTCACGACATAGCGCGACCCCTAGCCAATGTCTTCGGCGAGTATCCGTCATCGCACCCTACCAGCCTCAACCTACTGGTCACGACTTCTCAGTAGAAACCCAGGTAACTACCTACCTGTTATTATTGTGTTTTTAGAGAAAGTCAGCAGGAAGCTTTTGGTTTAGGTTTGGTGTTCATTGAAACTCATTAGCGAGACGTATCCGCAACTTCTAAGGAAGTGACTCTCTTCGGCTCTCTTCAAGCCCTTACCAGCCACTGTCGTACTTCAAGACATTACCTTATGAGGTATTAGCATATATTAACGTATCAGTATTGTTCTGAGGTTGAGTTATTTTTATTGTTGGTTATTTTTGACTAATACTAAGGGAGTGTGTAGTATGCTAGTTTTAAATCGGTTTGTACTCGATGCAGCTGAGCCACAGTTGCTAAAGATATATTCAGTATAACTAGAAGGCAGAGGACTCCAGAGAATTGCTATGGAAACTGAATTCTTCTTGAGACTTCCATCTTCTTTCTTATCTTTTTCACTTTTCATTTCTTTTTCTCTCAGATTGGATTCACTGTAATGAATCAAGATCAATTGATTAGTTTAGCGAGTGCATTAGACAGTCGTTCAAGTCGTTTGGACTGTCGTCAAAAAGCTTTAAAGCAGTTAGTTCATTTACCGATAATTGATATACAAGCGTGTGAAGTATGGACATATTTAAATGAGCACGCATCTACTATTACTGCTACAACTACTAATGATACTTCATCATTGACACTGAAAACAGATAGAATAAATGACAACTCTTCAAGTTTGATAGATAAACCTATTTCTCACAAGTTATCTAATTCATCACAATTTAAAAAATCCGGTCCTCTTCAACGATTCATAACACCGGATGAGAATTTGTTAACTATGCGTGATAGCATTGGTGATTATTATGACAATTCTACTACTACTACTACTACTACTAATAACGTAAATAGTAGTAGTGGTGGTAATAGTATAAAAATGATTACGGCGGGTGGTTTAAGACGTGGCCTGGCTGATGCATTGAACGATGAAGATGACACATTATGGGTAAGTAGGTTTAAACATTTATTGTCATAAGGAAGTAAGTTCAGTTAGTTTGTGTCAATATTCCTTGTTTTACTTTTATGCCAGTAATCGAAATTCAGTCTAAGGAGGTATTATTATTATTATTCCCTTAGGTTCCGAGTAGTACACAGGGTTTTATTAGTCACCTTTTTGACTGGTTTCCTCATAGCCCATAGGCCTTATTTTCTTTCAGCTCGAGCGTTATCATACATATCACCTCAGGGCATATGCTCAAGTCATTGTTTCCCGTTAAACATCCTCTCCAGCTCTGGCTTGGTGTGGGTGATGCCACTCAGGGGTTTTCTCAGCTTATGTCTAATCTGTCTCCATTTTCTTAGGCATATCTGTTGGGCAATACATCTCTGGTTGGTTCATTGCCTGTCGGCATTCCTTGTTACTTGTTTATCCACTCTCTAGCCATCCTGTCTTTAGTATTACACAGCTGCACTGCATCTGGTAATAAATGGCTTCAGTAGCCTATATATGTCCAAACCAAGTTCAATTTTTAACAGTTTGAAAAAATCTGGGCATTGGGTATATGATATTCATTATAATAAAGGCTTTTTGTATTTCTTAGACGAACACATTCAATTCATCAACAAAATCAACACCAACATTGAATATGGTCGAAAATGTATTCCAAAAACATGGATCTCAACAGTTGTCATTCCGTGTAGAGTGGAGACGTAGGACGATATCAGAAGAGTACTCAATCATCTCGACATCAGAGTTTTCTTCAGAACATCAGACACACACACACACTACTAAACAACCTTGTCCACATTAAAGACCAAATACCGAAAGGTTCTCTATCTAATTGTGTATATAAAATAAAGTGCTTGGAATGGGATCCGACTAACATCAGACAGACATCTTGAGAAATCAAAATCAGAAGAACTGAACACCGCGGAGCATCTATTCGACCACAGAGAAATCCGGTTGAACTAGAAAAACTTGAAAAATCATTAGCCAGCCATAGGTGTACACACTATAGAATCAGGCCACAAAATTGATTTTCACAATATTGAAATCATCACCCAGGAAAAGCATTTCAGAAATCACAAAGAACGCTTGACATCATCAGAAGCACTTGATACCGTCAAACTGAATCCAAATTGTCCGAATAGGCATGATGGACTAAAACAGAATTTGATCTAATTACAACACCTCCCTCCCCTATGAAATGCCAAAATCAATACGAATGTGATAAGCACTTTCATCATGTAAACATACACCCACTGCTTTACAGTCTTACACACTTACCAAATCCAACAATCTACACTTGGTTTTGTTATCTTTACCAAATGGCCAATTTGACAACGAAAAATGACCCCATAGTGAGGAAGGGTGATTAAGTTGTCATGTATAAGCTGAGTGGATTTTTGTTAATTCTGGTTTAATAATGGTGCTCTGATAAAGCTATTAGCAGCAGCATTAAATATCGAAATGTCAGTCATAAACAACAATATTTGTTTTGGTTTTCATTCATTGGGAAATACAAAAAACCTTTATCATAATGAATCTTCAGTAGCCTGTTTGAAATGCTGTTAGTAACATGACAAGTCTCTGCAGTCATATAGAATCAGTAACTTGATATTGGTGTTGAAAGGCTGAATCATGCTTTTCATGCTTATTGCCTTAGATTTTCAGATTAACTTCCTACTAATGAAAGCTCATATTGCCTTCCCAATCTCTGGGACTGCCTGTCGTCGAAACGATGCTGCCTGTAAAGGTGGAAGAACTTCCTTCCTTCGAATATCTTTCCCATTGGTAGTGACTGGTGAGCTTGTTTCTTCTATTGATTATGTGTCTTCATGACCTCTGTCTTTTGATGGAAGTATGCTGTAGATTAAAAGGTGTACAATTTTATGCGTACATCTACATAGTTCTACAGTAGAATGCTGATCGAATTGATCACATGAAAGGTCTAACCAACGTACTCCTAAATTCCACCTAGTCAGGAGTAAGCCAAGGAAAATAAAGAAGTTCCTTTTATTTGTTCATATATTTCAGTATTCATCCTATCAATCGGATCGCCCATATCAGTATTAATAACTGAAGCCGTTATGCAAAGATTAGAATTAATAGCTCTGCCTATAATTAAACCGAAAATCTGGGTACGTTACATTGATGATACATTTGTAATAATTAAGAGAAATGATTTAGAATATACCCATAAATTAATAAACAACATATTTGAAGACATCAAATTCACAATGAGAGAAGAAGAATTAGATAACAAAATCCCATTTTTAGATGTCTTAATCAGGAGAACCAACACAGGAAATTTAGAAACACAAGTATGCAGAAAATCAATGCACACAGATCAAATACTCAACTCTATTAGCAATAATCCAATTACTTACAAACGAAACTGTGTGTAGACATTGTTTAAAAGAATTCAAACATACTGTAGCACTCCAGAGTTGAAAAGAATGGAAGAAAAATACCTACAGAAGGATCTTCGAAAGGAATGGATATCCCGTCACAATTTCATCAAAAAGTGTTTAAAATCGAATCACAACACCAACAAGGAACCATCATCAAAGACCACAAGAAAATTCATCCTACCATATATAAAAAATATCTCTGAAATAACAGCTAGAACACTGAAACCGTTTGATATACATATAGCACACAAGCCAGCCAGTCAAATCGCTTAATTCGATATTATGCAAATCGAAAGATCCAACAGAAAAATGCGGATAAAATTAATACCATTTACAAAATAAATTTTATGAACTGTAACAGGCATTACATCAGGTCAAAGTGGGTGTCCCCTTCGAATTAGAATCCAAGAACACAAATCAGCCGTGAAAAGACATGATATATATTCTGTCGTATAAATGCATATGGAATCGCCGAAAAGATATCTTTACTGGACTTTGTGTTGTCTTCTTTCTAATGTCCATATGGGTATTTCCATGAACTAAATGCATATGGACAAATCGATTGGGATAATGTCGAAATTTTAGACAGAAGAAACACCAAAGGTGCCAGGGAATTCCTAGAAGCCTGGTACTCAAACGGAAATGCAATTAATAAACATGTTAAGCGGGTCGGGTGTGAGGACAAATACTCGCCGAAGACATTGGCTAGCGGTCGCGCTATGTCGTGAATTGGCAGAAGTTAGAATTCAAGGACTATTCGAACGGGTCCAAGTGGCTAAATGGTATATGAGCTCGTCTGGTAACTGGAAGGTCCTAGGTTCGAATCCTGGTGGATGCGTACTGATGAAGAGTCCCAAACGAGGACGAAACAGCTGTCTAGTACTCCCAGCTGGTTTTCCGATAGTTCTGTAACTAATGTCAGCACATGATGAAATCCTGAAATACGTTAATATAGACGAAATATACCAACTAATAAAAAGCCAATCAGGTGACTCGAAAGTTCAATACATTACATATGTAAAGATGGTTGTTACCGGGAGACGCAATTATATCACTCATGAAAAAATTTAAATCATTTCACTTCATGCTAAATATCACGCTGAAGGGGGATGTTGTCCAGCAGGGGGACAACGAAAGCTCCGCCACAACTAAACCAACCAGTTCAGAGAACACTATTAATTGCAAATCATCCACCTGAGCTACAAATCTTCTCTATTACTTCAAAATATTCATTTTCACTAACTGTTATCAATTTTTGCTTTCATCACTGTATAATGTTTGCTTTTTTCAATATAGAGTCTTTCATTACGGTACATTAGTAAAGGACTTTCTACTACTCCGCCAAATATTCGTGAAACCTACAGCCTTTTAAGTAAGTCGATGTATTCTTTTGACTTCAAAATATTTGTTTAGCTCTTCATATGTTAGTTATCTATTTTTCCCCTGTGTCTTCCAGCTTCATACTTTGGCTTTGAATTAGTTACAGGATTTCATCATGAGCTGACATTGATCAGAGAACCATCAGAAAACCAACTGGAAGTACTGGATAGCCATCTGTTTCGTCAGCCTAGTTTGGGACTCTTCACGGTACGCACCTACACCGCGCGATTCGAACCCAGGACCTTCTGGTTACAGGGCGAGCTAGCTCGTAGACCGTTGAGCCACTGGGACCCGATTCAATGGCCAGCCCATGAATTCTAACTTCTCCCAATTCCTGACATAGCACAACCGTTAGCCAATGTCTTCGGCGAATACCTTTTCCTCACGCCATACCTGCTGCACTCTACTTGTTCACCCTTTGAAATTTCTTTAGAGGTGGTGTTGTTTCCATAACATTGTGGGATTGCTAGCCTGACACTCAACTTTTCCTCCTGTGGAGGCTTACTGCCAGATGGTCAACTAGGAAGAGTTTGGGATTTCTTTGGATAGATGTCGATCTCAGAGCGCCTGACTGGCTGACAAGCATTCTAAGCCTGAATTACCAACTGACGATAAGTTGGCTAGGTGGGGGGGGTATTAATTTTGTTTTCGTCTCCTTGCCATCTAATTCTCTGGGTTAGGAAGACAAGAAATAAGATCAGTCAAACAACGTTATCATTGTAAGTTGACCATTGTAGCTAGCTGTCTAGTTTTAGATAGTAATAGATATATTACTGGGGTGATATTAAAAACTAGAAGCCAGTTAGTAAGAAACCTAACGTGATCTAGTTTGTTCACCCCCTCCCCTGTTTTTAATCATGAAATAACGGTATACTTGAAATTTTCAGGAAGTTCATACTCTGTATGAGATTTAAACTTGTCTCGCTTTGGTGAATAAGTTAAAGTTTTCTAGGCATAGGGGCTGTTCAGTTGACCCATTATACTTGATATGCTACTAGTGAAAGGTGTTTAGTCTCCACGTAGAGTTTGTGAAAAAATAGTAAAATATTCCATTTTATTCAATTTTTCAAATAGTAGGATGAATTTAGCTTAAATTCGCAACCCGAATCTCCTGGTTTTTTTTAATACTCTCTAGGATCATTTATGTGTACTGTCGAATAGTTCCTAACTAGGATGGAACAGCTATCCATCAACACTTCATTTTCCAACTGTAGTCAGTTCGTGAACTTACTGGAAATCAAGTACACCCCTGGAAGTATATCTGATGTTCTTTAGTCACTGACCGTAGGATGAAGTTTCCTGGGGTTCTAGTGAGAATTTGTGACCAGCGGAGTTCACCGAATTGTGTGTGAGGACGTATACTCGACAGTGTAAATGGCTGGAAGTGGTACTTTATGTTATGAATCAGCAATTAGTTTCCGTTTTACTGGCTGAATAGAGTCGACAGACTCATCTGATAACTTGATGGTCGTAGGTTTGGTCTCCGGTTAGTAGGGTGATTGGTACATACTCCTGACGAGTCAGTCGTAGACTGGAAAGAAACAGTTGTTTGGTTTCTAGTGTATCTCTAACTGTTGTCACATAATTATTTGGATGGAGGATTTCACCATTAGCTGACATCAGCTGACAGCATCCAATCAATCAATATCCCTACAAAACCAATACTTGAAAATTAATCTAGCGATTAGCCCATTCAGCCAGTGACCTGGGGTTCGAGTGGGAAGTCGTGACCAGTAGGGTACAGCAGGTTTAAGATGGGGAAGTAACTCGTCGAAGAAGACATTTCGAAATGGTCACGCTATCCATGAATTAGCAGAAGTTAGAATTCATAGGCTGGCCATTGAATCGGGTCCCAGTGGCTCAACGGTCTACAAGCTAGCTCGCCTTGTAACCAGAAGGTCGTAGGTGCGAACCGTGTGGTGTAGTTGTGTTCTTCTGAAGAGTCCCAAACTAGGCTGACGAAACAGCTGTCGAGTACTCCCAGCTGGTTTTCCAGTGGTTCTCTAACCAATGTCAGCTAATGATGAAATCCTGTAACCAATCGATCATATCCTTACAAATCAATACTTGGGAAGAACATGATTATTCAACTTGAAAAGAATTAAACTCATATTTTTACGTAATCAGTTTTGATAACGACAGTCAAAGCTAATTAGTCTATATCATGTTCAAAGTCATGTTATGACCATCAGTGGCTATCATGAATATAAAGTGAGCTAGGTGTTATTCGCATTCCAAATCAGTGGCAGTTTGACAGTCAGTCTCTCAAACATAATGCCAAGTTGTGAAGTAAATCACATTTTCAAAGTAGGATAGTACTGACTGGTAAAAAGGTCCCAGGTATTGGTTTTGTAAGGATTTTGTTTGATTGCATGGAGGATTTCATCATGAGCCGACATTGGTTAGAGAACCATTGGAAAACCAGCAGGGAGTACTGGACAGCTGTTTCGTCAGCCTAGTTTGGGACTCTCCACAGTATGCAAGATGGTATGTGAAATGCGGTTGTTTGTTTGTAAACCTCGGAAGCATTTACAACTCACTCAGTGTAACTGTGCATTGGTCTCATTGAAGCATGTAATCATTCGAGGCTAATAATAAGAACTTTTTCGATTTGCTAATTAATTTCTGTGTTGGTATTATTCTCATTCTTTCAACAGTTGAATATCTTCAAGTACAATTCGTTAGAAATGGACATCAATATCCATCTCTTATTGATGGTATTGATTTTGATGAGAGTCATAACCAGCGTATTTTAAGGGCAGTAAGTTATGCTATTATCTATTGTGTATTATTAATTAAAACTTTTAAATGACTGAGAAGTAATAAGCGAAGAATATTCACATTTTCAGTAACTTCTTTATAATGTTCTACACTTATGGTTGAGTGCAGTCATCAGGAAACCTTGGATACCAGCTAGGTTTCATGCTTTTTAGCACACGTCAGCGGGTGTGTTTGCAACCTTGGATGAGTTCATTTCTCCTCTCATGCTGGAACCCGTGTCACCAAATGCTACAGTCACCCACCCACACGTTACTACTGGAATATTCAGATTGGCGATCGACCTCCTGTAGTACTGTGTAAGATACTGTGATTGACTAGTAGGGTAGTAAGTAACTGGTGTCATGCATCAAAACATTAACGTTCTTTTAAATAATATCCGGCTTCAGCAACACGTCTTTGTGAGACTGTGCATAAAAATAACACTAAATTGAATACCAGATAAATTAAAGAAAATAATAGTACAGAATTAATGAATTTATAGTTTCTCCAACGGGCCAGGCTAGCAATAGTGTCTATCTAGACCTGTTACTTTTGCACACATAACTCCAGTTCTGTTAAGTGAATTGCAATGGTTTCTGATGTTCGGTTTGTTCGGTATACACAGGGGCTTTCATTCGGCACTAGTCAATGACTAGTGTGATGTGTCTAGTCTGTTTTTTTTGATACGGACTGAATTTTATCAGTCAGGTTTGCAATATGGCCACCAATCTATGTAGCTCGTCATCATGACGCATATCAGTCAGGTGAAAATCTGACGGATAGAATTCACTCTGCACCAAAGAAAGGACTGGATACATCACACTAGTCATTGACTAGTGTCCAATGAAAGTATCCACTACAGTCCTACAGGAGGTCAATCGCGAGCCTGAATAGTTCAGTACTAACGTCTTTGACTACAGCACTGGATGACACGGGTTTGAATTTCAGAATCAGGGACATGAGTTTCTTTCGAAGTGGTTGCAGATACGCCTTGCTGACTGGTTAGTGGCACTTAGCACGAAACCTAAGTGAGGCGAGGTTTCCTGTGGCTGACTGCCTCCAACCATCTAATACAGAGGCTTCTAACATTTTTATTTGATATTCGGTAGATAACAGAAAAGGACTCTTTAATGTTTAGTTTGTAGTCTTTTTGGAAGAGGTGATCTAAATATAGAACGGTTGGTGGTTTTAACAACACCCTTATTCAGCCACACTACTACTAGGTGTTTGTAAGCATGAAAAATTAGGTTCCAAGAACAACAGTCAATGTGAACAGCGTCGTAGGAGCTGTTCAACTGGTAGCTGCTATAAGAGTTGGCTAGCCTAGGTACTTTGTCTTTTAGTTAATAATAATAATAATAATAATAATAAAAAATAATAATAAAAATAAACAGCACTTGCGATACAGAATGGAATTCTCAGCATTTTACTACATACAGTATTGCATCCAGTTAGTACATTATCAATAAATACAATTTTACATAGATTAAGGGTAATCTCAGTTCATTATGACAACAACATATTGGCATGTCGGTAGCAAAGCCAAAATTGAACAGAATGTTTGAAGGTGTTAGAAAAGTAGATACTACTAGCATATTTACTGGCGTAAGCGGTAACAAAAAGGTCGAGATATACAGAGTGTGAGAGAACGAAGAAGAATGTTTTAAGTAGAGTTAGTAAGGAAGAAAGAAACAAAGCAGCACATAATAGAAAAAAAAGGAGAGAGAACTATAATCAGAAAATATGGAAAATGTGAGATGCAACTTGCTAGTGTTAAAGGTCCCTGGAATTGATCTTCTCAACGTTTCGGTTATTACTTGACTTGGTACACCACCTTTGAACTGCAGTTGTATATAAAGAGGTTCCTTGTTAGCAGCGTCGGTGGCGCAGTGGTTAGGACTCTCGCCGACCATGCACATGGTCCGGGGTTCGAGCCCACGCCGGCGCACACCTGATATCTATGGTCGGCCTGCAAAATTTGGGCTACCGATATCCATGCTGAAAATTCCATACTTGTACCAAAAATACAGTGTGGAATCAAGCTGTAAATCAAAAATAAAAATAAAAAATAAAATAAAATAAGGAAGAATCCCTTTCTATTCTCTTGACCATGTTTTGTGATGAATTTTTCAAGTCAACTATCTTCAGTCAACATTGCATATACAATCTTTAGTTCATTTTCGACCGCATCTTCTGCACAGATAGTTCCAATTCTGTAGCTCAAGGTCTTTACCAAAAATTTCTTTTGTACTGGATAAGGGAAAAGCCATTATATATATATATATATATATATATATATATATATACTGTCCTATCCATGTACTTCTCTTGTGATAATTCCTTTTTTCATACTACATCCGACCTTCTTTTGAGCAGGACATCTAAGAAGATAATTTTACTTTGAAATTATTCTTCGAACATGAACTTTTGATAGCTGAATAAACTTCATTGAATAAGGACAGTTTTCCGCACTTCTCACCTACAAAGGATGAGCGTATAACCCATTATTGTTATTGCTTCCTTTCGTCCCTAGAGGAACATCGGGCTTCAGCTGCACGTCTCTATTGCGTTCGGTTCTCCGCCAACATTTTCATATGGTTCCACTTCTGCTCACATGATTTCATCCCCTCTTAGCATGAATTCCTCCTCTTCACTGTCATCCACACACTGACAACCAACTCGCAACTTCCCATTCGTGTTCACCCCGATCAATGGCCTGTCGTGTGATGTCACTTGACGGTTTGTTTTCTCAGAGTCTGGCCAGTCCACCTCCATTTCTTCCCGCACAGTCGGCTCCTGCTGGGTTGGTTCTTTCCCCCAGATCCCTGTTGCTGATACTTTCTGGCTGGCCATCTGATCTTGAGTTGTACTGAGCGAAGTCAGCTGTTGATGAAGGTCTGTAGTTTGTTCGAAGTGCCATTCGTGACGCGGTGCCAAGTCTCTGATCCGTTTAGTAAGTGGCACTGACTTCATATTGGAGTTGAAAACCCTGATCCTTTATTTCACACTGAGTGATATCGACCTCCACATAGACTTGAGAAAATTGAAGGCTCGCCTTGCTTTCCCGATCTTCGCTTTGATATCCTCATCAGTTCCATCCAACTGTAGTTGAAACGATGCTTCGCAGGTAGGTAGGTGGTAAAGTAGGTTACTTCTTTCAGATTCCTCCCATTTATACTGGTTGTTGTTGTTGCTGTTGGCCAGGAATCTTCATCACCTCGGTTTTCTCTATGTTCACCTGAAGTCCTTCCTATCTTTGATGCTTCTTCTGGCAACTTGTCGCTTTTCACCTGCATATCTTGCTCCAGTTTGTGGGAAATCAGACAAATATTATCGGTGAAGTCCAGATCCTCCAAGTTTTTTGTGTGGGTCCATTTCATGCCTGTTTCTCTCTGCCCGCTGTCTGTCGCATTCGTATCACCCATATATCACCAATAAAATAAGAAATTTCTGGTTAGACTGTTTAAAAGATCATTTTCTAGTTTACTTAGAAAGTAAATTAGAATGGATTATACATTTATCGAACAATACACCTCTCTTGCACACGGTTTGTTGACACAACGTTTCTCTTGACTCCATAACTGCCCACAAACTTTCATTTCATTTTCACATGGTTGTTTCCATGTTACCCACAGAAGTGATATCCGACTCGTTGCTTTGTATTCAGGTTCTACTAGAGGGATTTGTAAGATTATACTACTGTGGCGTGTGCTACTCATAAGATTTATCAGTAATATATATACTCATGAAGAAGTGTTCATCGGCATAGAAATATCAAATAGTAGGGAGATAGATTGAATTTCAGAGTAAGCAAATGATACACCCTTGCGGAAACACATGGAAGACGTGAAAGGAACACGAAGGAACACAATATGAAGCAATGGTATAAGTAGCACGACACGAAATATCTGTGCAAATGGTACGCTGACGATAAAATGTACATAATTTCTCTATATAGATATGCTATATCGCAAACAAACATCCCTTTAGCGAATCTTCGTCTTCTGACGTTACAGTACTACTGTGGTGAGAGTTGTCTGCTAGCCAGAAGTGTAGACAACATTTATGTCAATGTTTACTTTCCGAATAGGAATCATGCGAAAAAAAACAGTAACAAGGCTGAACCTTGAGGAAGTCACCAACCAGTAGCAGAAGACTTAACGGGTGTAAATACGATTCACACACATATATATATGGTCTGGCTATCTAGGGAACGGTCACATAAAGATGATAGAATAACTTTCAGCAAGAAAACAAACCAATCAGAAGACGTTGCTTATCGGCTGACAAATAACGAATAATAATGTACATAAAATTATATTTTAGTACCTCTTGATTTCCTCAATAATCGATCTGTCACCTGGTCCTTGCCTTTTGTCGTTACATTTCTATTATAGTAAGTGTTATCACGTTATAAACCCACGTATTTCTTACGTAGAGTGAATTGTACGAGAAGGCGAGTTCGCAGGCACTGAAATAATTGAGAATACGGGCAAATTATAACGACAATCTCATTTTTGCTGTATGCTGTCTGAGGTTTATTGTTTAATGATTAACTAGTTCACCCTAAGATCGAGTCAAGATCCAATATTATCTTGTTTACGACACCACATATCGAAGTTCATTGCAAAATATCTAACAGGAAAGGCTTTATCCAGAATAGAATGACACAATACACCTCCGACATTATGTACCAGTATCTGAGCTTTGATTATCTTTTCAATCCTCCTCTCAAACTGCTACTTAATGGTTCTTTTTGTGTCAGAATTTCATTGACTTTTCTAGCTAAGCATCAGAATTTTGGAAAAATAATTTAGCTGTTTATTTGTGTATATTATTTGAGAATATTTTAAAAGTGATAGCCTCCGGCGAATACGTTTTTGTGACTCCGTAGCCTTAAATTTCAAATGAAAACCTCTTCATATGTTATTTCGTTTTTTCACAATATACAAATAACAATAATTTACAATATAATCGATTGATTTTAAGGTGGATCACGAATTGACTTCTGTTAGAGAACCAGTGGTGGACAGGAAGTACTGGAAAGAAGTTTTGTCGATGATTAGAGCTCTTCAGCATTAAACACTCATGACTCCACCCTTGTGGGATTGAACTCAGGACCTTCAAGTTACAGGGGGAGCTGGTAGACCAATCAGTTACTGGTTCAGTGAGTATTGATGAAGATTCCCAAACTAGGATGAAACACCTCTTGAATATTCCTTGGATTCCTGTGGCTTTTTAGCTGGTATCAGCTCGTGATCTAAACCGGAAATCAATTAAATGATTACCAGCTAGCACTGGAAAATTAGTCTTGTGGTAGTTACCTGACGTTCTAGTGAGAATTTATAAGCACTGGGGTCCACTACATTCAGATATGAAGACAATTACTTATCGGTGATATTGGCTAATGGTTGTGGTATGTATTGCGAGTAGGGAAAAAATGAGCATCCATGAACTATTGAACTCCATCTTACCGATTGAATGATAAATGAACTCACCTTGTAATTTGTAGCTCATGGGTTTAGTGATGAATCTTGAAATCAATACAAACTAACAATAAAAAGTGTATTTAGTTGTCATATAACTTACTTTCTAAGCGTTGATATTTTATCCAATTATTATAGTAATTACAGTGATTGAGCTATCGCTTATTCATTTATTTTATTTTTGATTTCTCTAGTGCTATTTAATGAACAAATTTCATCAGACAATCCCATCTTATTGGATTCGTTATTCAGAGCAGTAAGCACAGTATTCCATCGAAAAACTTTTGTGTTATTTTTATACTACTAACGAGTAGCATGAAGTTGTACACAAAATAATTTGCTCAACTTCAGGAAGTGTGTATTAAGTTATTTTTATTGTCTTATCTGAGGATTATCAGTCATACATGTCTTTCATACTTCATACATTTTCATGGATTCGCAGAATTTTTTCTGAATATAAGGCTGGATTTCATGTGAAGAAAGATTTAGCAAAATATGTAAGAAGTCTACTATTATTGATATGCGGATAAAAATTGGACATTATGGTAGAGCAGAAATCCATAATGGATAAAATTTTATTTTGATAAAGTCACACAGTGTTATACAGTAATATTTACTAATGACCACGTTACGAGCACAATTTATTACTGTTCATAATCATATCAAGGCATTACTCACACATCTTTCTTGCTTCATTTATATACATGAATAAAAATTGAAAAATTAGACATTTGAGTGAAATCAGTGTAAAGTACAATCGGAAATAATATTAATGTTATCCATAAAATACAACCAGATGGGAAATAAGATGTTTTACATCGTGAAATGAATAAATAACTTGTTAAAATGTTATAATGGGGATTGAAACAGTTTTTAAAATTATTTATTATCCTCCTCTGATTTGACTGATAGTAATAATATCTTCCAGATCTCTGGTATACGCGTTGAATCACTTCTGTTGCATGTGTTGGGTGGCTTCAACATCATGTCTGTATTACATCAGTTTCTCTGAGGTTTTTTCATTCTGTGCCCACGATCGTCTACAATATCCTCCATTTCACCCTTGGGTAACATACACAACTCGTTATTTTCCATTCGGTTTACAGTCGAGGGCTAAGCGCTCTAGGTCATTCAACAGTCTCCGCAATTTTTAACTAATCCATCTCTATTTTTTTGGCAAATTTATTAGGGCGATAGCTTCTTGGTTGGTTCTTTGTCTTGTTTATCATTTCCAAACGGTCATCCAACCTTCAGTACGGAAGGAAGAAAGATGCTAGTAAACTGCTAGAAATGCTAGTCTTGACTCACTATATCTCTGAAGCACTTAGATGCACTGAATTGACTTCATTGTTAAAAGTCCGAATCTTGTTCCTTATGACGTTCGCAGCAGACTTTCACAGTCATTTCAAATTAATGAAGGTCTGGCTTGGTTTTCTTTTCTTCACTATTTGTGACATCTTCATGTTTGACGCCTTTGGTTAAAACGATGCTGCCTAGTTCAGGTAATTAAAAGTGGTGACTTCTTAATTGAAGTCCTATCTTCACTGTGAGGCTCTTCTGCCAACCTGCTAATTTTTACCTGTATATCATCTTTGAGTTTTTGTGACATTAGCTAGAAATCATTCGTGAACTTCACAATTTCTAGAGTTCTTTTGTGAGTCCAGCGTATGCCTGTCTTCTCACCTTCCTCGGCCTATTGCATGATCTATCTACCGTAATAAGGAGTGTCATCGGTGGTAGTAAGTCTGATTATTCATTGATTTGTTTGTTTGTCAGGACTCCTGAGAGTGTTCTAAACGTTAGTAAAATATTCTATTTCCACTGGTTTCCTGTGAGACGCTATAGAGATAGTGGTGTACCGGCAGAAGACAAGGGCCAGGTGACAGATCGATTTCTGAGGAAATCAAGAGATACTAAAATATATTTTTATGTACATTATTATTCGTGAATATCAGCAGAGAAATAGAGTCCTCTGATTGGTTGTTTTTCTTGCTGAAAGTTCTTCTGTCATCTCTTTGTTGCCGTTTCTTAAACAGTCCATTGATATATTTGCTAATCACATCCACCCACGCTAAGTATGCTTTGATTGGTTGTTGGTTTCCTCAAGGTTAGGCTTTGTTCTTGATTTTCTCGTGATCAAGATTTGGGACGTAAACATTGACGTAAACTGCTATCTACCAATTTTGACTGGTAACACTTGCCATTTCTGTGTTATTCCTTTCTTTCTTCTCATAAATACTTTTAGATTTGTCAATGAAATTATTGAAAAGTGTTTAGCAATTCTATCTATTGGTTGTGAGCAGTATAATTATACTGATCAGAATAGTGAACAACTTAGCATAATGCCAATTCATTTATTCAGTCTTGTCGATTGTGATGCTAAATGGTGCATCCAATCTACTGTAAGTTAAAAAATATACATTTATTAATCTACCTATATGTATTGATAATCTAGTGATAGAATGTTCGACAATCGTGTACCTTGTTTTAGGTTTGATTCCATGCCGATGAACTCCTCAACCTTATTTAGATAGTAACAAGCCAGAAAAAGAGGGAAGGTTTAGCGTAAAGTTTTATGCTGCACTTGGAAGACACTTGGAATTTCCCCATATGTGTGCTCAACGGTCAAAATACATCTTGTTGGACAGTTGACGTTGTTCGCTTTTTGTCACAAAATGACGGAATTCAAATGTTGTATAGGTCAGTAGGTTCTAGCATGATGTTCACTTTGTCACACAGATTCCTGATTAGGATAAAGCGTCTCAAACCAGGATGATTTTCTGATTGTTGTCGACTTCTTATGAAATACGCCTAGAAAATGCTTTACTGTTTCGTCATTGTGAGTAGCAATCATTTCTAGATAACTTAAAACAGTAGTTGTCACACTGAGTATCGTCTCACGTTTTTATTTCTAAGGTTATAGGTCATTCATTCACTTCATTGTTTCATTGTGCGTCGGTGCCACAGTGGTTAGGACTCTCGCCGACCATGCACATGGTCCGAGGTTCGAGCCCGCGCCGACGCACACCTTGATATCTATGGTCGGCCTGCGAAATTCGGGCTACCGATATCCATGCTGAAAATTCCATACTTGTACAAAAATACGGTGTGGAATCAAGCTGTAATCAAAATAAAAAATAAATTTATTGAATTCCTTTAATGCCTGAAGTGTGCTAACAATGAATCGTTTCCTTGTAATCTTATTACAGTTGACATTTCACGACATTTAGATCAAAACCATCGGACGTCTTTGCATTCATTTCATAATCTATTTATGAGTTTTAGTGCAAGTTATGAGTAAAAGTTATACTCAGTAGCATGTCATCGGTAGGACGATTTTCTTGATTTATCCTAGAATTTTGCGTTTTTTAAAACTAAAAGTCTGGGGGATCTATTTAATAGCCATTCCACCAATGGAAAGCCTCAATGCTTGCAAATGTAATTGTTCTTGATGATTAGTGGTTGTCTAAAGATGCCACCCTTTGCTCATATGGTTTGCTAGTGACCAAAATAGTTTTAAACGATATTAGATCCTTTAAAATTCAGGAGCTGATGTACACCATAGGTTTGAATCAGGATTTTTCAGCTCTACTACTAAGTAGACCTGAATATCTACGAATCCGATAGTAAGTACTAGACATTCTAATTTCCCCTTTCACTTTTCTGAGGAATATCGCTATGTGAAGGCAGTTAAAAAGTACACTGATCAAACCTGAATAAAATACAATAATTCTTGAATGGTGGTTCGGTGAAGAGTTACTTTTTTGACATATAAAGTGTTAAGAAAAATTAGGTCCTTTGTGCATACCCTTCAGATGACTCTAAAGTTGGTTTACGCCTTCATTAGATGTTCATCATAATTCGGGAGTTCTAGAATAGACCTGCAGAGAGACACTTTTTCACTTCTGTAAAACTGTGAGCTGAAATGTTCGAAAATGTGTTTCGATAGCAAACTCTTAGTAATGCCGACACACATATAGAGCTCAACAGGAGTAGAGGAATTAACAAATACATATTGATGAGACCAATAATGGTAGCTAATCCTTTACGTTCATATCACTGACTGGCTTTTCAGAAAGATTTAATAATCGAAGTTCAACTGTCAAGAGGTATTCCATAAATGACCTGGAAAAGACCTAGTTTCCTAGTGTTTCTGCCGATGAGTCACTGTTGAACTGCAGGTACAGAAAGAGAAGTTTTTTGAAGACAGACAGTGTGTGCCACTTTGGTGGTGTAGGCTTTATGAATTTTATGGTGAGACGTGTGGTGGGGGGTAGCTATTTCCAATGGAAACCTATTTTAAAGTATTCAACTTCTCATCCATGGTATCAGTACAGTAACTCATTGACCTGAGCTTGTGAGTTAAACATCCAGGAAGGGTATTTTTCGATTGGTCTCCTTCTCTCTAGTGTGAACTGCATTACCATTTGGCATCTGTTAGAAAAATCTAGAATATCTCCTTAATTGTTTTCACTATTTGAGATAATAAAAGTGTCTGTCATCTACGTATCTTTTGTGAAACCTAAAGTCTTCGATCAGTTTCTTAAAATATAAATATAAATACAGTTTCACATATTGCTCAACTAATTGTTGACCTTGATTATTCCTCTTATGGTTTTCTTGCAAATTGTTACTGTCTTTCTATACTGTCAGCATGGTGCCTATTGTTGTAATGCTTTAATTAGTCAGCTGAAAAGGAACTCTGCACTTGTAAGTCCATTTGTTTGATTAAACTATAGCCTTTGCTCTATTTTCTTGTGTAGTTTTCATTGTATATGTCGAAATCCCTGAAGACTTGGGTTTTTTTTTACCCAATAATAATAAATGGACGAAATCGGGATATTCAAGTGTCCCACTGTAATATTTCTGGCATTAAAAATTCAACCGCTACGGAACACAAGTTGTTGACCTAAAATGTTATCATAATGAACTAAAGTTTCACCGTAGAATTCTGTACATAAATGCACCGGTTCAGGTTGCTGATCTTCATAACAGAAAACAGAAAGTTACACGAAAGAGAAATGCAAAGGAACCGTACTGATTACAAGGAAAGTCACTGAGATTTTATGAATCTCTGAGGTCACAAACAGTGTGAATGCGTCAGTGCTATTATGAAATACTTTTGAGCCATGTTATGATGAGGAAGTCAGTCTATGAGACTGAGAAACTGCATCAAATGATACAGTTTGGATATGTATTACGCATACTGAGCCATCGTATTCTTCGACGTAAAATAGAATTACGTGGCAAGACAGTTAGAGGTGGTCAAGTCAGTCATATTCATAAAGTCTTTGACTTTTGGCTTGAAACAGGTATAATGAGGTGCTGGGGTCAGGTCATTGAAACTCTAAAATTCAGTGGTTTGAGGCTGCTGATAACATGCTTCAAAATCGTTCGCACTGGTGACAGTTCACTCAGTTTTTGTGTTCTCCTGGATTTATTTAGTTTCCAGTATTCATCAAATGGTTATACTTTCTCGCAGACAGTTTTACCCATTATAGTATCACGGCATTGTTTGCTCGACCTTTGTTGCAACCAAAACAGACTCTTGGTAGTCTGAGCGCAGGGCAGCAATCTCTGTGTCCTACCGTATGTCTGACTAAAATTCCTTGAGACAAAAGCAGTCACAAAAACTCTCCAAAGACTGGAAAAAGAGGATTGTTGCGTTCACCAGTGTAGGCGTTGCGTCATCCCAGTTGCACGTGTGCGACGGTTGATCGATAAACAAAGCTTCAGCGGTTAACCTCTCTCAATTCACCAAACTACATTACTTTTCAATGCTCTCACCCTATCCAACCCAATGGTGTGTGATTACATGCAAGTGAATGCAATGCAATGGCTGAGCTTTGTTCAAAAATATATGAAGAACCATAGAAAAACTAAGATAAACAATAAAAATGATGAAAATAATATAGGATTCAAAGCCTCTGTAGTAAAGCCATATAAAAAAGAAAAACGTCGGAGGCCTTACGTAGAATTCTCCATGACGCTGGCATTAGGGTGTCATTTAAACCAAACACCAAACACTCTCTCAGAGATAAACTTTGTCTGTTTAAGGACCTAATAGATCCAATTAAGAAAACGAATAATATAATTTACCAAATACTATGCAATGACTGTGAGGTCAATTTCATAGGTCAAACTAGTAGATCAGGGTCAATTAGATTACTAGAACATAAAAATTTAGCTAGACCTAGAATGACTGACCCTACTAAGTTAAATAACCTAGAAAACAGCCTAGCCATTGAACTACATTCACTGGCATCTAATTACACACCACTGGGGTGGGGCTTGGTGGGGATATTCAAAAGTAACATGGTTAGGTGGAGAAAGAAATAGGTTAATCACTGTGACTGAGTCTTTGTTTTTCGATCTACCGCCGCACTCGTGAAATCGGAATGATGCCATGCCTATACCGGAGGAGATATGGCAAGTGGCAACAAACAATTAGAAGAAGTGTGAGAGAGATAGGGAAATACTTATATAAGGCACGGATGTGTCTAACAAAGCCAGGATAGAAAAAATAAAGACAGTCTTTCATCATCATCATCATCATCATCATTACCATCTTGAAATTAGTTTGCAAATCTGCTGCATTTCGAAGAAAATTATTCATATTTTCAACATTAATGTCAAGCAAATCAATTCTTCTCTATGGTTCAAAGACATGACGCGTATCTCACGAAATGCATTTCCAACAGACTACAACAGACTTCGATCAATAACTGCCTTCTCTGCGTCAGTGCTGAAGATCAAGTGGTCGATGGGAAAGGATATGCAACGCAGGACTTTGACAATAAACCAACCGATCAACCAACCAGTTGTCGCTCAACAAATAATATACACAAAAGGAGATGGATATAGATTGGATACACGCTGAGGAGACCATTGAGTAACATTATGCTCCACACTGTAGACTGGAAGTTGAATGAGATACAAGTAGTTGGACTTCACATCAAGTGTGACATAGAGGAGACGAAGGCAAATAGATGTTCGTGGAGCCAGCTTAATAGAATTGTAGGGGACAGAATAGAATGGAAATTTATTGTGGAAGCTGTATTTATTTATCAATAGAAACCCGAGGGGGTCACCGGTATCCCCGGTTGTTGCAGATATATTAATGGACAGATGGGAAAACATAGTGATTGAAACGTTTAGCCCCACCGTACTTCGTAGTATGATAGAGGTATATAGATGACACATTCACTGTACTTAGAACACAAGATATAAATAGATTTTTGAACACATCACCTCAAAAGGTGGGGGCAATTCAATTCCCTTATGAATTGTAAAAAGTCAGGAAGGGGAGCTTCCAATGTTAGATTGTACAGTAAAAAAGGAAAAAAGATGGGAAATGAAACAGTAGTGTGTATGTTTTCAGGAAACCCACACATCCAAACCGATGTTTGGATATCCGATCTTCCTATCCAATGTCAGTGGAAACAGGATTGGTGAAATGTCTAAGTGATAAGGTACAAAAACTAAGTAGTACCAAGGAAAATCTAAGACAGGGAGGGATACACATAAAAGAAGCCTTGAAACTTAATAATTACCTGGATAAATTTGTCAAGAAATATGTAGGGAAATGTGAAAATAAAATGAATAATGATAGTAGCGATAGTGGTAATAATAATGGTACTATTAGTGATGACATGCATGTCAAACATGCACAGGATAATGACAACACCAACAACAGGGAATCTAAATCATCAGTAGTACTTCCATACAAAGAAGGAACCTCGGAAATCTTATATAGAATTCTTGACAATTCAGGAATAAAAGTGGCTGGCATTCAAACCACCCACAAACTCAATTAGAAACGAACTTTGCCCGTTAAATGGTGGATCCTGTGGAGCCTTTAAAACAAAACGATTTAGTTTATCTAATACTCTGCCAGAATGATTTTCAGGTGAAATACATAGATCAAAGAAGTAAAACAGGGCAGTGAGCCTAGCTGAGCATAAACACTTAACAAAATATAGATTAGTTGATCCGAATAAGATAAGAAATCTAGAGAACAGTTCAGCTATAACACCACATGACACGCAATTACACACAACCAGTGCGTCGGTGGCACAGTGATTAGGAATCTCGCCAACCATCCACATGGTTCGAGGTTCGAATCCCTGCCGATGCACACCTGATGTCTATGGTCGCCTACAAAATTTGGTCTACCGATATCCATGCTGAAAATTCCATACTTGTACCAGAAATACAGTGTGAATCAAGCTGTAATCAAAAATATAAAATATAAATACAAATAGGATGGATGGGATAGGATGACACTTTTAAAATCTAATGTCACAGGGTGGAGGCAAAGATTGATAACGGAAGCTTTGTCTATCGAATCAACTGTGAACACGTATAATAGGAATGATTCAACATTTGTCCACCAGGACAGGAGAACAGAGAAAGCTATAGAACTCAAGTTTCGAAGTTGTGTGATTATATTTGATGAAATGATTATGAACAATTAACAAACTGTGTTAGAAACGTCATCCAATAAATAATACTGTTTCACTCGCTGTGAGTGATATATCTAATAAACAAACTGATATGGAATTACTACTACCACAGTGCCAAAGTTTTACACATATATTACTCAAGTAAAAGTTATTTCTATTATTATTTGGTATTTTATTTCTTTTGCAGTTTGAATTCAGTGTACGCGTATGCTTCATGTACATGAATAAACCCGCTAGTACAAGTGACTCTTCATGTAAGTGATTCATTTTCAATTTATGCTGTGTATGTTAACTAGATGTGCTTTGTTAATTTTATACGTTGTGTTTTCCCCTGACCACGTATACGCTGTTTTTAGCCTGATAACCAACAGTCTTACAAAAGTCTATGATGAGTAATCACCATTTATATTATAAATGACTAGATGTTGCCCCGAATGACTGAGTGGTGACATTTTTGACTGAACACAATATTCAGCGAAGAAACTCTTTTCAACAAGGGGCGAAGTTGAACTTTCGACACCACTAACTACCAATCAGCGAATTATCCAATGAGGTTCACAAACGCAGTTCAATGTTGTATAGCGCTTGATTCATTTCTGATGCGTGACCTTACAAGGCTACTGTTGCAATTCGAGGAGGTTAGTGTTTTCCAGTATTTCCTGGATTTGAGTTGCTCTGGAAAGAGCGAATTTGTTTGTGTGGTGGTATCATTACTTTAAAAAGCTATACCAAATCAACTGATGGGTTTGTTTATCGTTGTGCTATATGTTTGAAGCCCTAACCCAGATTTTGTATATCTGCAACTAATGGGTGTTGAAACAGGCTGTGAGAGGAGCAGCTGCCGAGATGGAGAATAGCCATGTCTCAACAGTTCAGTGGTACCAGCATTGTAGAGATATCGCATCATGGAAAATGGAGAAAATCACTTGTTTGCTAGGTGGGGAAGACGTTATCGTGCATGTCGATGAGACAGTGCTGGTAAAAAAGAAATACAACCGTGGTCGCCAGCGAGCGAACAATATTTGGGTAATAGGTTTGTGTGATACCTCCCTCCGAAAGGGATTCGTCGAAAGGATAGCAGATGGAAAAGCATTGACAGTCCCATGCTAAACTGGGAGATGTTTCTCTCACATGTTCGAGAAAGATATCCCGTGTAACTATTTTATTCTCTATTTTGTGCTTTTTTTCTATAAATATAGATTTCCATTCATCATATGTGCCTCTTTAATGTTATCGGTTCGTTCAAGGTCGTTTGCTGATTGGTTGTTAGTGGTGTCTAAAGTTTAACTTTGCCCAACAAGGAATTTATTATCAAGCTCTGCAATCGTATATATATGGTATATTTTTAAGAAATTATATCCAGTGGGGGAATTGAATTAAAGATGTTAGTAGATGAAATAATAATATCTGTGATTGTAACCATAGTTAAATTTTAAGTAGCAAAACAATTAATGTCATATACAGAATAATTCATAAGATGTATAGATGTTGGAAGGGGGTGTATAATTATAGGATTAGTAGGCTAATATAAAACGTTACATAAAATTGTAAAAAAGATTATTTTGGATTTACAATGACAAGTAGGACAAGTGGAAGGAATTCAGATTGAGAATAGTAATAACAATAATAATAACCGTAGTGATGAGGGAAAGGTACATCGATTAACTAAATAAACAAAATAAATAAATAAATGTCTATCCCTCGATGGCCAAGGCAGAAGTAAGGATTGTACATACTTCTTTAGAATACAAAAGTCTGGCTTAAATACATGTATCTTTAAGGCCTCTGCTATCTTTAGAAGTTTATAGCGAAGTAAAAGGGCTGCAAGTTAGCATGGATTCGATATATGATCTTAAAATCATGCTCAGGGTTAGTGGAGTGACTGGAATAGATCAAGTGTTCTAGAATAGAGATAGCTTCTAACATCCTTCCTTTCTCCCTTGTAAAACCATGCTGCTGGAATGTGCTCTTGTATCCGCGTGGAAAGAGCCCTCCGGCTACGGCTAATGTACTCTGCTTTAAAAAGCAGGTGAACTGATAATTGCACAAAGAGGTGGTCAGACGAGGAAGCTTATCTTTTACAGAGATGGAGAACAACTTGCGGCTGATGAAGGTCATTTGTAATTTTGCAGCAAACAATGTCTTACTGATTGATTTAGAGAGACGGCTTTTTGAGTATATCTGAAGCTTGATCACTTTTGAATTCCGAGTTCATGAATAAGGTCTTCTTTTGGAACTGTGCTGGTGACCAGCTTGAACTGCTTATCTTTTGTGGTTTTGTCAATAAATCGGTGAGGGTAACCGTTTTCTAGGAGAGCGGGTTTTAGGATGGCAAGTTCTGATTCAACCCACTCAGAAGTACAAATATTTCTTATCCTAAAGTAGAGCGAATTAATCAGATTCCTTTTTCTGAAGCAATGGGTAGCGTGAGTTCGGATCTCTTAGGAGACTCCATTTCTTTCGTGGCTGGAGTTACGTCTCACTGCGGAGTGCTAACAGGCAAGAACCATATGTCAGCGGAATTTCTATCAACTACCTCCATGAATCTAGCACAAGTTTAATTGATAGTAGGACTTCTGGGAGTTGATTCATGATCTGTATTTCATTTCTGTGTAATCTTCGTTTTTTTCCATTAATCCTAAATGCCTAATTAGGTTACTTTTCATTATTGTTTGCTCCACTTTTGCGCCCTTCGTAAGTTTATACTAGAAGTAAGTTTGTGAATCTTATCTCTTTTACCAAAATGGTTCAGAAGTCTCTCGTACATTACGTAACCACCGTCTTCCTAGTAGATCACTGTTGACTGAAGTTGTGAAGGGCCGTTAGAATAAGAGTATATTGTTGTTAGTTTCAATCATATAGAAAGCATCCTCAAGAATAAATCTGATTTGCAATTTTCATTTTGCTCTCGCGATTTACGATTCGAAAAATCGAGAAAGCAAGCATAAAGGTATGCTTGTATCAACCAGTGGTACCTACTAACCGAATGATAATGAGTTAAACACTGGAAGGAAGTTTCACTCACTCGAAATTGTCTTCATCAATGATGTACTCGGCTTGACTCAGCTCAGAGACGTGCATCACTCGAAGCCACTCGAATTCCGGCCAATTACTAGGGCTAACTTCTAACACAGAATCATAACGTATATTATGACTTGTTGAGACTCATATTCCCTTTAAAACTTAGAGCTGTATTCTAATTAGTTCTGTAATCTTTACTGTCCATTACATTGCGAATTGATGAGTAGTTGTTGAACCATTTGACCGACAGCCTTCCCTCATTTATTTTCACCTACTCGTTATTTATTTTAATATCTTTTGCAGCACTGTTACTGTTTTCTTGATGTTTAATTTGTACTACTTAATTATGAGTAAGTAGTATGATTCATATCTCATTAATTATGTGATTGCCATGTAAACATGGTGGTACTTTCCATTGAAGTGTATCTCATTTATTGTGTTAACAGTCTTATTTGGTGTTTTGGTAATCACCATCCTATAATTAAACTGTATCTGTTGTAAATATTTCCCTCATGTTCTATTTCTTCTTGAATCTTGTTCATTGTAACCCTTTTTGTCTTGACATTTGTAAGAATCTCAGCGAACTTGAAATGAGTAATGTCAATGTTTCCTGTGTTCGGCTAACTGGTGATCCGAAATTCTTAAGGAAAATTAATTGAAATTAACATAACAAAGGTTTATAGATAGAAAAGACATCTCTTGAATCTAAACAACTTTGTTCAATCATATGAGTCAATGGGAGATAAAATAGAAGAAGAGAACCAGCAGAATTGTGTGCACCAGATCAGTTGTGGGGACTGTGATGCCGTATATGCAGGATAAACCTGCGGACAGGTAAATATATGAGTGAAAGAGCATAAACAATGTCTAAAGGTGGTTCCAAAGACTGCTGCAGACTGAAAGAAGCTAGAAAACAGATCAATGGTTTCACCGCATTCGATAGAAACAGGACACAAGATCGACTTTGATAGGAATAAGGCTCTACAGGGAGGTTTTGGTTCGTATACAAAGAAATACTGACTACAGAAGCCTTACATACAGGGATCAATCCCAACGGTATGAACAGATGTGAAGGTGTGATATTAGCTGATGCATAGCAAATCCTGATTAATAAATTAAAAAAATGGATATGTATCACTAATTAATCATACTTGGTCTAAATTCTTGATTGTCTATGTCTTCTTACAGAGAGGCTAACAAATGTTTTACAACTGTTTACCCATGCACACATACACATAGTCGTACACTACATACACACATATTTTCAAATCCAGTTATCTATGACCATGAACTTTTAGTCGAATGTAATCTGATAAAATGTACACTCTGTTTAAAGTGTTTAACAAAAGCAGACTAATATTTCCAATAGTTGGTTTGTAAAGATTAGGTTTGTTTTTACGAGTTGATCACGGATTGTTATCAGTCAGTTAGAGAACCATTGAAAACCAGCCATGGAGTACTGGAAAGATGTTTCATCTAACTGAAAGCAATCTGTGCTCGACTCGTAAAAGACTAATATTTGAAAGTTTGACGTTAAATTTTGATCACAGCTCATAAAATTTTGTTCATTATACATGTTGACACCTATTTCATGACTCATATAATTGAACAAAGTTTTTAAAAACAATAGATATCTTTTTTTTTATAAATATAAACCACTGTTATGTTAATCTCCCTGAAGAAGTGAGGACCACCAGTTAGCCGAATGCAGGAAACATTGACATTACTTATTTCAATTTCGCTGAGATTTTACAAATATAATTTTTTACAAATGTCTACTTCTCACAAGGTACCCAATTACTTTTGGAACTGTTCTGTCAAATCCTGGTCATAGTTCATAGGAATTTTTTTTGCCTTGCTCCATACATTCGTATGTTCTTTTAATTGTTGAACCATGCATCATTTTGAAACAGCCCTGATATTTGATGTTTAGGCGTACCCTGGCGGAATCGGGCAGGTGTCTTGATCTCGGATAATCCGTCTTTTGACTACCATACGTAAGGCGAAACTTGTGTGTTTTGTCTACGAAATCGTAATTTTCAGTTGATCTTATTCGTTTTGGATTTTTCAGAATATATCTACGGTACCTCACTCCTGTAATGTAAAAGCTAACCTTGGCCTGTGCACTTTGTCTAATCTAAATGTTTAACTTGTCTAAATTTTTCCAAGCTTTCTGATGGATAGTTGTGACTTGCAGTTACACGAATTACATTAATACTCAACAACAATATGGTTATCATTCGATAAACCGTTTCACAAGATCATTAATCCATGTGAGGTAGCAGTCGAAAGGGAGAGTTAATCATGGCGTGGGAATAAGTTCCTTCAAGTTTTTAGACGTCTGTTGGGTTTCAATACACACAACAATTACGTTAAACACGAATTTCTTAAAGTCTGTTAACTGATTGGAGTTAATCAGAAGGAAGCCTTCTTGTTTGACTAGTGGTAGCTAGTTATAGAATTCAGCACGCGCGTTCTGTCCTATTCAGAAGTTGTCAGGTGGAATCAACTGCCGTATAACATAATGTTAAACTTCAGATAATCATCGAGACGTCAGTGCTAGGAGCTGGGATGTTAAAAGACACTACTATCTCCATTTTTACTTAATTCCATGATATATATATATATATATATATATATATATAAATGGAAACGACTCTGATTGATTTGCTTTCAGGGAGCAGTTTCGTCGACTTAGAGTATGTGGTTGACATTGTTCACCTAAGTGAAGATAGGGAGGGAAGTCTGCTACCGTGTTGAGCACTTCGATTGTTTCTGGAGATGCATCAGTCCTAGTGGAAGGATTACTGATGAATTCTTAACATGGATACGAATGACTGGAGTGACACTTGTCAGCCTCAGTCACCTCTGACCCAGACATGATATCTGACTGCTCAGAAATTCACTTTGTTCTCCTTTATTGATGTGAAATATAGCTATTTAATGTTGAAGACGTGAAATGGTTAGCTAGCTATCTTTGATCATTGGTGTCTGCCCCTCATCTCCCATGAAAATCTGTATAATATGGTTATTGATATATAGGTTAGATGTAGACAGTTAGCTAAGAAGGGTAGGTCAATCAATAAGGTTGTGAAGCTACAACGATTGAGATGGCTAGAACACGTGTTAAGCATACCACGCTATCGCTTTCTTCAGCGGGTAGTGTTAACCGATATAGGGTCAGATTGGAAAAGAGCTAGAGGTGGTCAATCCGTGGAGTCATTAGTAGTTGCTTTGAGCCACACACGCCGGTATAGATGGCCTCTTTGAGTTTCCTGAGATGCTCGAGACCATTAGTGATATGGCTCAAAATCGCTCTGAGTGGCGCAGGTGCATTTACACTTTATTACCTCCCAGATCTATTAAGTCATCATGTTTTCCATTTTACTAATCTTTTTTCCGTATTTTCCTACAAGTTAAAGTTCTTATGAATCTCCTTTTTCCCTGTCTTTGTGTGCTATTTGGAATATGGTGACTGGAACTGCTGCATTCCAGTCTTAAGTTCTATGTTGAATCTCAGTCAGTCAGTGAAACAATATAAATCAAATAGCGGGAAATTTAAAGTGACTCAAACGATTTGAAATGATACATCTTGGCTTGATGATATCGATGGTTGAAGGCAATCGGCTTGGACTTAAGCTTCGTGCTAGCTGGCACTCGTCAGCAAGGCGTACCTGCAACCGTGCACCGTGATAGCGAGCTACCTAGGATGGCGGCCACATTACAACCTGACTGATAGAATTCAGTCTGCACCAAAGAGACGACTAAACACATCGCACTAGTTACTAGTGATATACCTTGAGTACATAATCTATGGTACTTATCAACTGATAATAAAATTCAGATGTCATTTCATGATGAAATCCTGAAACCAATCAAATCCATGCTGCAAATCAATACTTCATATCAATCTGATGCTCACTAGTGACTGACCCTATTAAGATAGGTAGTTACCTGGGTTCTGTTGATAAGTCGTTACCATTGGGGTACAGAAAGTCGGATGTGAAGAAAACATACTCGCCAGTGACGACATTCGCTAGTGGTCGCGCCATGTCGTGGATTGACAAAAGCTGGAATTCATGGCTGGCTAGTGAACCCGAACTCAGTGGCCTAATGGTCTATGAGCTTGCCTAATAACCAGAAGATCCTGAGTCCTAACCATGGTGATGGGTGTGCACTGATGAAGAGTCCCGAACTAGGCCAACGAAACATCCAGCTGTCCAGTACTCCTTGGTGGTTTCCAATATTCTTCTAACCGATGTAAGTTCAAGATGAAATTCTGAAACAGATAGTGATAATTGATCGGTCCATCTGATTCAGAAGGCGCTTTTTATGCCCTATCTTTTACATGTAATAGACTTAAGGAAGATACACTTTTAATCCTTTAAATAATTCACGTTTGTATAAATCGTATATTCCAAAAAACCTCTAACCGGCAGAGTAGAGAATAAATAATCTCTCTTGTAATCTTTTTTGTTTTTACATTGCTGTAGTAACAAGAAAGAATTTACTGACCAGCAGACATACAAATAATCCTAATAGTAATCATAAGAATTACTATTCTCATGAAGAATTAGTTTATGCTTCATTTCTTCACTCTATACATTTAATATGTCGTGTTATCTGCTTTTCACATGGACGTAACTTATTCCCAATTGTATTGAAATGTAAAAATATCGCTGCGACAGTCACTGCCACAGCAATAACACTACAGAAATGATAAACTGTAAGTCTCCAATCCTCTTGCTTTTCCTGTTGTCTGTTGTTTTAACAATCTTTCTCTCTGCTTAGAAGTGTGTATTTTTGTGTGTTTGTGTGTGTGTGTGTTGAAAGGCTTACATATTTAACTCCTTTTTAGTAGTGTAGGCGGGTGAAATAAAAGTGGGAGAATTTAGCAACTATGACAACAAACGAAAGAAATCAATATTTGTTTTACAGCTGGGGTGGGGGGAAGGTTGACTTAAGAATAATGGAGGATAAATGATGTCATAATGTCTGCGTGTCCTTGAATTGGAACAGTTATGCAACGACAGTAATTATAATGCCAATATAGTCGAAATAATATGAAGTGATGATAAGTAGTACTTTCGGATTTATCGTGTACAACTATCATTATTATTTCATTATTATCCCCTTGAGTTTCGAGTGGGGCGTACGGCTTCAACAAGACAACTCCGTTTAACCCTGTTCTCTACAGTCACGTTTGGCTCCTTCCGCAAGTACTCATAAACTTATATTTTATCCTCACTAGATCCGCCAAGCGTCACTGCCTCACTCCCCTTCAGACTCCTCTTGAAATCCTGAGGCGCGATATGGCTCAAAGGTCTTCTAAGCTTTTGTCCTATCAATCTTCACTTTCTGCTGCAACAGGCTCATAGTTGGTTTATTGACACAGTTTACTGTTGCCTTCTCATCTCTTCTGGTCATCTGGCTTTAAGTACAGAGCAAACTGGGCAGCTATTGACAAAAGTTTGCAAGGTAGCGCGTTGGAAATGCTTTAGATGATACGCATTTCAAGTCACTGAACCGTATAGAAGTGTAACAACTGAAGATAAGAGTCAGACAACAGATTGTTTCTCTTTTTTGAGAAAATCAAGAGGTACTTATGGATTTTTAAGTAAATGTTGTTAGTGGAGAAGCAGCCTCTTCTGATTGGCTGTTTTCTTGCTGAAGGTCATTCTTTTATCTCTTTGTGGTCGTTTCTCAGAAAATCAAGCCATACATCTGCGAATCATGTTTCTATACGTGAACTCCGCTGTGACTGGCTGGTGATTTTTCAAGGTTTATCTTTGTTATTGTTTTTCTCATGACCCTGGATCGGGACGTGAACATTGGAGTAAATTGTTGTCTGCATTTCTGGCTTGCAGCCAGCTCTCAACACAGAAGTACTGGGGACTTCATAGTATTGTTAAAAATCAGAGTCCTTTTCTATATGATGAGTGCGGCAGATTTCCACACTATTCTTAAGTGTGATGTAGGTTACTCACAGCTGTCCGGTCCTGATTTTGACATCCTTATACGTGCCGCCACCTGTAGTTGAAATGATACCACTTGGATAAGTGGAAAGGGTAACTTCTGTCAAATTTCTCCTGTTTTTGACGACTGGTATTTTTGCTGTTGTCCTTTGGGTGCATTCATCACATCTGTCTTCTCTGTGCCCTCCTGAAACCCTGTCTTTGCTGCTTCTGTTGCCAATCGAGATCATCAAAAATATAGCCCATTTTACTTAGCTTAGAGAGTTGAGTCAGTTGAAGCCACCTGAATTCCAGTTGGCTATTCTAGTGATCTATTAATACATAGAATATATTCTGTAGGTTTTTCAAGCTAATTCGTGATTAACATGATATGGGCTCGAGCTTTACCACAGTTTTCTTTGGAAACCGAAATCATTCAGATAGTAAAATATGTGATCTGCTTGATAGTTTAAGTCAGAATTCTTTGTCCTCAACCGTTATGCAAATAGTGTCGAACCACTAAGCATTTCGAGCTGAAATAGTTCATTTCTTGCAGGCTGCTGAAACCAATCAATGATTGCTTACGCCAGAAACAATCAGCAACAAGAAACTATTGCTCAGCAGAGATGCAGGAGAAAACAGAGGTGGGTTGGAAATAATCTGAAGAGACTGCCAGATGAAATCATACGCCAAGCTCTCTTTTGAGTGGAAAACGACCATTGGGATGTCCATGGGTGACGTGGAGGAGATCGTCTGAAGAAGAGATCAAATATTATGGGCGATCATGAAACCGGCTAAAAAGGACCGCAAAGAACAGGAAAAAATGAAGACATGAAGATAAAGCCTTATGTTCCCTTGTAAGAACTGAAGGGAACATCAATAATAATAAAACTCAAGCGAAAAAGAACCCTTTCGGTATATATATGACAAACGTATCCTCTCTGGTGACTAGATGTGATGTCAACCGATGAGGGCCTACAGTATCTAGTTATCTTTTTGAACACAGAAAACAGCTTAATAGCTGAATGAAAAGCTAGCTAATCCCTTTGGATCGACAGTCCTAAGTTGGATAGCTTGGGTGCACTGAATAGGTGGAATTGTACCACAGTAGAACATTTACTGCATGCTACTTGGCTTCTCATAATTCCTTCATTGATATCCTTCTTCATGAAGTATTACGTTTGGCGAAACCATATGGCACCGGAAAGCTGTTTCATTCTCCTAGTTAGAAAGACAAGAAGGAAACAGCTGTTCAGTGTACTCCTAAGTCTTCAATGGCCCTCTAACTGAAGCCATTTCGTGGTCGGTCTTGAAACCAGTCCAGTCCTTGCAAAGCAACACTTGAATGAGGGTTCCCAGTGTCATCGGTTAATATGTATTTCACAAGTAAAAACTTAGATATACAGTACTAGTAAAGGTACACTTAGTCCATGTCATGTAGATGGTAATAACCAATAGAAGTGGAATAATGCCTGAAGTCATCCCGTGTATGTTTTTACTTGATTAGGAGGGGATCTTATAAATTATCCTAAGAACGTCGCTCACTGTAAAGGCATAATTCACTGCTATATTCATGTAGTAATGTAAATAATATAAATTTTGAAAAGGTATTTATTTAAATGGCACCAAAGTCCTTGCTAGTCTAGCTAGCAGTAAATATTACTTAACAGTCATATTTAGGCAGCTGACTTCAAAGTCAGAAATACACCAAATTGCATTTGCACGATTTTTTAGGATTAAATATGTCACCTACTATTATTGTTATCATCAGGCATGCTTTGTTTCCATCCATATCCTAGTGGTGACTCTAAGGCATGTAGATGTATACTATATCATCGCCCTTTAGGTTAGAAACAGTCAGATAAGCCTATACAACTCACTATTTCATGAACAGCATAATGCATGTGATTAACTATATGAATATTTAGAAATCCATATGAGATTGACATCACTCAGCATAAAAAGTAAGATCCGGGTTTTCAAATCCAACGTGAAGTCAGTGCTACTTACTATACGGATTAGAGACTTGCAATGCGCGTCACAAAAGACACTTCGAACAAACTGCAAACCCCATCAACAGCTGTCTTCGCTCACTACTACTCTGACAATGAATGAACCAACCCAGCAGGACCGACTGTGCGACAAATATCCGGGAAGAAATGGAGGTTGATTGGCCATACTCTGAGAAAACCGTCAAACGACATCACACGACAGGCCATTGCTCAACTAGAACACGAGTGGGAAGTGGAGAGTTGGTCGTCAATGCGAGGGTGAGGTGGAGGAGGTGATGTGAAGAAAAGATGAAAGCGTGTGGGCAGGCGTGGAGCCAGGCGTTGAAAACGTTTGGCAGAGAACCGAATGCAATGGAGACGTGCGGCTGCAACCCTATGTTCCTATAGAAACTAAAGGAAACAATAATAATAGTATAATAAAATTCATCTTTGATTGACAGGATAAATTATTACTCATATCAATAAATAAGTAATTTTCAAGTAATAGTTTGTGGGGATTTTATATGATTGGTTTTAGGCTTTTATCATGAACTGATGAAGAGTTCCAAACTCGGACGAAACAGCCGTCCAGTATTGCCAGGTGTTCCAATGATTGTTCTCTAAATGATGTCACTCGTAATAAAGTCCTCCAACCAAATAAGTAATTTGTTTATTGGTTAGCACACAGAGAAGAGTATCGACCTTGTTGTGCTTGAAGATCTTGTCATTTGAAGGATTATAAAAAAAGGAAAGGTATCAGGACAAACAGCTCCAAATATAAGACTTTAATTATAGGGATACTGTTTACGAATTCAAAGGACTATAATTTTGAGATTCTGTTATCAGTGTAAAGCGTCTTAAATTGAGTCTGCATTTAGTGATCTCACTTTTTGAGCAGGGAACTTCAACTTCAACGACTGACTGACTAGAACTTAATAAATTTAGAAAGATTTATATTAAGTTAATGTTTAATTCAAACCTGTTAACTAATTTAGCCTATTTTGATTGAATTCGACACGTCAAGTGTGCTGTCTGAAAGAAAATTGTTTAGGTAGCACGGTTGCCTTATTCACATTAAGGGAACAAACAGTTGAAGCCTTTCGATCATAAGTATTTCAAAGATATTATCCTAAGATGAAATGATACATTTCTGTGTGTTTAATTTTCGTTAGGGATGTCAATGTAACACTCGAAACCGTTAGAAATCATGAATTTCATGACAACTGGATTTGTTTTACAAGTGTTATTTAGTTTGCAGAGTTTTGATTGGTTTCATATTTCATCATGGAGTGGTAACAGTTAGGCAACAACTAGAAACCAGGAAGTACTGGACAGCTGTTTCGTCCTAGTTCAGGACTTTTCATCAGTACGGACCTACTGGGTTCAGACCTTGACATTCACAATACGAGAGAGGCTCATTGGCTGTTCAACCATTGAGATGAGATCTTGTGACCACCTCGTGAATTTATATTTCGTCATTACCCCATATCACTAGGGATTAATCACAGGACATAGTTGCCAGGAGTTCCGGTGAGTTGTTTTCATCACCGGTGTCCAGCAGATCGTGTTTGAGGACTAAAACTAGCCGGCATTGGCGCCAAAATTCGCTAATTTATAGAATTTAGAATTCATGAGTTAGCCACTGGATTCTTTCCCAGTGAGTCAATGATCAACAAGCTTGCTCCATAGTCTGAATATATCAAAGCAGCTCTCCAGTACTCTGTGATTTTCAACGGTTCTCTAGCTGATATCAATCCTCAATCAAACGTGGGAGTCGATTTCTATTAGTTGCTGGTTAGAGATGAAACGCCATGAATTATTTTCTTTGTTACACCTTCATGGTGTGAGCTTTTAGTATGACAGAAGACCATTAGTTCAGTGAAGAGTCGCTTTCAGCGAGTTCATTTCCATAGGTGTACAGTCTCAAATACATATATATGTGTTATTTTGTATGTATGTGTACATTAAATTAGTCAAACAAAAATACAATTAGTAAGTTTTTTGGTGGAGTGACATAATACAAGCGGTATTCCAATGAAATGATGTTGATATAAAGGGTAGTAACAAAGTGATGAGTTGTCACAAATGATTGTTAAAGAAGAATTACGTAATAGCGTGAATAGTTTGATGAAAGAGTTGTTCTCAGGGTGTGCGTGGAAACAAAATAACATATGGAATTACGTAAGTTTTAAGTAATTAGAAAAATAAGCATACAAACAAAAGTTAAGTCAAATCAAGCAAAAAAAAGGGAAGTTAAGTCAAATCAATGGAGTTGTTACCATGATTGTATATGTGTTTGAATTATTTTCTTTTGTATGCATAGTTCTGGTTCTTCTAAATGAATGGCTAGAGCATCCTCAATGCAAAGAAGACGACAACGTATTGTCTTTGCCAGGTTGTTCTTCACTCTGTGGATTACTTTGAATGGGGAGTTTGTTGAGATGGAATGACCAGTAGTGACGAAGTGTTCGCTTATGACACTTCTTACACGGTCACTACTTCCTTTCTGGAGCCAGGCTGGATAGTGTTCTTTGGCCTCTTTTAACAGGATGAGCGTCGAACAACCGACATACCTGGTTCCAAAGCAATAGGTAAACTGATATAAACACACAGAATTGGTTAAGTGGGAGATCTTGTACTTTATGCTTCTACAGATCATCGGGAAACTGGTGAACACTACTCTCAATGATGTCAAAAAGAAAGTCTTCCTTATTTTTATTACGTTACTCTTCTTTAACAATCGTTTGTGACAACTCATCACTTATGTTATTACCCTTTTATATGAACATGAAATTCATTGAAACGCTTTTGTATTACGTCACTCCACCAAAAAACTTACTAATTGTATTTTTGTTTGACTAATTTAATGTACACATACATACAAAATAACAAACATATATATGTATTTGAGACTGTACACCTATGAAATGAACTCGCTGAAAAGCGACTCTTCACTGAACTAATGGTCTTCTGTCATGCTAAAAGCTCACACCATGAAGGTGTAACAAAGAAAATAATTCATGGCGTTTCATGTCTAACCAGCAACTAATAGAAATCGACTCCCACGTTTGATTGAGGATTGATATCAGCTAGAGAACCGTTGAAAATCACAGAGTACTGGAGAGCTGCTTTGATATATTCAGACTATGGAGCAAGCTTGTTGATCATTCACTCACTGGGAAAGAATCCAGTGGCTAACTCATGAATTCTAAATTCTATAAATTAGTGAATTTTGGCGCCTATGAAAATGAACTCGCTGAAAAGCGACTTTTCACTGAACTAATAGTCTTCTGTATTTTAGCATGAATTATGGAGTTGAACTAATGATAGATGATGTCTTCTAGTGTAATAATAAAAGGCTACCTTGGATTTAAAGTATTGCCTTCTTCATGACTTAATTAATCTTGTCAGCTAAGAGAGATATTAATAAAAATACAAAAAATTATCGTGAAATATTGATTTTTGGTGTTGCTTTGCTTTACAGCAGATCAGTTTGTAGTTACAGTAAATGCATTTCTCTGTACAATGTTACAATTCCTATACAAGAATACATTTACAACAGAAGATATACATCTGTGTAAGTTGAATTTACTTGGAAAATTTTTATGAAAACCCTAATATGATTAAAATATATAAAAAATATTGAAATTATGAAGAAGATTTGCAGGTCAAGTGGATGATTTTGATTTAGTTGGGTTCTCTAAGCTGGTTGATTTCATCACAAAGCTTTCATTGTTCTTCTAGATGGCATCCTTAGCGCTGAAGACTGACTGACTGGTTTCAGTGTAGAACTTTGCACCGATGTGCAGCAATTCGAGTCACCACACTTCACTATGCACATAAAGCAAGAGAAGAAAGTAAAAAGAGATTCAAAACAGAGATAATATACAGAGATATGAAGCAATAACAATGGTAATATCGAAGAAAAAAATAGTTGTATCGAAATATAAGTCATTAGGAGTGGATGCATCTGCGCCAGCCATTGCTGAGAATGATTTTGAGCCATATCACCAATTGTCTCCAGCCTTTATTGGTGTTTGCTGTCTCGAGGACCCTAACCAGGAAGTCTACATCTTTCTATTCGGCTTAAACTAAATTTTGTGGATTTCATTGACTGGTGAGGCCATATTTTGGTTTGACCATCACTAACTTCCTCTTTTCCAACCTGATCCATGCTATATCACCTAACATATAGCCCGTCGATTGAGGAAGGCGATGGTTAGGCATGCGTAACGCATGTTTTAACCATCTCAGTCGATGTATCTTCACAGCTTTGTCTAGTGATTTCCCCTCCCACATACCTAGCACTCGACTGATGCCTAACCTTAATGTTGCTCACCTCATTATACCATTTAACACACACGTGGGATAGAACTCAGGCACATATGACAAAAACAGCTATCCTTTTCATGTCCTCTACTCCCAATGGCCGGTTATAACAGCTGTGAATATGTTCTTTAGGTGGAGAACGTAAGCTTCACGATTATGTTAACCAGTTTAGAGAAAAACTCACTACTCTTAAGTCTCTGTGAAAGTCAACAGCACTCAGCATCAAAATTAAGATCCGGATTTTCAACTCGAATGGGAAGTCAGTGCTACTATACGAATCAGAGAATTGGCCAGGCGTCATAAACAGCACCTCAAACAAACCTCAGACCTTCATTAACAGTTATCTTCGCTCAACACCACTCAAGATCAGATGGCCGGCCAGAAAAGATCAGCAACAAGGATCTCTAGCAATGAGCGAACCAACCAGGAACCGATTGTGAAACAAATAGGCAGGAAGAAATGGAGATGGATTGGCTGGCCATACGCTCAGGAAACCATCAAGTGACATCATTAGACAAGCCATTGCTCGAGTGGAACACGAAAGGGAAGCGGGGAGTTGGTCGTCAGTGCAAGGGTGACTTGGAGGAGGTCATGTGAAGAGGAAATGAAAGCATGTGGCAGACTTGGAGCGGGGTGAAAAGTTGGCAGAGAACCGAAGGCAATGGAGACCCGCAGCTGAAGCCCTATGTTCCTCTAGGAATTAAAGGATATAATAATAATAATACAACTCAGTACAAGTAATCCTACTGGAAATGTGTTTCTTTACGTTTTCCAAATGTACTTTGATGATGAGTGTCGAAACGCACAAGACACAACTAGAAAGACGTTTGATTGACGCTTATATCTTTACCCTCGAATGGCATGTGAATAATTCGACTTATGAAATTTTCAAACGAAGTACTCATATTTTGAAGTGTAGAATCGACTTCAGCAGGAGTTGACATGTTAAGAGACTCTGAGCATTTCACTCCGATGTAATTAATCAACAAGAATTTCTAAATCATAAGCACAACAAGTAAAAACAGCTGTCACTTATCTCACTAGTAATGTCTTCTGTGATCTTCCTTGGCTTGGTGGGTACTATTCTTGACGTTGGAAACGATGGATAATGGCTCAGAGTCTTGGTGAGAATAACATCACTTATTCGAATCCAGCTACATCTAGCACTGATTAGTCAGAAAATAGTCGAAATACGCATCCAAGATTCCAGTGGATTTATCAAATAACAATGTGTCAATTCTGAAGTGTCGTTTAGGCATCCTTTATGGGAACTCATACAACGAAATGATGGTTTCAAAAAGGGTGTTCATTTATCTCTAATTCGGGAAAAATACCCATTAAGACATTGAAATAAGAACAAATTAGTTCAGCGAAGAGTCTCTTTTCGGCGAATTCATTCTCTTAGCTGTACAGTCGCAAATATATACAATTAATTTTGTGTATGTGTGTGTGTACATAAGGTTTGTCAAAATCAAAATCAAAATAACAGTTAGTGTGGGTTGTTGATTACATCATCAAAATAATAAAGAAATTAAATTGTGTGAATAGTAATCAAAGTTGTAACTAAGTGGGGTAGGGATTGGTAAGATGTGAGTAGGGTTACGTCATCAAAATAATATGGAAATTTAAATGTGTGACTAATAATCAAAGTTGTAACTAAGTGGGGTGGGGATTGGTAAGATGTGAGTAGGGTTACGTAATATAGACATGTTTAGAAAGATTAGATGTTCGTGAAGGAGTATGGAGACAATTATGAAAATAAACTAGATAATAGGTGAAAAGATTGAATGGGTTAGTTACTAAAAATTATTATACGAATATTGCAAAAAAAAATTTGATAACAAAATGTTGATGACAGATGAACTTGAAATTAAACCCACGGTAGTAGGAGGGGGTGGAGAAGTTTCTTCTGTGTGCATAATTCAGGCTTTTCTTTCCAAATCGCTAAGGCTTCGGCAATACAAAGTATACGGAAGCTTGTCGATTTTGGAAGGCTTCTTTTGACTTTATAGATGACTTTGAATGACTTCTCCTTGCAAATCGAATGACCAGTGTTGAGTATATGCTCAATAATGGCGCTCCTTATTGCTCCATTGTTACCTTTCCGTAGCCAGGCGGGATAGTGTTCTTGAACTCTTTTAGATAAAACCCGCATCGAACGACCTATATACCTCGCTCCGCAAGAGCAGGTGAATTGGTAGATACACATGGAAGTGGTCAAATGCGATAGTTTATCTTTAGAGTAGTTGAAGAACAATGGCCGGGAGGAAAATGTCAGTCGTAGTGTGGCAGCGAAGAATGTCCTTCTTAGAGCAGTAGATATCCTCTTCTTCAAGGTGTCAGCCAGAAGGTCACCTTTGGAGGGTACATTCATGTAGACCATCTTCTTCTGCACTGTAGTGGGTTGTTCTTTGTAAGTCTTAGGCTTAATATGCTTGTCTATAAAACGGGGTGGGTAGCCATTCTCGAGCAGTGTCTTCCTTAAGAGGGCGATCTCTTCCTCTATTGAATCAGGACTGCAGATGTTTCGGATTCTAGTCGCCAGAGATATTATCAAGTTTCGCTTGCGACTAATGTACAGCTAAGAGAATGAATTCGCCGAAAAGAGACTCTTCGCATCACAGGTTCTTAGCATCGCAGGGACTCCATCCAGGAATTGTGCACCTCCTTAGGTGGTTAACTCAGACCAACAGTCAAAGACTTGTTGGATTGAGTCCATGCTTTGGTTTGACCACCTCAGACTCTTTTTCAACCTAATCTTATGTCAGCTGACATTGCTGGTCGTGGAAGATGACAGATGGGCAAATGTCACACATGTCTTATCCATCTCAATCGATGTAACTCAGAATCTAAAGAAATAATACTGGTGACTGTTATGTTGAGATGATAGAAGAGATTTATGGTTCAGTGCTGAGTATTTTTAAATTATTTTGATGTACTCAGTTGCATAACACTTTTATTGAAATTACTTTAGGAAATATTTTTGTTCCCTCTTAGCTCAGCATCCATTCAAAGTGATGAAAGATTGCTTAACAAATCTTGCCACATTTGAATCAGTCTGTAAGAACTGTTTCGGGAGTATTAGTCCTCTGGAGAAGAACAATAAGTCACAGAGTTGCAGTCTACAACATCAGAAGTCATCATCAATATCACTTGATTCTGAAGATGAGACATTTATCCGATTGTTAGTCAAATATCTGTCACAATGTCTTCTATACACAGTAGGTGTTTTTTATGACAGCAATGCGTTCGGTTGATTTACTTATGATTTAATTTCTAAAAGTATTTCTTAGCTGAGGTGAACATTTAAATTTATCATTATTATTTTTCCTTTTAATTGCTAGAGGGATATAGGGCGTCATCCACTCGTCTGCATTGCTTTCGGTTCTCTGCCAACGTTTTCACACAACTTTACGTCTGCCCACATGCTTTCATTTCCTCTTCACACGACCTCCTCCTTCATGTCACCTTCTCACTGACGACCAACTCACCACTTTCATTTCGAGTTCCAGTCAAGCAATGGCCTGTCGTGTGATGTTACTCACTTGATGGTCTGTTTTCTCAGTGAATGGCCAATCCACTTCCATTTCTTCCTTCATATTTGTTGCACAATCGAATCCTGCTGGGTTGGTCCGTTCATTGCCAGAGATCTCTGTTGCTGATCATTTCTGGCCGGTCATCTGATCTTGTAAAGTATTGAGCGAGGACGGCTATTAATGAAAGTCTGTAGTTTATTCGAATCGGCCTTCGTGACACGGCGCCAAGTCTCTGATCCGTATAGTAAGTAGCACTGACTTAATATTGGAGCTAAAAATCCGGATGGGAACTTAAGGCTTCAGCGGTATATCTTTACTCTACTCAGTTATTTGTCATCGTTTCCAACTGGCTCTACAACTGTCCACAAGCCTTCTATTTCTTTTCTCATGATCTATTTCATGTCATTGTCAGACACGATGGGTGATGATACTTCAAGAATGTCTCCAATCTGTCTCGATTTCACTGTGCATATCATACACCAATGAAAATTTAAATCCACAGGTCCTTCAATTCCTGTATATTGATTTATAGGAAGTTGGCCTCATCTTGCAACCTGAAGGTACTGATTGAGGTCCCTTGTTTGATTGTAGGTGATCATTTTAACTCAAAAAATGAACCGGATTTAAACTTTATTCGTTTTAGCATTCTACAGGATGTATCGTTAACGATGACTATAGGGTGAACTGCATAACCTGAAACAGTTGATCTTACTCAATAAGATTAGTGGTGCACAAAAGGCAGTTCGCTTATAAATGGTCTGTCTAAATAAGCAAAGAAATCTAGAGGGGAATTCCACACTAACTACTACCAACCCAGCAGTCTACTTGACACCGGTTTCAACACAAATCTTATGGACGGACCACAAATTGACTTCAACGAGAAAACCAGTGGTACTGGTAGTGGACTGCTGTTTCGTCCTTGTTTATGATTCTTCAACAGTACGCATATATGACTTCACCAGCATTCGAACCTAAGATCTTCAGAGCTCGCATACTATCAGGCTAATGGGACGGGAGCCAGCAGCCCTTGTAACTTGAAAGTCACCGGTGGATTGGTGGGTGTGTACACTGAAGAGTCTTAAACAATGACAAGATAACTTTGAAGTACCTTCTGGTTTTTTGTGGCTCTCTAACTAAAGTCACCCCGTGATCAGTCTTGTTAATAATCGAATCCCTGCAAACCAACACTTAAAAAACATATGTTAAAGTCACTTCAGTCATAAATGAGTTATTGTCAATTCATCAGTCTACACCTTAATAGTCTGCTCAGCAACTTGTTTCGTTCTTAGTGCTAGAGACTATATTGCCAACAATGATCCATTTGTTACTTTTCTAGTGTTCAGGATGAATATGACTGCGTTTCTTTGTTATGCACACAGTGTCCTATTGAGAGTTAATACACCGGGATCTATCTATTCAAACCTTACTGTCATCCGTGAGGCATTTAAATGTATACACGTTGTTCAAATCAATGTTTGATATGTTAAAGAGTCATTATCGAATCGCTAGAGAGAAAACAAGAAGTTCAGCAAAATCCTCTGTCTCTCCGTAGATTAAATATTCGCGGGAGAATAGAATTAAAATTGTTCTTAGTGTGACATGCTAAAGTCTTCTGAAACGATTTTAGATTCCCATGATTTGTGGTAAATCTTCCAGGAAGCTGACGTCTCCACTATTCTTCGAAACTTCGATGGATTACCATAGAAAACCGTTGGGTTTTTTTTTACTGCCAAGGGCTCTTCGCAACTTTTCAAAGTAATGGTAAACGCGCGTCTGTGAGCTAAAGATAATCCAATATCACAATACCTTCTTGGATTTATCAGTCTCGTATTTGTAGTCTTTCAGTGTTTCATACCTGATTTCTAGGAAAATTTTGCAGAAAAAATTACACTGTCTTTTGGATCTTCAATACTCATTTCAAACCAGTCAGCACTTCTACATGCTTCAGTAACTTGGCGCATCATGAAAAGTATTTCCAACAGCCTGCTGTAGACTTTTATAAACACCTGCTGACTTTGCTCAACACTGACGATTAGATAGTTAGAAGAAGGATAAGCAGTCAAAACCTCGATGAATGGACCAATCAAAATCCTACTACATGACAGATATGCAGAAAGGAAATTGAGACAGACTAGACAAATGCTGAGAAACCATTGGCTGATATCACATGCCAGATAGTCTCTTGAGTGTCACAGGAAGGGAAATGACTAGAGCAATATGGGGGAGACTGTGTGAGGGTTTATGGGGACTTGTGAATAGCGAAAGTTCATAAACGCCAACTGGAATGGTTCCATGTGTTGTTGAAGCCGTATGTTTCATTCAAAACCTAAGGGTATAATAATAATAATAGTAATAAATATACTGTCTTTTACCATCTCTGCCTTTTTTCTGTTTTATTAAACGCGTTTTTATAAACATTATATATTAGGTGTAATTTCCCTCTTCTGTTTCATTTTCTCTTTCACAGGATACAAAACTACAGCCAGTATTTGTCTGTAAACTGGAAGCACTTGTTGAAATATTATACAATATATTATCACATAGAACTGGTCAATTAATGTGTCAAAATTTGATAAGGTATTCAATTTTAATCAATCAATCAATCAATCAATTTTTATTGATTTTTCACTTTCTATTAATTTGAAGGCTAAATAATATTTTTAGTTGATCAACCCATTTTCTGACAAGAAATGTTTTGTTCCCGAACCGCTTCAACACCACGAGTTTAATTTTCAAGTATATGCACAGATATCTGTATAATATACCATTTTAAATGAGAGCGCATACTGATTTTGCATCAAGTCGGTGTATATTCGTAAGTGCATTGGTAGCACAGAGGTAGAATGCTCGCCAACCACGTAGGTGGTTCGGGGTTCAATTTCCGGCCGACGAAGCACTCTTTTACCTGGCTAAGCCAGTAATTAGACTCATAAAGTGGGAAGATTGGGCATGTGGCCAGCAACCCCATCACAAGCCTCTAGCTTGAAGTCCTAGGTTCTCCTGGGAATGTAAAGGTATAACAGAATTTTCAAAATAATGGATACTGAACAAAGAGTACTCTTTTCGATAACGTCTTCATCATCAGGCTCTACATCTATACATACATTATAGTGAATGAATGAGTTAGTGTTATAAACGACATTAATGTTTAAATAACACCAAATCAATAATATTGATAGAATACAGCTGAATAGCATCAACATAGAATAAGCTGAATGTCAGAAACTTTAGGAAAGATAATAGTAAAAATTCGTGAGTTTATAGCTTCTACTGAAGGCCAGGGCAATAGTAGGGGCTGAACTTGCTTCTTTTGGACACAGAGTGCTGGTTGCTTGAGGCGAATCGCAATAGCCTCTGCTGTTTGGAGCCTGCGGTGCTTCGATGTTTTTGGTAATTTATTCTGCATCCGGTATAATATAGGGAAGGATTCATCACTGCTGGCTTTGTGGCCTGTTTGCACCAGATGTTCCAATATCGAGCTGTTAATAGTTTTCACTACACCTATACTTTGCCATACCGGGAGATGTTCTCGAGTGAGCACGAAAAATCAAGTTCCTAGGGCAACGGCCAATATAACTGGCTCCACAAGCGCACTTGAATTGACAGATACAATTAGAAGTGGCTAGTCTAGGTACTTCATCTTTCAGTCGAGGAATCACCATCGGTCGTGTAGAGAATAAGACGTGTAGTTCGCCAGCAGAATTCGTAAGCAGAATTTTAACTGCAAGTGTCTGGATGTCTAGTTAGGTTGCTGGTCAATTTACTTCATTCAAATAAGGCACATCGTACCAAATTTGCCACCTCTTTGACAGATACACAGTTAGAGGTGAGGAATTATGACAGTTTCCTTTGGAAATCAAAACTTTATTCTATATACCATCCTACCAAATATATAAAAAATATCTCTGAAATAACACCTAGAATATTGAAACAATTTGAAAGAGATATGGCACACAAGCCAGTCAGCCCAGTCACTTCATTTGATATTGTGTGAACCGAAAGAACCAACAGAAAAAGAAGAAGATAAAATGAATACCATTTACAAAATAAATTCTATGAAGTGTAACAGACATTACATCGGTCAAAGTAGGCGTCCCTTCGAACAAGAATCGAAGAACCCAAATCACTTGTGAAAAGACATGCTATATATATTCTTTCGTTTCGATACACGTAGATAATTATGGACACCATTTTGATGATTGGGATAATGTCGAAGTTTTAAACAGAGGAAACGCCGAAAGTAATGCCAGAGAATTCCTAGAAGCCTGCTATTCAAACGAATATGGGATTAACAAACATGTTCATATAGACCAAATTCACCAACTAATTGAAAGAAAATCACATGGCGAGAAAGTTCAAAATCCAAGCCAATAAAAAATGATCAAAGCAGATGTAAATATGGTTACCAGGAGAAGTAATTCTATCACTACTCATGAAAATTCAAATCACTTCACTTTATACTAAAAATTGCGCTGAAGGTATTGTTTACTGGAGATGTGTGTGTGTATGGCTTATGCAAGTTGAAGTACATCTCAGTTGTGAAAGGCTACTACTTCCTTAGTGCCATTTTTTGACAAGGTCAAGTAGTAATAATAGTAATGTTATGTTATCGACTTATGAAGAAGTATTCACTACAGTATCCAGGATGACACTGAAACGTTCGCCAAGTTAAACTTCTAGCTGTTAACTCAAGCTTTTAGGTTAAAATCTACTATGTATCTATCGAAATTTTGTTTCAATCAGTCTCGTAATACCTTTAAAATGGATTCTTTTCAATAGAAGTATATTATCTTTAAATAAGTATTCCCAAAATTCACAGTATGGATTGTAGAATAACAGAACTGAGCTTGATTGAAATAATTAGTTGCCTTTATGAGTTTAGACAAAGCAATAAGAAGACGTAATTTGTCTGAATCGTGTATTGTGTATTGTATTTGCGAAACACATTTCGAACAATCTGATCATACACGAACTTGTCATAGGAATATATATATATATATACATATATATGAAATTAGTAAGGAGTTAAGAGGTGAGAAAATAGACTTAGATCAAGTCAGAAGGACACATTCAAGGTGAAAATAACAATGAAGACCACTAACCCAAATAGCAGAGGTAATAGTACATCTGCTATGGTATCAAAATAAAATTTACCAAGGAAGATTTAATGTGATGACGATTTGTTTTTGAATGCATAAAGGTGGCTTAAACTTTCTAATTGCTAGGGCTTCCACAAACTATAGGATACGTTCCAAACACGTTTTATAGATAGGTTTAAAAGATCTGTTAACGTCAATTTTATGTGCTGTCTTTATAATATGTTTCGCAGTAGAAGAGCTAGGTCTCCTGTTCTCACCGTTAATAGGTTCTGAAGATTCTATTTGTTTCTGGAGCCATTTAGGAATATACTCTGAAGCCAGCCCTTACTTGCAGAGATCGATGAGTCTTCCCTATGTATGTGTGTCCACATGTATATTCAAATTAGTAAATATAATGGGATGTGACATCATTTTTCGTATGATCGAAAGGCTTAGATAGACATATTGACTTTAAATTCTCTATTATTATGATATTAGCTGCATAAAAAGCCTTTTTAACCACAACAGCGTTCAATCTTTGTCTAGTTATCAAGCTGCTTTGATGCCTCATATAGGTTAGCTTGATGTACACGTCTTTCTTAGGGTCGAGTTGGAGAGTGGGTCTTGGTGTTCTGACTACTTTATATCTCCTGATGAACTTTCTGGATAATTGTTATCAACCAAAGTTTGTGTCACCTTTCTTCCTTCTACATCAAGTATGTCTCCAGTGCATATTCGTTGGATTCTATTGAAAAGGCACCTTACTCACTAAGGCTCTTTTGTACCGAACAGATCAGAAATTGTGGTAATTAAGATACTGTTCTATCCAGGTAGGTTTCCTATAAATAGGTATTTTTATTGAGCCATCAAGCCGTCGACTAAGCAATATGTCTAGGGAAGATAAATAATTATCTTCCTCTTCTATAGGCATAAGTGATATGCTCTTCTGAACTTCATTCATTCAATTTAAAATTGAGGTGATAGAACAAGAGGTATCACTGATGATTAAAATATCATCTAAATACCTTCTATAAAGGGGCTCATTTTCGATTAATTCGTCATCGCATTAAACCTTCCTTGGTAAATTTTATTTTGATACCATAGCAGATGTACTATTACCTCTGCTATTTGGGTTAGTGGTCTTCATTGTTATTTTCACCTTGAATGTGTCCTTCTGACTTGATCTAAGTCTATTTTCTCACCTCTTAACTCCTTGCTAATTCCATATATATTCCGATGACAAGTTCGTGTATGATCAGATTGTTCGAAATGTGTTGCGCAAATACAATACACAATACACGATTCAGACAAATTACGTCTTCTTATTGCTTTATCTAAATTTGATTAGCTTATTTGAATACTTTTAGGCTGAAAATTGTTTAATGATGGCGTAGATCTAGTTACCCTGAGTGTTGCCTTCCGAATTCTGTCTGTAGCATACAGATGTTTGTTAATCATATTATCAGTATATCTATGTTCTTATGATTGTTTGTGTACCCTTGTACACCTTATTTGTTACGTGTTCAACAACAGGGAATTTTGTTCAGAAATTTGATGATAAATATACCTGACTTGAGTATACACACAGTGCAGCTGCCTGTATGACAGTAATTCAACGCATAGATAAACACAGAGGTGAAGTGGTTTTGCAGAGACACTCTACCTCTGCTACACACTGAATACCCTTTTAGCTTCATTCTTTAAGCGTTGTGTTGTTATTTCATTGATGTTATCACAAAAGAACAGTGATCTTATGAACAAGGGCCCTTGTTTGCAGCTGTTCACATATTAGCTTACCTTGGAATTAAATTTTTGCCTTCATTTATAAACGTTTCTAGACATAAAGTTCTAGTCAGCGATTCTCTATATTACTCTGCAGTTCTTTATTGAAACAATCATTGGGGCGGATTACTCTAGCTCTATGAACCAAACACTTTATTAAAGTGCTTACCAAACTTAGAATCGAGTTTACTGACTAGTTAAATTAGGTACTCGTTAGATATTCCTTCTCAATATACTCTCTTCTTCTCCTGGTCATTAGGATGTCTAAAGGAAGAAGCGCTGTCATTTCTTTCTTTCTGGATAGTAAAATCACTGCATGGCTGACATCATTAAAAACTTGTCAAGGATATTGTTTCACTCTCATTTTACATAATTAAGAACATACCATCCATCTAACGGCAGTAGAATTCCGATTCATCAGTTACACCCTTCAAAGATCTATTCTCTAATTTTTCGAGGATTATGGCAACTGGAATAAGTGCTAGAGGTCACCCCATAGTGTTGCTTATTAAATAAATGTTATATATGCATGTACAGAACCAAATGAAGTTATCGGAATCAGCTAATGTTTACTAATTGTGAATTCTGTAAAATGTTTCATTCAATTTGAGGTTTTCCTGTCGATTGAAGGAACCGAAGTGCTCGGTACCTGGTTGACATGTTGGCTTCTTGTGCAGATGCTTCGACAGTGTCTGTGCATATAGTTAGAAGTTAATTGGTGGATGATGACTAACAGTGGGATCTGGGAAGCGTATTTCGTTCTATTTGGGACTCGTCACCTGGATGTACCTGCTCCTCGGTTCATTCAATCGACGGGAAAATCTAAAATTGAATTTAATAATTCATGTGACTCTTTGCACAAGAAGTGGCTCTCGTGGCCCAAGTGGTCTAGTAGATAACGCTTTGGAGTTTGAAACTATGGGTACTGGGTTCGGGCCTCAGTGGGAACAACATCACTCATTGCGCAATGCCCGCACATCCAGATGATGAGTCTCAAATAGAAAGAAATGTGCAGTGTCCTGGATTCCACTGCTAGTCACCATCCACCATTTAACTTCTGTATAATATTGTGAGTAGTTTCTTAAATGTCATCAGGATCAATTAGTGAACATTGAGCGACACTAGCGTTTGTTTTTGTCTGGTTACAGTGATATAACCGCATACTTTACCTATAAGGATCTAAATTTATGTGGATCATACTCCTCAGTCTTCCAACGAATCCCTTGTATCAGTACTGATTTCAGCAAGGATCTTATATAGGTTTATTCAGTGTCATTTATACTCTTCACTGTTTTAACCCAAAGAAATCCTTTCTTTTTCTCAAGCGAACCGTTGAACTTGATCGAAAACTTGTTAAGCTTTACACTGAAGTTGTTAAATACGTCATTGGGAGATATGAAAATCTGTAGTAACAATGATCAATCTTCCCAACATCATCGTCATCATCACCTAATGAATATAGTTATTAAAGTAATTCATTGTGGTCAGAATGTGATTCGACGTTCTACAAATTTGCATTTCGATAATGTGCATCGATTTAATACCATGTTGGTCAATGCATGGAATCAAATAGTTGTAAGTCATACCTGTATAGTGTTCTGTTTGAATTTATTGTTATTTTTATTATAATTAACAGACTAACTGAGTGTTCAGCGTAGAAATTCGCAAGGGATTTCAACAGTTCAAGGTGTCACATTCTATGCACAGAGAGAGAGAGAGAAAAGAGAAATTGAGAACTGTTGCAAGCAGAATATACCAGAGAAAGTATAATAACATGGTGAAACATGAGGAGTTAATGGAGGTTTTGCATTACAACGAGTCAATGCATCTGAGTCATTGCAAGCGGTTTCAAGCCATTGGTTCTTAGCACTATGAGGACCCCAATCAGTTAACCTACATCTGGCCAGCTGAAACCACAAGTCAGAGACATCATGGGTTCACCCCTTATTCTTTTCCAACCCAATTGTGTATGATCTGACTTTGCTTGGGAAGGATGACATTTTTTCGGTGTGCAAACCGTGCATTCTAGCCATCTCAATCGGTATAGTTTGAAAGTGTAACTCAGTGGTTTGTAGTTGTCATCGAGACACTTGATTTCCACATTAGACGTTGAACTAATAATTTCCACCTACTATGTTGTTTCACTGGGTGGAGTATGATCTTTAATCGTTATGTACCAAGAAATATCGTGTAACAGATTGATAGATGTGTGCATTACCGATGAATTTAGGAATTAGTACTATTGTGTAGCGATCCTATTTGATAAATCACGCATCTACATATCATATAGGAGTTGGTGTTAAGATAAGATCTCATCAAAACGTCTAAAATATTGTAGTATGAAGGTAAAATTCAGTGTGATAGCAAATAAGTAGAAATAATTTTAACCCGAAAAGATGAGGAATAAGAGATATCTGTATCATCATCATCAACTTCGCTTCCGATGAGATTTAAAGATAGACGATATATTTGACAGCCTAAATATATTAGACGAAAGCTTAAGTCATTCATGCAATTATAACAAGTCTGTATGTAGCTAGCTTTTGACTTCTGTAGCCATACAATAGGGCAGAGGGAATTGCTGTGGATCAAATTTTACTCTTTGTGCATACTTAGATATTTTATGAGTGCTCCATCTTCTACAGCTTCATGGGCTCTAAATACTAAGACATTTCCATGAAGAGTTTCAAACAGATGTGACCTTTTTTATCATTCTTTGCATTCCTAATGGAATGAAGGCGGCTTCAAGGCTTCTAGTGGAAGTAGTGTTGTTTTATACAGGGTGAAGTAGCTAGCTCCACACCCAACCTTTCCTCTCTTTTGGACTTACTACCTGTTAAGCTAGGTTTAAGAATGTATTGGTCTGGAGTCGAATCACTGACCACCTGTGTGACTGGTGAATGTTTTACCAATGATCCACTTAGGGTTGACCCTAAGTGTTCATCTATTGATTCGTTTGGAAGAAAACAAAGTATGTGCTTCAGAAAAAAATCTACCATTTTGACAGTGTTGGGGTTTATAGTTCTCAGGTGGAAGTCAACCATAGTCCATGCTTGTTTGGCTGTCTATATTTTAATTCCTAATATCACAGGAGTATTTTATTTTAGGCAATGTAAACTTCTTTCGGTGATTCATAGAAACAATCCTATTTTATACATTGGTAGATCACTAGGCATTAGCTAATGTAGTGCACCTGGTGCTTCTTTTGGTGCGGACAGAATCCCATTAGTTAAGTTTGCAACATGGCTACCAAGCTAGTTGGCTTATCATCGTCATGCCGACAAAATGAAGTGATTGGAAGATCGACGATACTATTAGCGTATTCACAAACGGAGCTGAAAATATTCACATTGAGTAATCTCTGGTATTTCGATTTATATTGGCATTGGAAAAGATCACAAATGTTCTACCTGCCTTTTTATTACTTCCCATCTAAGTCTACCTGCATTCCAGTGAATAGTAGCGTTCCCGTCTGGGACGCAAAAGCAGAGCTCATAGCTTAGGTTAATTAGTTACCAATTGAAAGAATGTAGTGTATTCATTCAATGTAGATTTTGATCGCGGACCAACATCAATTCGAGTATCATTGAAAGCCAAGGAGCGCTAGACACCTGTCTCATCCTAGTTTGAAATTTCTAATTAGCTGTGATAATACCCATGAACACCCTAAGGATAGAACCTAGCCACATAGTATGCAATAGATATTTTCTGTTATCATTTATTTTTTGATTAGTTAGTGGATTTCACCATTAGCTGACATTGATTAGAGAACTATTGAAAAGCCAGCTTGCAGTACTCAGCAGATATTTCGTTGTAGTTTCAGGAATCTCCAGCAGTACGCATCCATCCACCAAGGTTCGAACCCAGGAGCTTCTGGTTACAAGGTTGGCTAGCTCGTACACAATTAAGCCACTGAGACCCGATCCAATGACCAGTCCATGAATTCTAACTTCTGGTAATTCACCACATATGCGCGACCACTTCACATTATCTTCTTCGATGAATAACTGTCCACATCTTCAATCTGCTGTACTCTACTGGTCACGGCTTCCCACTAGAACCCAAGGTAACTGCTCATTTGAATAGGGCCAGGCACTAGTGAGCATCATATTAATTTTCAACTAGCCAGTCAATCAAAATCCCTACGAAACTAATACTTGAAAATCTATTTGTTTTTGAACTTGTATTTTATCATTCATCTATTGCAATTCTCAAACTTATCATTTAATTATTCTGTCTGTGTTTCTCTGTTTCATTTTAGAATTTGCAGTCAACTTCAAGTGTTGAGTATGTTCAGTTTTACTATGATTTTTTTTAACATTTGAGTTTTTGTGCATTTACAAATGTATCTCATATTTATGTATGTCATATTATTCTACTTGGGAGTTGTTACACTTTAACATCGAGATACTGCGTTCATCATGTGGTCGAAGTTTCTTTTTTCTATGTATTTTTCAGGGTGTTTCAAAAGTACAGCGTAAAGATGATATAAGATGTTAGCAACTATTTTTGACCAACTGTGTGTTGTTTTAATTGGTGGATGGTGACTAGCAGTGAAATCCAGGTTGTGCATTTCGGTCTAATCAATCGACGGGAAAATCTAAAATTGAATTAAATAACTGTGTGTTTCGATTCGAATGAGTGTAGGTTTTGTTTAGATATCATAGAAAGTGGCCCCAGACAAATCGATGCACGTTGGACTTTTCCATCAATCGACATGAGTTAAATAGTCATTAGAAACTGTGGAGTACTGCTTGACGGGTGTTTTATCCTAGTTTCAGGCTCTTCAACTGGATACCGTCAGATAAATGACCCACTGGAGTATCAAACCTAATACATCGAGTACATCGAGGGCGGAGGGGGGTAGTTCAGATATTTCTCGATCGACGGCTGCTTTGTTTTTGTGACCATGGACATGCGACACTTTATGATGCTTGACACGGTGATTCACATCACCCCTGAAATAACTTAATAGTTTGAGGTTTCCTTAAACTTTGGCAATATGTCAGGGAATAAGTAGGCGTTTTTTACTCGTTCAGGATCCTCATGTAAACTGTTCATCGATAGTATTGTTCAGTGTGAAGATTGACATTTTCTCCTCTCATTCTTTCGAGAAGGCAGTAGTAGTAGTAGTAGACTGAAAGCACGGAATATAAACATTTAATCGTGGGGAATAATAAAAAGATAGTTGCAGCGAAGAAAATTTTCTTTTCGTCGAAGTCATCAATTAGACTATGCATTCATGTATTCATAATAAATGGGTGGGAAAGTGCGAGGATAATTCCTGGCCAAGGGTCAAATTGATAAAATTACAATTAGGAATTAAAATGCCATAATAAACAGGGGGGAGGGCGGATAAAACTCAAACAAAGTAGCATCATAATTACTGAGACGATTGACATATTGTTGTCCAAGTGGGGGTTAGAAATGCAGAAATAACAAAAATAGACGGGATGTTTGGGTAGACAAATCTAGTGGGATTATAACTAATGTGACGAATAATTGTTTATGCAATTAGGAGTTAAATATGTTGAACTAATGAAATGACAAGGGGTTGGGATATTAGAATATGGCAGTGTAAATAAGGATTAAGGAAGGCTTAAAAATAACATGTATAAACAGGAGGTTAGATAAGAAAGTCAATGGGATAGTTACTATTAAAAGAATTACCTGTTTATAATGGCCATGGTAGAAACAAGAGTTGGACGTATTTATTTCGGATGGCTAGTGACTCGGCTAGGCCAAGATGTCTTAATTTTACTCCCTTTGATAGGTTTGATTGAATCTTGTATATTATTTTGGAGGATTTTTCGAATTGTCCTGAATGTATTAAATTGACCAGGTGTTCTGTCACTGAACTGTAAACACATTTTCGTTCTCCTTTCACTGGCCAGGATGGATAGTGTTCATGAGAGCGTTTTTCAAGTTGGTGCATGGTACGGCCTATGTACTCAGCTGCGCACGAGCAAGTAAACTCGTTGAAGTGGCCCAATCCGACAGCCTATCTTCCACCTTCTGGCTGAACAGTTTCTTTCAGGAAAACGTCAGTCATAGACTTGCGGTGAAGTATGTTTTCCTCAGAGATTTGGAGAGGCGTTTACGACGGATTTCTGCTTCAATGTCACCTTTGAATTCCAGATTAAGCAGAATTATTTTCTTCGCGGTGGATTTGACTTATTCAGAAGTCTTCATTGATTTTTGATTCTTTCAAAATTGTGTCTGAGTACACGTAGTGATCTAAGGACATCATTGCACGATTAAAACGATACGAAATATCGAAATGTCGATAAATCATACGGAATAGCAGTTGTTTCGTCATTATTTCAGACTCTTCATTATTATGCACCTCCAACCCCACCAGCTGTGCAGTACTCCGTGATGAATTTCGATATACACCCTTCTAAAAATTAACTATTTTCATACGAAATGTCAGTTGTTTTCACTTGTTCCAATATCTTTTTGTTTTATCCTATTGTGCAAATCAGCGCTAAACTACACGATTCAACATGTGGAGAATTTTTATCAAATTTAAGCGACTGTCTAATTCATTCACTTGGCTATCCAGTTGGAATTGAATCATTGAGCAGTGCAGATTTATTAACACACTGTATAGACTACTTACAAAAGTATCTTATCAGTCAGTGTAATGTAAGTATAGTTGTGTGTGTGAGTATGTGCGTTTGTGTGAAAGCCTCACATTTTCGTATTTTAAGGCTGTGAGTTACTATCTTTCATTGAAATCATTTGCTTGCATAATGTAATGCGCAAAGTGTGAAACAGTAATTATCTAATATAACGGAAGTATTCATTCAGACATTTAAAAAAAATGCAAAATTATTGAGCAAAGAATATCCTTTTCGATAATTTCCTCTTCCGGCTCTTCAATTATATATCTGTATTTTTATATGCTAGGAATATTCTAGAACAGTGGTCATTAACAATATTAGTGTTTTTTTGAATAATATCGATTTATTGATTAAGATCATTTTATGGTGAGAGCAGGCTGCTGGCCAATTGGTAGACATTAATCTAAGTCAATATCTAGGTCACTAATATTGGCCGTGAGAAAATATGAACAAGGCTGATTCAACAACCAATCACAGCAGACTTAACGTGGGCAAATATGATTCGCAGATAGATGGCTCCACTTTCCGAGAAAACCCGGAACAACCAGTCAGAAGACTGCGTTTGTGTACTTGAATAAGTTATAATAATTTACATGAAATAAATATAAATACGTGCTGATTTCCATAATAAAATGATCTGTTGCCGGCCCTTGTCTTCTGTTGTTACAACTAGAATTACAGTTCATTAAAGATGCTTAAATTATGATAAGCATAAAAATATAATAGCGAATAGAACTTCAACTAAAATTAAGAAAATTTCCACAACAAACTGAATATTATTAGAACCTTGATGAACAAGGTAAGCGCACATAAGTTAGGTTTCCTAATGTGGTTCCCAGTGGCCTCAGCTATATGTAGTAGACGAACTCTTAATGTCTAGTTAAGATTTGTTGGTGTTTAAAGTCTCCTCGTTGACACCAGTCTTGTGTTCTGTATCCACAAGACGAGATAGAATAAAGCTTTGAATGGATTTTGTTTGTCCTTTGGTTAACCACGCACGATAGTGTTTTGAAATCCGACGGTAAACGCGCCCAATTCTACGGCCTAATTAGCTAACTGGCTCCACAGGAGCAGTTAAATTGGTAGACACACATGAAAGAGGCGAAAGTAGGCAATTCATCTTTTACTCCGGAACGCAAAGCAGGAGTGCTTTTGAGGACACAGCGTAATTTAGCATCATGGATTGCTCTTCTCACCGCATTCATAAGGCGTCGTATTAGTATCTCGCTGATGTTGTCTCCGAGGAACTGAATTTGTGAGAAAAAGGCCTTTTTAGGAACTTTTGGTACCTTGAGCTGCTTCGAGTTTAGATTCATATTCTTCAGTGGTAACACTTCTGTTTGCATCAATGGGTAACGCCTGGTGGAATCTCAGAGGGATATGAGTTTTCACACGCCTTGCTGACTGTTGAATGCCAACTAGTACGAAACCTAGACCAAGCAAGGCTTCCTGCCGATTGCCTCCAACCATCTAATACCAATAAGACTATCATTTTACAATCATATAAAATGGCGGATTTCTTTTATAGTAGTAAAAGCTGCAGACTAAATGAAGACAACTCAAACAACTACTTGGCATTGAAATATCGACAGGGACCTAGCGTAGTGAGTCAATAAAAATCAACCACTTGAAAGTGGAGAATAGGTAAAACAAGCAACTTAAAATGCCACTAGTAAGAAAATCGTTTTTTTGAAACCATGGATGTTGAGTTTGAGTCTGGATGTAAGCACTGTCACCTGCTAAGGATGCAGGTTCATACAGCTGATGAGTCCCAGATAGTACCAAGCGTGAGTCCTAGCATCTTCTTTCAGCTGGTATCAGTCATTTAACAAACAAGCTATTAATTTTCATCTTTTCTATTGACTCCTTTTTTTGGGTTTTTTGGATTTGGTTTGCTTATTCTGACTGACATTTCTTTGCTGTCTTTTGCATGAAGATATCTTTTATCAGACCGCATACATTTGGTTATTTGTTAAGTCAACTGGCATTGAATAAATCCAGCCTATTGGGTTTGCATAACTCGCATATTATTGAGCTGTTAGTTAGACAAGCCTGGAAATCAATTGAATACTTTGAGTGTACTGGTCATACAGAATTAACGGGGAATTATTCATCCTTGCAGAGAACATTTCATCCACCGATATGGTCTATTGATCCGATAGATAAAATAGCTTATAAGGTGAGAAGTAAAGTCTGTGTGTGTGTGTGTTTGTGTATGTTGTAATGGCTGAATAATTTTTCTATCTGTAAGAGTCTTCTGGTTTTATTTGTTTTTGTTACAAGCAGTGGAAATTCACACGTAGACAGAAGACAAAAGAAAGCAAATATGCACATTTTAGAAAACTTCCTCATCATCGGGCTTTTACAGCTTTATATATGCACAATATTTAGGGATTAATTGATACTGATAACACTGAAGACAAAGTCGCTTGGAGTTCTGTTAGGAAATCATGACCGATGCGGTTCACTAGGATGGGAGGGGGGATAAAGACTTGACGCACATGACATTGGGTGATGTATTGGGTCTGGTTCAAGTGCTGAATGATGCATGAGCTCGTAGTGTAACTGAAATATCCAAAGGCTGAACACCTGTAAGGCATAATTTTAGAGATTCCGGAAAGTAGGATGAGGTAGCTACCGGCTTTCAGTCATTCTTTAACTGGTGTAAAATTCATGGTAAATCTTCAAACGAATCGAATCCCTACACACATTTGCTTGCTAGGCATAATGTGTATATATAATTGTACAAAAATGTAGGGGAAGGTATCGACAATGTGGATATTCTTTCTCCAATCTTCATTTCTGTACTGTAGAAGAAAAGGAGGAGTGTCAGTGAACGTATAAATTTCGATTAGGTCTCCTCAACTGCATAGTCTGCAAAAACAAGGTTACTTTAAATCAGTTTCCAAGGTTAATTAAAATGTATACAAATACAGGAACATTTCGTGATAACAAATAATTATCAAGTTCATGAAGTGATTTCGTATGACCGAGAAAAAAGAAAGGTAGTGATAATTTCCCAAGGTAATTAAAAATAAAATGTGATAATGTTCGGCAGATAGTTGGTTGATTGACTATCAGTGGACTTTTGGATGTGCATTTCGCCCTGTTTTGGAAATGTTCAAATGCTGGACAGAATGTACCAGCATTATCAGTTACTAATGGTGTACGCACCTTGATTTCTACTGAAAGTCAACATCTTCAATGGAAATGCATAATAGTGATTTTCAAAAATTGTCAGAGTGTCCCACCTACTAGGCAGTGATGTAGGTAAACAGTGACCAAGCATTTCGGTCACATATAGCGGGAAGTAAAAATTAACATACCCCTTTTTGGGGTACAAATCATAGGAAATGAGACGTTCTCAGCTTTATATTATCTAAGTCATATATATATCTTAGCTAAAGGTCTTTTTCAAGATTAATTCTCAGTTGTTACGCTTGATTTCAAGAAGAGGAGACACAACACGTAAATAACAATAATTAATAATTATAACACAAGATGAAATAGATTAAGAAATAGACATTTGGAACCTGCAAAATTTGCTGTACACCTTAGGAAAGCTATCACTCTGACCTGTTCATGAATGCATTCATCTAATATTCTCGTTAATTTTTAAGTACATATTGCAAGTCATACTGCAAGACGGGGAAAATCATAAGTCTGTTACTCTACTGTATGACAAAATTACACACTTTTTATTATTTCATAGTACTGTTGTTTCTTCTTCCTGAAACATTCTGTTCCAAAGATATTATGGTGATAAAGAGTTTCTTTTTTCATTCCTTAGGCTTTCAAGTGTAATAAGAATAGAACTTAGGCATTGTGTAAAGGAACAGTTTCATTAAAAGTTCCAATTCGAACCTGGAGTATCATCAATGACTGTATTTATTGAGAGGAGTTGGATTACTAGCCTCGTGGCCAACGTCACCTCTTAACGAGCTAACGGATGCTTGGGAATCAGTTGGCCAGGAATCAAACCCAGACCACTTACGTAGTTGATGACTATTCACTCATCAAACGACTAAAGAATGAGATATGTACACCTTTGACAAGTGTATAATTAACAGAAATAATAAAAGGAATTTTCATCTGAGGGTTTCAAGATATATGTGCATAGCCAACTTCCTTTACAAAATGTTTGGCTAAAGAAGTATTGACGAAAACCATTTGGAGTTTTATGAAAACTGACTGTAAGCCAAATAATATCCACATTTAGCTTTACTTTCGGTTAAGGTGACTTAGCTATCTCTGATTCTTTTATTTTCCACCCCGATGGTGATTGGAACATTTAATCGTAGACTGATGAATTTATAATGTTTAGATGACAAAAAACCGTTATCTAAATACTTTCCTAAGGGAAGAGAAATTAGGCAACAGCGAACCTATCGAAAGAGCGTCCTTAAATGACTCTAGAGACCGCAGCGGATATGCTCACGCCAGAAAGTTTACTAGTTAAGGAAGGATACTTACTGATTTTCCCCCATGTCAAACTACAAAAGAAGAGAGACTTAAGTATCTGCAGGAATTGACAAAGAATCATGCTGTTGTTGTCCACAGATTTGACTGTGAAGTGATTTGGAAACTCTAAATGAATATCATCCTCATTCAGTAGCTTTATAACAATACCACATATCGAGTGGTATACAACGGAAATCTCAGCGAAGCTTTTGGAGTAGAGACTGGAGTAAGACAGGGCTGTTGCTTTTGTCCCCGATGATATTACTAGTTGTGTTGGAATTGATTACGCACGGTACTGTGGTGTGCGAGAAGACTAGGGATACATTTGGTGCATAAAAGACGCTAGAATATCTGCACTTCGCGGACGATTTATGTCTAGTGACACATAAATTCGAAGACTCACAGGTGAAAACCGACAAGTTGACGGAAGAAGCAGCCAGCGAAGTTGAGACTTCATGTGAACACAGAGAAAATAGAGGTAATAAAGACAACCACCCAACAATAAACAGCACTGATCAGTATCGACGGAAGTGAGGTAGAATCGTCACAACTACGGGTGGTGGAAATAATGGGGATATCAAAACTAGAATCGAAAAAGCAAGGCAAACCTTCATCAATCTGAAATCGATTTGGAAATCTTCTTCACTTAGCATTAAGAATATGGTCTTGATATTCAGCTTTTAGGCAATCTTGGAACCAGTTAAAATTGACTGCAGAGAACAGAGTGAAGTGAAGACGGGCTGGTGGGACCCTTCGTCCCGCTCAGATGTCAAGAGAATCATACTTTAATAATAGATATTATTATTTCCTTAATCTTCGCGTGCAACATGAGGTTTTAACAATACATCTCCATTCCACTACGTTCTCTTCAGTTAATTTTAGTTGACTCTACGACATTCCATAACCTTTTATTCCCTGCATACACGGTTTACACCACGTTAGCCTCAATATGACACCCGGAATCATTTTTTCTTATTCCAGTTCCACTTGAGGACGTGCCTGGCATTTGATGTCATTCACTGTATGTCCAATTCATCTATCTTCATTTCTCTGTGCATATTTTTGGGCTCCTCATAGGTAGTGCTCATATGTATACATAGGCGTACACACATATCTATATTAAGTATGTTTTTTTTCTAAAAATCCTTTACTAGCCTCTTATCAATTTGGTTCGAGTGACAACATCATATGAATTTGTACAAACTTTGATGACCACTACTCAGTTGATTACAAATAAAGAAAGCTATAACAGTGTCATCGATATACCAACAAACATTTGTGTAAGTATTTGATGAATATGTATATTTATGTACAGTTTTCATCCCATTCTGTGTTGTTAATATTATTATTATTATTATTAGGAGTTGGATTGATGGTGATTAGCAGGGGAATGCAAGATGCACTTTGTTTCGTCCCCATTTGGGGACTCCTCAACTGGATGTACACGTGTATGTCAGTGAGTGATTGTGACCACTACACTGAGACTCGGACCCAGTTACTCATTGTTTCGAAAATCAAATTTCTTGTTATCGTTAGGCCAAATCATCCAAACGATCTTCCAGTAGTCGTACTCAGAACTGATCACTTTGGTTCCGAATAGATCAGCCAGTGAGAATTTCATTTTATAAAAGGTATACAATCTCACTTAATGTTATTAGTTAGTTCAACATAATAACAAAGGGAAGGATATTAGAGGTGATAATAATTGCCAACTTGATATGAACGTTTGAAGGTGTAAATATAATAGAAGATCTCAACATATGCATTGAAAAGCGGCAGCTGTGTGATCAAAAGAAGCCAGTTCAACATCATCACTTACTATGGATCTAGTTCTCTTTGACTCTTCAGTTTTTGTTTGTTTGTTTCTTCATGCCCTTCACCATTTTCCTCATCATCAGTTATAAGAACAATTATATCGATTTTTCTCCACGCTAATCCCGTACGCATCTATCAAAGTTATCAACTATTTTACATATTATGTAACTATTTTCTAGTCCTGTGTAATCTATATTCACACCTTCGAACTTTCATATCAAAATTCACAAAACTGATAGCATAATTATTATTATTATATCCCTTAACTCCTACAGGAATGTAGGTCTTCAGCTGCGCGTCTCCATTGCCTTCTGTTTTCTGCCAACTATTTCACCCCGCTTCAAGTCCGCCCATATGCTTTCATCTCCTCTTCACATCACCTCCTCCTCTAAGTCACCCTTGCACTGACGAGCAAATCGTCGCTTCCTTTTCGGGTTCCACTCGAGTGATGGCTTATCTAGTGATGTCACTTGATGGTTAGAGAAAGCTCACATTTCAAAATGAAGTATGCGCTGAAGATGTCGCCTAGTAGGGCGATGAAATCTTCTCAAATTAACTGTCCAGCTCAGAGAACACAACCATCTCAAAATCATCTACCTGAGCTACAAATCTCTATCATATCTAACTCTTAACCTACCTTGGTAATCCTCATCTGACTGGATAACCAAACGCAGTGTTAATTATTTTTATTATTCTTAAATCTTCAAGTATTGGTTTGGAATTTTGTTTGATTAGTTGGAGGATTTCATCATAAGTTTACATCAGTTATAAAACCATTGGAAAACTTGGGAGTACTGGACAGCTGTTTCGTCCTAGCTTGAGACTCTCCACAGTACACACCATCCTCATGATAAAATCCTCTAGCCAATCAAACAAAATCCCTACAAAAATCAATACTTGAAAATTAATCTGATGCTCACTGAGCGACTGGCCCTATTTAAGCAATTACCTGGCGGGTCCCAGTGACCTAATGCTATACGAGCTAGCTCGCCTTGTAATCAGAAGGTCCTGGGCTCGAGTCCCGCAGTGCTGGCATGTACTGATGGAGAGTCCCGAAACTAACAAAATAGCTGTCCAGTACTCCATGCAAGTGTCCCAACCGTTCTCCGACTGATGTTAACTAATATTGAAATCTTGTAACTTACTTTTAAATCCTTTTGATCAGTTTATGTACTTTAATTGGCCTTCACCCCTTTTGACTTAACTGACAAGTAAATGTGTGTGTGGGATCAGTTTGTTGTTCAAAATGTATTGGGCAAATACATCACACTATCCGAACACTATCCAAATTTATATATTGAAGGGACTAAGTGTTTTAAATCTTTTGTGTATGTGAACGTTATTATTATTTTTCTTAAATAAAATAAATTGTGTGATTCTTTTCACAATTTCGAAATTCTCTTTCTTTATACTTCGATATGAATTATTTTTAATGCGTTAATGAAAAATTTTCGTTTTCGTGATTTTTTATTGTCAAAGCTCATTTATGATTATTCAATTGCTTTGCTCAGCATAAGGAATGAATGAATGAATGAGGGAATGAGTGAATTATTATTTCCAAGACATTTTTGCTGATTGCTTGTCTTTGAATTCAACAAGACAAATCAATAAATGCAAAAAAAGAAAACAAAATTTAATTTAATCAGCCAATTTTTTTACGTTGAATTTCGTTCATGAGCAGATGTCGCTAAAGCGTTTGTTGAAAAAGAAAGAAAGCAATTAGAGTGCACTAAATAGCTTTTTTGTTCTAGCATGGATGGAACTCTTAAACAGCGTGTTCACCCATCACCCTGTTATGTATGGGTCGATCTAAGAACTTCCTTGACTTCTAGGTGATGGTATGGAGTTAAACACAGTGTCCATCTAAGCAGGTTCCAGTATATCACGAATCAGCACGAGTTAGAATTCATGATCTCTGAATCCTAACATAATACACGAACTATAATTTACTGGCCTGATATATCTGAAGTTTTTTCTCCCGTTAGACATTCCAGTAAGATATATATCAGATAACTGGGAGATTAAGATTATTAGAGAATTACTTAGAAAAAATGGTTATCCAGATAAATTCATTGAGAAAAATATGAATTCAGCTCCAAGGAGAGTCAGTATGGCCACAGTTCTCAAAAAACCAATGTTCATAAACCTGCAGTTCCTCGGTGACAACATCAGTGAAATAATAACACAGCGAGCACCTGAAGAATGCAGTTAAAAGGACTTATTATGCAGGAGAGGTACGATGTCTCTTTACAACCACCCCTCTTCTATGTTCGAGAAATAAGGATAAACTACCTAAATTCGCCTCCTCTATATGTATCTACCAGTTTGACTGCAGCTGCGGGGCCAGCCATATTGAGCGTACAATTAGGCAAGTTCATTGTCGTATTTCCGAACATCATTCAACGTGGTTAAGTAAGGGACAAATAAGATCCATTCGTAGTTCTATTTTAGCCCACCTCGTTGATACTGAGCATAAGATTGATGTGAATACTGTATTTAAAATTATTTATCGCATTCCGACTTATCTCAATTTTACTCTGCGAGTTCGTCTTCTACAGACGGCTGAAGTAATCGGAATTCACCTGAAGAAGCCACGCCTATGTGTACAGAAAAAATTTGTACAGCCACTTTCCCTACCGTTGCCATCGTCACAAGAATGCATAAACAGGACTACGTCGACCCCCTCCCCCTAAACCTATAAAAATTATCATTGTCTAAATTATTTGTTTTATTTATTTTGACCACTTCATCTTTAATTTACGTGTTATCCTTGTAAAATTAATTTATTCTAACCATTTCTACCTTTTAATTGTGTGTATTGATTTTCTTCGTTAATTATCAACTCATTGACATTTTGACACTGACTAATTATTGTTAACAAACACTTCAGTGCCACTTGATGATTGGTAAACTGTTGTGTATTGTAATAAAAATGGTATATGTGTATATTAGAGTAGAGCCACAGTGAGATGAGGATCTAATTGAAAAGTAAATATTTCTTCGTTCAATCTTTCTGTTTTCTAAATGTCTAAATGGGGAGTTTTTCTTTATTAAAAATCATGATCAATGGATAGCTGATACCTATTGATTTCTTAACAATTAAACATTAATTCCAGTAATCAAAATGTGTGTGTGTGTAGAGCCAAAAGGCTTTTTACGCTTATGCATGTGCGAGGGAAGTAAATTCTTCCTAGTTGCCTATTCCATGGACTTTGAATGCTTCTTGGGATGCCTGAAAGTCAAGTGGCACTAGTGGTGAGAGTATACAAAGCCTCAAGAATAACCTCTTGAGGCCGGTTACACAAGGTCTATTCGAATTGGATTGTGTATTCGCATCCGTATAAGAGTCTCGTTGACGTCCACGGAACACGATTTATTTATTGTGTGTGCGACCCTGATTCTGTAGTGGAGAGGCAGTATAGTTGGTTTGGTGGTCATCAGTTACATCCCTATTCACCAGCATTACTAATTCGTCTAGAAACACCAAAAATAGAGTGAAAACGACTTCATATATAATTATGGCTATTTTTGCTCCAACCTATGTCCAGATAATCTTTCTGGAATAGTAAGACCCGTAGAAACATTATTTTAAGCCTATGTAGCTGATTAGGTTATCAAGATATTCAGGCCTTACCATAACCTTAAGGTATCAGCTATCCGTTGATCGTGATTTTTAACATCGATCTCAGTTATCAGATATACATCATATAAATCTAACATTGTAATGACGTTATTTCGCTGCTTCCTAACCTTTTCCATTCCTTCACATTCTAAATGGAATATAAAGGTTCAAACTTGAATTTCGGAATCCTAGTAGTGATGATGCAATTTTTGTGAGGTGCAGCTTACAGCTACACACTAAACCTCCCTCCTTTACTGAGCTAACCACAGCCATGTAAATTGGGAGAGGCAGAGAAGTTCATCGGATAGGAATCGAACTCGTAACTTTCGAGCAATAAGCTGGCAAGCATTCTTATTGTTCAATCACTGACTCATTGGTTTCTTTTATTCAGATGAAAACCAAGAGTACAGTAAACTTTCTTGTAACACATAAAAATCGGGGAATGCGGGTGAAGCATTGCTGTGTTTTGAGATATGCTAGTTATTATTATTATCACACTACTATGTATTACTAGTGAATTTGCATTAGTGATACATAATTACGGAATTCCATTTATATCTTTATCATGCTGATTATTTGATATCATCAGACGTTTATGTTTCACTTGTACCTGAGTTTACTCTGACTAAATGTACGAGGTATTCTGTCTTATTTAACTGAAAGTAGCTAACAATCGAATCGCAGGCTCGGGTCTCGTTGTATTCAGGACTCATCAGCAGGACTAATTTGCATCTCCCACCCTGAAATTCGAACGTAACATCCAGTCCCAAGTTCATTCAGCCAACAGTTTTCAAAAAGTACGAAACCTGCTTCTCTTGAATTTCATTATTAGCTGACAACAAACTTATAAACTTGTGTCGATTTCAAAGTATATCACTGAATGTTCAAGGTTATCAAGAGAGGTGACTAATATCCTCATGGGGAAATTTAATATTTCACTTTAAATTGAAGTACGCACTGAAAATTTGCACTTGCTTAGTAAGATGGCGAAAGCTTCAAAATAGGCTATCCAGCTCACAGGACACAACTACACCAAGAGCGTTTGCACTGTTCAACAATTCACTAACTCAACTTTGCTGCGTACAAAGAGATGAGGACTTTTAATACACATGTTTTTTTTAACATACATGTCCCGATGCTAATTTCAAGACGTTGTTAAGATGTGCACATCAAGTACCAAAATGTTAACATAGATGGGATACTCAAATTAAATTACCATTTGAAGATTATCAGGGCTTTTCAGTAGTCCTCCCTACTCAATTCTGTGTGAGTGAAACTACAACATTGTCGGTAATTTTAAACTTAGTCTCTATGGACTACATGATTTTTTTGTACTTGTGTTATTTCATTAACTTTTCTGAATTAAATTAATCGGTTTCCAGCTATCTTCTGGGTTTTTGAAGTGGCAGTTCAACGGTGCTTCAATTTTTAATTGGGAGCTACTTTTTCGGTAGTAGCTGGACATCTGTTTCGTCATAGTTTGAGACACTTTGGCGGTAGGCATCCATTGGTGGTCGAACACACAGAGCCTTCTGGCTAGAAGGTGAGCTCGTCGACCATTCAGTGACTGTGTTGCTTTTTCAGAGGTAGAGTGCTCGTCAACCACACTTCTCATGGTTCAAGGTTCAATCGCCGATTGACGCATTCCTTAACCTCAGTTAGCCGCCAGGATGCCAGGGAAAGAGAGAAGGTTTGGTGTGAATATAGCCATCCCACCCGGTAAGAAAGAATAACGTCACTGCTGCTGAAACTTCAAAACTCAAAGCTTGCAACCTTATGTTCCATTCCAAATGTAAAGGAATAAAATAAGTAATAATAATAAAATACTTTTGAAATACATATAGAAATAATCTCATTATCACGTCTTGTCTTTTCTTTCACAGGGATTTCTTGACCGTGTCGTTTTCATAAATAATGTGTCTAAACTTCAATCCCTGTTTAATCCTGAACAATGTCAGTTATTCGGCTTAAGGTTAGTTTATTCATCATTCATCCAAACCTGTTCAATATGTTCGACTCGTCCTTTTTTAATCTCCTTGTAATTTATGTCTATAAAGTTGAGCTGGTACGTGTCGCTATTTACTACTGATTTACTGAGATAAGTAGTTGTACACTACTGAAATTAACTGTCTGAATTGTAGATTGTGGATTTGATTTAGGCCATAATTAGTTTGCCTAAGTAACTGGTTAGTTAGTCAGAGTAGTTTTGAGTAGTTTCAAATGTTTGGGCACTGTAATCTGAATCAGACTGAGTACACACCGCTGATAAGCTCGGCCACCGGAAGAGCGGGACAACTTACCGGTGTTTGATTAGATCACTTCGATCTGGCTGTTCGGTAAGTACTATTCAGTTGATGTTAGTGGTATCCAACTACTGAAGTCAATTGATCTGTAGTATTTAGCGTATATGTGTGCTTCGTTTTCATTTTTTACTTGTAATTTATGTATTTGAAACTAAGCTGCTAATCACTAATTTTTCTAAATTCAACGTGGGGGAGTTGTCATCTGAATTGATAACAAACAGTGGTGTCCGACAGGGATGTCCACTTTCCCCATTCCTGTTTAACTTCATCATAGATATAATAATGAAAGTATCCTTAACTGAACGTAACGACTTAGGAATCGACTTGTTACCAGGGAATAATCTTGTTGACTTAGAATATGCAGGTGACATAGTCCTGTTAGGAGAGGATGCTGACAAAATGCAGAGTCTTCTGAACACCTTGAGCAGCACTCTTCGTATGTTTGGCATGCGATTCGCCCCTGTAAAATGTAAGATGCTGCTACAGGACTGAACTACGTCAATTCCTAGCTTAGTGATAGAGAGTGAAGTGATAGAACATGTTGACCACTTCACCTATTTGGGAAGTTATATCACCACCAACGGACTGATTGGCGACGAAATCTCAGCACGGATTCAAAAAACTCGAGCTGCTTTCGCTGACTTACACCATCTCTGGCGTAGGCGTGACATCCGGCTATCGACCAAGGGATGTGTGTACTGCTCACCAGTTCGCTCCGTCCTTCTCTATGGCTCGGAAACACGGCCAATACGAGTTGAAGACATGAAAAGGTTGACTTCTTTCGATCATAGATGTCTGCGATCTCTGTCTCACTTTAGATGGTTTAATAAGGTAAGTAATGTTGACGTTAGGTGTAGAATGTTGGGCAAAGAGGGAAAATCAATCGACGAGGCTATAAAGTTACATAGATTGAGATGGCTAGGTCAGGTGCTGCGCATGCCTAACCATCGCCTCCCCCGCCGACGGGCATTGCTAGCTGATATAGGTGCAGGTTGGAAAAGAGTAAGTGGTGGCCAAACAAAAACATGGCATCAATCCATGAAGTCCTTGGTAGTTAAACTGAGTCAGGTAGGTAGGGAGATGCAGACTTCCGGGTTGAGGCCCTCGGGACTCTAGGAATCAATATCAATGGCTGGAGACAATAGGTGACATGGCTCAAAATCGTTGTCAATGGCCAGCGCAGATGTATTCAGTCTCTGTAATCTTTCATATTCCTTTCTACCATTGGGTATTCTGTTTTACTGATATAAGTATAAAACTTGGGCACTGTGGTAGAGTATAATTCCATTATAGATAAGATTTTATTTTGATAAATCGCACAGTGTTTACAGTTATATGAACTGATGACGTTTCGAGCACAAACTATTGCTCATAATCATATCAATATCATATCAATATCATATCATATCATACTTGATATGATTATGAGCAATAGTTTGTGCTCGAAACGTCATCAGTTCATATAACTGTAAACACTGTGCGATTTATCAAAATAAAATCTTATCTATAATGGAATTATTCTGTTTTACTCCTATACTTGTCCAACTCTATTGATTCTCTCCACTCATCTTCTTGTCTACGTTTGTGTGCTATTCGGGACGTGGCAACTCGAACTGGTGCACTTCGGTGCCAAGTTCTTTGTTGAATCCAGACAGACAGACAGAAATTCAGATTTATCATCCGTGGTGAGTGAAAGTCAAATAACCAGAAGGAATTAGCGACGAGAAACTCTGGACGGCAATAAATCAACAGACGAGAGCTAATTCCTCAACAAATATTTGGGGAGAAAATTGAGATAGATTAATCGGGCATACATTCAGGAGGCCATTGAGTGAAATTGCGCTCAATGAAGTCCATAGCTCGAATGGGAAGCGAAGAGTGGGTCATTGGTGTGCGGGTGACTTGGAGTAGATCGTGAGATGTGAGGTGGCGGTTAGAGATTATGGGGAATTGTGGACCCAGATAAAGAGGACAGAAGAAAAAAGAAGAGAGTGTTGTTGAAGCCGTATGTTCCACTCAGAACCCAAGGAAATAATAATAATAATAAGATAATAATTCTGGATAGTATGTGTTTTCATTGCGGCTTTTTCAAGATAATGGAGAGTATATCATTCAGTTTTCATCTTTTGATGAAGGTCGCGTAACAGAATCCCTGCTGAACAAATGCGTGCCATGCGTTCATATTAAGCGTTGACAACTGTTTAATTTTCTAACGTACAAGAGTTCCTGTAACTGTGTTAGTTCATTGTGCGTCAGTGGCACAGTGGTTGGGACTCTCTCTGACCATGCACATGGTCTGAAGTTCGATTCCCTGCCTACGCACACCTGATATCTATGGTTGGCCAGCAAAATTTGGGCTACCGATATCACATGCTGAAGATTCCATACTTGTTACGAAAATACGGTTTGGAATCAAGCTGTAATCAAAAATAAAATAAGAAAAATAAAGTCTTTCACTTCTGAGTAGGTAATTCTATTTTTCGTTCGTGTGTTTAGCGAACGTTTCAGTGTCATGGTGATTATTTTGACTGTCGCGAAATATATCCATCAGTTCATAAGATAGAACACAGTTTTTGTTCAGCCAAAAATTGTCTGTTTTCAATGACATCATTTTCAAGCTGACTGTACAGTCGTATTTATATTACGGAAAAAGAAGGCGTTAATTGGCACTAGAAATCGCTCAGTCAATATTGCACTGACGATGATAAGAATAAATATAATTAAAATGATGTACTAAGGCGTTATAAGTACAAAACTTGGGCACTGTGGTGGTAGAGTATAACTCCATTATGGATAAGATTTTATTTCGATAAATCACACAGTGTTGCGCAGTAGTATTAACTGATGACGTTTCGAGCACAAACTATTGCTCATAATCATATCAAGTAACTCACACAACTTTTTTTAATGGTTGTTAAATAAGTGAACTGGGATAAATATTTTTAAATTGTAAGTCATGCGTTGTCTTAAACATTAACAGTGCGATGGTGATAGCATTAAAGACGGTGAAGGTGAAGTGAAGTGGAATGAATTCAAGTGGTAAAATAAAAAATAAGATATAAGAATATTATTATGACCAAGGTAAACAAAAAGGTTTAACAAGACGTCTTTTAACACAATTTAGGGTTTTGTCCATGTATAACTAAAGCCTCGGCTATGCATAAGTGGAGAAAAAGTAAGCATTTGGAGCGGTTGGATTCGCTCCAGTAAGTAACTTTGGAGGATAAATTGCATGGGGCTGAATAACCTGACTCAAGAACGTCGTTCTATGCTCGCCTCTCATTATCCAAACCTGTTAGTGTTCAACTGCGTGTTTACGGAGAACACGTTTGCAGCATCCAATGTAGTCAGTTCCACACGAGTGTGTGCACATAGAGGTGAACATAAGCGATAGTTTATCCTTGACGAACTGTCGAATAATATTATAGCTGATAAATGCTAAATGTGTAAGTCAGCTGCATAAAAAGAGAGTTGAATACATTCAGATAAACGACTTTTAATCACTTCAGCAACGGTGTCACCTTTAAACGCCAAACTCATAAACGGTGTCTTCTTTAGCACTGTGATTTGGCTTAGGACGGTTTCATTTTTGATGTTTCTGTCATTGAACCGTCTAGGATATTCATTATTTAAGAGAGTTGTGCTAAGCTTTTATGGTTCCATGTCCACCATATCTACAGAGCAAATTTTCCGAATTCTAGAGCACGAAAAACGGATAAGATTTCTGTGACTATCACTTGTTTGTGTACAAGTGAAATAATTTAACTGATAATTCTATCCTATTTGAAACAAGTTTAATTAACTTGCATGAAGTCAGTTCACTGAGCAGAAAAATGATTCTGGTAGGAAAGTAGGGAAAGCGAACTAATTATACGCTTCCTGAGCAATCCCTTTTTTTCATTTGACAAAGTTTCCTACCAACAGGAAACAAAATCATCCTAAAACGCTTGACAAATGTGTCAAAATTTAATATTCACTATTTTGGATTCTATGTAGCGAAAATATTCATTCAACCATATTGGAAAAAATAAGAATATCCTTTTCGATAATTTCTTCATTTTAGACACTGTCTACTTGTCAAGTAAGATCAATTGAATTACAGTTCAAGAAAGACACTTAAGTTGTAATAAGCATAAAGTGTAATAGGAAAAAGAATGTCATATAAGATTGAGGCAATCGTTACAACAAATTTAGGATCGGTTAAGGATTTCATCACGAGCCGACATTGGTTAGAGAACTTTTGAAACCACCAAGAGTACTGGATAGCTGTTCCGTCAGCCTAGTTTGAGATTCTTCACCCACACTGCGGGGTTCGAAACCAGGACCTTCGGGTTACAAGGATAGCGAGCTTGTAGACCACTAAGCAACTGAGACCCGAACCAATTGCCACTCTATGAAATCCAACTTCTATCAATTCACGATATAGCCCAACCGCTATCCAATGTCTTCGGTGAGTATTTTCCCTCACACCCTACATGATGCACCTACTGGTCACGACTCCCCACTTGAACCCCAGGTAACTGCCTATCTGAAAAGGGGTGGTCACTAGTGTGAGGGTAAATATACGCCGAAGACATTGGATAGTGATCACACTATGCCGTGAATTGGCAGATGTTGGAATTCATTAACTGACTATTGGTTCAGATCCCAGTGGCTTAGTGGTCTATGAGCTCGCTAGCCATGTGATTAGAAGGTCCTGAGTTTGAACCCGGCAGTGTGGGTGCCTATTGATGAAGAGTCCCAAACTAGGCTGACAAAACAGCTGTTCAGTACTCTTTGGTGGTTTCCAGCTGCTCTCTAACCGATATCAGCTCGTAATGAGATCCTGTAACCAATCAATCAAATCTTTGCAAGCCGATACTTGAAAATTAAGGATCATTAAAACCGAGTTGACCTAATTAAAAGCAGTGTATGAACCAACTTCTTTGGGAGTCATAAGTTAGGTTTCTTGATGTAGATTCCGACGAACGTCCTCAGCAATATGTAGTAGATAAGCTCTTAGGGTAAAATTCAAAACAGTTGGTATGGTTGGTTGATGAATTTGAAAGCCTCGTTAACATCAATCATGTGTTCTGTATCCACAAGATGAAACATAATGGAACTATGCATGCATTCTTTTTTATCTCTTATCTAACCACGATGCAGGATGGTGTTTTGGAATCCGGGAAACACGCCTAATTGTACGGCGTAAGCAGCTAACTGGTTCTACAGGAGCAGTCAAATTATCAGACGCACATGGAAGAGCCCTAAATTACGTAATTTATCTTTAACTCCCGAACGCAAAATACGGGTGGTTTTGAAGACATAGCATAATTCAGCAGCACTGAATTCTCCTTTTACCGCCGTATTCCATAGGCGCTGTGTTATTATTTCAATGATGTTATCCCCGAGTAATTGAAGCTGCAAAAATAAGGCCCTTTTTAGGAATTGTTGGTACTTTGGCCTGCCTTGACTTTCGATTGATATTCTTATCCATAGATTCCTATACACCACAGGGGGTTAAAGTTTGTAAAGTTATATTTTTCTGAAAGAATTTTTTAAACAAACTCATCTATACTCATGTCATGTTGTCATCTGGTTTTTTCTATTTATGCACAGACTTCTCTCCTGTATAATATCTTGTTTGGATTCCCTGCTATGGTTTGAAGCCCACTGTAATTTATCTGATTTCTTGTTAAGTTGTCAAAATGAGAAAAGAATTTCAGAGACAAGTTCAAATGTTGTCTTTGATGCCTTGACAATTGAACGAAATTACTTATTAGTGAAAATATTCTTTATCGGTGGACCAAATGAACGTGAACTACCACCAAGAGTACTTTGTCAGGTGAGTTGATAATTTTATGGGCTATTTACTTGAAGGTCTAGTTTGAAGTTACTTCTGTCTACTTGAGATTTTTAGTTATCTAGTCAGTACTGTTTAAAAAAAGATTCATACAAGAAGGTTGTTCGCTTTTCACCATACTTGAAATGTTTTTCCAACATGATTTTGAGAATGTTGACAAGCGTCTCAAAGATGATGCCTCAGGTTGTTATTTTCTACTTTTCAATCAGTCTCATTCATGTCACGTCAACTCCTAACTTAGTGATAGGGAGTGAAGTGATAGAACATGTTGACCACTTCACCTATTTCGGAAGTTGTATCAGCACCAACGGACTGATTGGCGACGAAATCTCAGCACGGATCCGAAAAGCTCGAGCTGCTTTCGCTGACTTACACCATCTCTGGCGTAGGCGTGACATCCGGCCATCAACCAAGGTACGTGTGTACTGCTCAGCAGTTCGCTCCGTCCTTCTCTATGGCTCTGAAACATGGCCAATACGAGTTGAAGACATGAAAAGGTTGACTGCTTTCGATCATAGATGTGTGCGATCTCTGTCTCACGTTAGGTGGTTTAGTAAGGTAAGTAATGTTGACGTTGGGTGTAGAGTGTTGGGTAAAGAGGTAAAATCAATCGACGAGGCTATAAAGTTACATAGATTGAGATGGCTAGGTCAGGTGCTGCGCATGCCTAACCATCGCCTCCCCCGCCGACGGGCATTGCTAGCTGATATAGGTGCAGGTTGGAAAAGAGTAGGTGGTGGCCAAACAAAAACATGGCCTCATCAATCCATGAAATCCTTGGTAGTTAAACTGAGTCGGTCAGGTAGGGAGATGCAGACTTCCGGGTTGGGGGCCTAGGGACTTTAGGAATCAATGGCTGGAGACAATAGGTGACATGGCTCAAAATCGTTGTCAATGGCTAGCGCAGATGTATTCAGTCTCTGTAATCTTTCATATTCCTTTCTACCATTAGTTATTCTGTTTTACTCCTATACTTGTCAAACTCTATTGATTCTCTCCACTCATCTTCTTGTCTACGTTTGTGTGCTATTCGGAACGTGGCACCTGGAACTGCTGCACTTCGGTGCGAAGTTCTATGTTGAATTCAGACAGACAGACAGATGTCATGCCTTTCACTGTCGGTGAGTTGGATAAGCGTTAACAACTTCTGATTACTGGCATAAGAAACTGTTATTTCCACCTCGCTTGAATATTGTGATTATCAAGCCACAAAGTCTTTAGCTCTAAGCGCTGTTTTGTTCTATGGTTAAGAGTCCATACAGGTAATTGTACTCACCGTCTATTGGAAGGAATCCAATGGCGCCAAGAAGTTGAAAGAAACAGGCAGGAATTAGGTGTTTGCAGACAGGATATTCTTCTGAATATCAAATGTCTTTACTTGAAATGATATCTTGTCACTATGCCTGTTGTTCGTATTTACCTTATAAATTATCAGCAGGTATTCCTGGTGACTTTCATATTATTCAACCCTTGTCAGTAGTTTCCAGTCTTCACCCCTCCCCCTTAGTGACAACTTGTTTATTCATTATCACATTTTCAAGTATTGCTTTTGTAGGAATTTTGTTTGATTGGTTGGGGGATTTCATCATGAGATGATGTCGGTTAGAGAACTGTTGGAAAACCTGGAAGTACTGGATAGCTGTTTCGTCAGCCTAGTTTTGGACTCTTCATCGGTACGCACTCACACAACAGGGTTCGAACCTAGGGGCTGCTGATTACATGGCTAGCGAGCTCGTAGACCATTAAGCCACTGGAACGCTATCCAATGGCCAGTCCATTAGTTCTAAATTCTGCCAATTTATAAGTTAGCGCGACCACTTCGCATTGTCTTCTTCGATGAATAACTGTCCTCAACTTCAACATGTTGTACTCTACTGAACATGGCTTACAACTAGAACCCCACGTAACTGCCTACCTTAATAAGGCCAGTCGCTAGTGAGCATCAGATCACATTTTTGAAACACTTCGGTGACATAGACGATAACCTAACTGCTTTTTATTCTCGTTTGCTATCTTAATGTACACACACACACACAAAATAATTACATATATGTGACGCAATTGTTCAGCTAAGTAAATGAATTCACCGAAAAGAGACCCTTCTATACTTTGCATTGTTTATGTATAAAAATGAAATTAACTCATAAGAAAAAGATGTAAACAGCAAAGAAGAGTTTCTTCATCGCGATTCATTTTCATCAGCTGTACAAACATATTTCTATTTACCAGAGAATTGATAAGACCAATCAAATACTGGTAAAAATTCATCCTCGAAAATGCATTACGTGATGTAAGGTATAATCTAGGAGGGGTAACTAACTGGAAATTAGGATAGGGGTAGAGGTTGAGATAAGGTAATAGGTGTGAGAAAATGACCAATCAGTATAGTTGTGTAGAGTGGACAGGAAGAAGATAAGGTGCTTTTTCTAAGATTTGTGTTAAAATCCAGTGTTACTAAGAAACAGCATTACAGTGATAACAAAATAAGGATAATGAGAATAATAATAATAATAATACTAAACTTACATCATAAAAAGAAGTACAATTATAGTGAGAAAGTTAATCTGATCACGGTAGGGCGGGGGAGTATATGTGATGCTTTTGAATGCAAAAGTCCACTTTCAGATCCCCGATAGCGAAAACGCTCATCGTCTTTCCACTATTTCCTGTCCACTGTACACAGGTATATTGATTAGTCATTTTCTCACATTTAATACATTATCCCAATTTCCGCCTCTTTTTCTAATTTCCAATTGATCATCCCTTCTAGATTACAGCTTACATTGCTTAGTACGTTTTCAGGAACAAATTTTATCAGTATGTGATTGGTATTTTTGAATTCTTTGTTAAATATAATTACGCTTGTACAGCTTGTGAAATGAATCGTCGAAAAGGAAATATTTTTTTTTCGCTGTTTACCTCACTTTCTCTAGTCTCATTATGGGAATATTTCATTCAAATCCAATTAAGACTGTAATGTTTCTTAAGTTAAAACAATTAGTCTCTTTGATAAATTTGAATAAAGCATTTAGAAGACAAAGTTCACGAAATGGTGGTATCATTTTCGTAGTTTCTTTACAATCGCTTTACAACTGACATGGTTCACAATATTAATAAAATAAAATGCGTGCATGACAGTTACTCAGTTAAATAAAAAAAAAATAAATGTACATACTAATGACCAATCATATTTCTAAATAGTAGTAGGTTCATGGTAGGCGAAGGTTGAAGTCTATTGTGTTTTGTACACATAGTTTAAGATGTATGTGATTAATCCCCCAAAGTGCTTCCATCACTTTCAATAACCAACCTTGAATTAGAGTTATGTGATGAAATAATTGTGAAACAGTCATTAATATTGATTTTATGACCTGACATTATTAAGTACTTGACAATGGATGATAATGATGGATTTCTATTCAGATTAATCACGTTGGGATTTTCTGTGTGTTTTAATAACCCTTGTGGAATATTCAGTGGGGATTAGCTTAAGACTGTTCAACAAGGATCACTGGCTATTACAGATAATCAGCTATTCATACTGGAGCAGTCTAACTGGGAATTAACTGCAACGGGAACAGCCTACCTAACAACAGCGACTTCATCAGAATGAGGTGTGTCGTGTAAGAGGGAAGAAAACAAATGGGAGGGGGAGAGAAAACAGCACTTGACGGGTAATGCCTAACCACAGTGGCAGAAAAAAGTCCCTTACATACACTGGACTGCTTCTTATCAGAAAACTAAGGTTGTAAGCACTAATTAAACCAGCACAATAACCTCAGCAGAATGAAGACAGATGCGTAATCTGGGAAGATGCATCGAACATATTTAATAACTTTTTGCACATTAGAGACAATATTATGATGTGTAACAGTGGCAGCATCTAAAGTGTACTTACTTTGCTTGTAAAAAACTGTTTTGGTTCACTAAAAGCTCAATGAAGGGTCAAGATAATGCAGAGGCAGTTTTTTCATTATTTTCAAAAATGGTGAGGTAGTTGAGCAATAGTCTAAAATCGAATCTTGTAATGATTTGTCAGGTTCTGGTAATACCGTGGTGACAGCTGTCTGCAAGCCGAAATTGTAGACAACAATTTACGTCAATTTTTACGTCCTGAATCGGGGTCAAGAGAAAAAAACAATAACAAAGCTTAACCTTGAGGAACTCACCAACCAATCACAGCAGGCTTGACGTGTGCAAATACGATTTGCAAATATATGGTCTAACTTTCTAAGAAACGGTCACAAGCAGTACAGAATAACCTTCAGCAAGAAAACAACCAATTAGGAGAGTTGCTTCTCCGCTAACAGTGATGCTAATAATAATGTGCATAAAAATCTGTAAATATCTCTTGATTTTCTCAACAAACGATTTTTGCCTGGCCCTTGTCCTCTGTCATTACAATACTAGGTGTTATAATTAACACTTAAAAGTATTTTTTCACCCAATCAGTTCACTTCATTGATGTCCTGCTTTGGTTGTATCTTTTATTTGTTATCTTTACTCTACAGCACACAAATCGTTTATATCCTTATCGTATTATTCGAAACAAACCAGCCTACAATGATACCGTCTTTCATGATAGTTGCTCTGTCAATAATAAAACCATAAATAAGTGTGAACAGCCCCCCTGTAAGAATTGGTATACGGAATTATTTAATGCATCGAATCAAACTCACTCACTCCTACCACTGTTAATATGTGATTTACTGCCCTTCGATCAGCTGATACTGAATTATACAATTACATCGTATGAAACTGCTTTAGAATGGATGAACAAATGTCAGAATATCTTCAAAACTTCTAAAACCATTGTCAATCGTGATCAGAAAAGTATTCAAGAGAAAACTAAGGGTAAGTGGTTATAAATTTTTTGACTGGTTTTTTTGCGTATTGGAAACGTCTCTCACTTTCAAGTACGCTCTTTGATACGTGTCATGAGGTGAATGTGGCATGATTGTTCCAAATTATCAGTAGGTAAAAGAGTTCAATTTTCTCAAGTTTGCAACTGCAATCTTCATCAATCGCTTGAAACCCAATTTATGTGTTCAGAAAGAAGCAGTTATCAGTCTTTCCACGCCCTGCTGCCTGATAACTGAATGTTTTCACCCTCTCTTTCATATCATTACGTAATGCTGAAAGTTCCCATTGTGTATGATCACTGGTGTTCGAGATGAAGTGTTTATTATTATATATATCATTATTGTATGCATATAGCGATTGAGTGAATTTTGTTCAGAAATAAACTCTGTGTAAGTATGTTAAAATTGTTTCTGTAGATATAATTACTCATGACTTTGAGCTGTAAGCAGCTGAGCTAATGAGAAGCCAGCAAAATAAACAATGATGGTTCCATTTTATTCTCCAAAAACCGTTGTTGTCGCTTTATTCAAATTTCAAAAACATTTTGATATAACTTATAAAGTCTTGTGAGGGGGGTGGGTGGGAAAGTGGTGTATGAAGTAATGTTGTACTGTGGTCACCTGTTTTCTAATGAGGTTTTAGATTTCCCAGAGATTGATCATAGTGATATGTTAGTTTCCCGTACGGATACTTCGACAATGTTTAAGGAAATGACATGAAGTTATTCCAGTTGGTGGTGAATAGCAGTGGAACACAGATTGCTGCGCATTTCGTCCGTTTTGGCAGCTCGTGAGGTGGACGTATTTGCATTCTTAGTCAGTGATGGGACATGTGAACAAAGATAGATAAATTGTTGGCGTTTGATGCGATGCGTGAGGGGTTCAAGTCTAAGAGGGAACCTCATCACCTAACCCATCCAAATAAGGAATCTAAAAATGGAAGGAAATTCGCATCTTGGATTCTTCTGCTAGGCATCACTAACAAAAATTACACACATCAGTGTTTATTAGTAGTGTACAACATCGCCATTCTTATTCAATCTTATTATTGAAATATTTATTAAATTGACTATGTTTGGTTTCATTCTTTCGTAAATTGACTTACTTTCAATAATGATGACAGTATAATACAGACTTCTGTAAACTGTAAGCAAATATATCGGTTCCTTCGTGGATGTCAAATGTAACCTGACGCTGGACTAACGGGGAGTAAAGATGTCAAATATGTTAACTATTTTATTTGTTCGTGAGGTAATGGACAGATTATTGATGGGATTTCAGACTGGGTAAAAACCGTCAGTCTGCATCAATTTTAGTGTGGTCAGAATATACTGGTAATCGTCAAAATCTGTTGATGCGACTAGAATTCCAAATTAAGTTAAAGTGCTGTCAAATTATGCAGATCTTTTAGCTCAAACAGATAGAATTTCAGAAATAAAGAAAGTCTCGCGGTTTGCATAACAATGCATAAACGTAATCTAAAATATTCTTTTTATCACTTAACCAAAAAGCATAAGGTGATATGGCAATCTAATCTGAATGCAGACCCTCAGCTGTCACTGAAGTACAGGATCTTGCTCAGAATTTGTAAGTCTTAAACACGGCGAAATACACATTCTGACTTATTGGGTTATTGAACGAGAGACACCATACCATATTTGCAGCCATCATATAAGATGTCTATCTGTCTGTCAGCAGTGTTGGATGAGTTGAATTGACCCAACAGTCAGAAGTTATGGCGGCTGAATGATGATCAGAAGTTCAGTTCATGCATATATCAAACTGCTTTAGGTGACCATATAATGTCCTCTTCGCCCCACTATCTCTACAATGTCACCCTCGCACCAACGTCCCACTCCTCGCTACTCATTGAGCTTCTACCTAAAGCGATGGCCTGCGTTAGGCACGATATCAGTCAATGGCTTTCTCAACGTATGCCCAATTCATCTCCATTTTCTCTACATATCTGTTGAGCAATCGGCTCTCGACTGTTTCTTTGTTCCCCTGAAAAGCTTCATGTTTCCAATTCTTTCTGGCCCGCTGGCCATTCGATCTTCAGTATGGATCCATAGAAGTGGGGAGGTGTTGATACAAGTCTCTAACTTGTTGTAAATCCTTTTCGTGATACACTGGCCAACTTTCTGACCTGTACAGTACAACTGACTGACTGACTGACTTCACATTTTTGTCGAAAATTCGAATCTTTTTCTTTATGTTGGCTGAGTCAGTGCAGAAGATTTCCAAACAGGTTTCAGGTTGATGAAGGCGTACCTCGCCTTTCTGATTCTGGCTGGTTAGCTTTGACATTTTCACACATTCTGACTGTCTGTGGTTCAAACCGTGTTTCTTAGCTAGATAAGTGTAAGGAAGTGACCTCATTCAAATCTCTTCCCTTGATGGTGACTGGTGCTGGTTGTTGTTGCTGCTGTTGGTGGTGGTGGTTGGTTATCTTCATCACCTGCTCACCTGGAGTCCGATGTTCGCTGCCAGTGTCTCCAATCACTTTGTTGGTTTTTGCCTGCAAGTCTTCGAGCGTGTGTGTGTGTGTGACATTAAACATAAACCATCCACACATGAATTTCAGATCTTCGGAAGTCTTCTTATCGGTCCAACTTATTCCTGTCTTTTCACTCTCATGCACAGTCTGACGCATAATCCAGTCAATCCACCACAATTAGGAATACCATCGTCGGTGGTAATAGGCGACCTTGTCTTACTGCATATTTTACTTCAAACATCTCGCTGAATTTTCCGCTGTTGATTACCTGACACGTGGGATTGTAGTAGTAGTGCTGGCCTTGTGTGACTGACAAATACTCTTGCGAAAAAATATACATTGGACTCTTCATCAATGCGCACCTACTACCCTATCGCTTTGACTCGAACCGAGGCACATGAAGTGACGAGGTGAGCATGTTAACCAATCAGTCATTGTTACGGGATCCAAAGACGAACAACAACTTTGGCTTCCATGGATTCTGATTTTTAGCAACCCCATTGGCCAATGCCGTCAGACAGTATTTGTTCCTATAACTACTACCTGCCGTATCCTGGTGGTCATGTCTTGATATGACTTCATCCCGTAGGTCAGTCATCTGTGAGCGTCAGTTCAATTCTCAAATGTTAGTTTGTAGAAATTTGATTTCCTCTCACTCCTAGACCAAATTTGTAAACAATCAAATATATATCTTTTTCTCTAATGTCACTATTATTACTCATAATCAAATAAGTAATGTTTTTTCTTTCTTCCATATCTAAGATGTAGGTGATTATCTGAATCAATGTGTACTAGCAATGAGTTATTTACCTGGATCGAATACCAATCTCCAACAGTTACCTAAAGGTTAGTAATTTGTCGATCTGTTTATTCAACAACAGTTTTTTAAAGCTTTTTTTCCCTACCGAATTCCATTTTATAAAGTTGTGTGGTTACGTCCTTCGTAGTGTTAATTTACTTTTTGTATCAAAGCAGGTTACATTTGTACTTATCGAAGTCATGATATCAGTTTTTTTGTTGATTGGTCCTATTGTTGTTATTATTACCATCTATTATTCCAATGGCTTTCCAGTGAAACATAGGGGCTTCAACAATACAGCTCTACTTTGTTCTATTTTCTTCTGTCCTCTTTATCTGGCCACATGATTGACCATAATCTCTCATCCCCCTCCATGTCATCCTCACACTGGTGACCACCCCTGCTTCCCATTGGGATTCCACCTTAATCAGTGGTCCACATTCAGTGTGATCTCATTTGATGGCCTGCTCAATGTATCGTTGATCAATCCACCTCCATTTTCTCATACATATTTGTTGAGCTATCGACTATCCCCTACTTGGTTTGTCGCCAGCCAAAGTTTCTTGTTGCTGACTATTTCTGGTCAGCCGGCCAGGCATTCAATCTTCATTATGGAGCCGACGAAGTCATCAGCTGTTGACGAGAGTCTACGAAAGACGCAGACAGTGATGACAGGACTCCAGGTGAGCATAGAGAAGGCAAGGGCGATGAAGATAACCAACTGACAGCAACGACAACGAGCACAAATTATCATCAGTGTAGAAAATTTGATAGAGGTTTCTTCCTGGCTTCACTTATCCTAGGAGGTATCGTTTCAAACAAAGACAGTCGCACTGGATGAAGAAGTCAACATCAGCCGGAATCAGAAAGGCAAGATACTCCTTCATCAACCATATTATTATATATGTGTACATAGGTCAAAGTAGTCGAACGGAGTCAGTGGGACTTGCGGAGCACAGAGACCTACGAAAACCTAGACTAGTTGACTCTAATAAGATAAGAAATCTGCAGGACAGCTCAGCCATAGCACTACACGCAATTAAACACAAGCATACAATAATATGGATGGAATAAGATGACAGTTTTAAAATATAATGTCACAGGATGGAGAGAGAGATTGGTAACAGAAGCTTTGTTTATCGAATCAACTGCACATACGTGTACTGGGAGTGATTCAACACCTGTCCGAGATATCTGAAAAATTCTACCACCCCTATGATGACAAAAAGGAGAGAACAAAGAAAACTATAAAAAATCGAATTTCAAAGTGGTGTGATTACAATTGATATGATTATGAACAATAAATTTTGTTCAAACCTCATCATCCAGTATGTAATAATACTGTTTCACTGTGTGATACATCTAATAAACAAACTAATATGGAATTCCTTTCATCAACCAGTCTGGAATTCTTCTGCTCTCATTCGGTCAGTGTAAAGAACAAGATTCAAATTCTTTGCAACATAAATGTCAAGTCAGTCAGTTCTTCTATACGGGTCAGAAACTTGGAGTATCACGTTTAGTGATGTTAGACTGAAATATTTCTTCTTTGATAACATATTTTCTCCTATTAGATAAGCTTCGATGATTTCTTTCTGAAGTTGCTTGGTTGATAGCGACGAGCTGTAGAATTCATGGGTTCTCGTGTATGAAACGGCAAGTTCGAGTCCCAGTGGGAATACTATCAACCATTGGGGATGTTTGTACATCTTCCCGACAAGACACAAATAGGAAGAAATATGCGCCTAAGACTCCATAGTTAGTCACCAGCAATCATATTACGTTGCTCTTTTTCAACAGTTCTACGAATCTGTAACTAAAATGTAATAGAGAAGTCAAATTTCTTAATAAGCCTCAGTATATATGTACGCAATATATGCATATTACTTGACAATGGTATTCAATTTGAAAATTATTCACACCAATCACAAATTAGCGGAAGTTAGAAATCATGCTCTGGCCGTAGACTTGGGTCCTAGTGACTGAATAGCCAACGAGATGGCTTTGTAAACAGAAGATGCTGGATTCAAACCCCAGCAGGTGCTTACTAGTGACGAGTTCCAAACTAGAACGAAACCACCGTCCACTGGTTTTCAGCAGTTCTCAAAGTGATATCAATCAATCCCTGACCAAATTCTAAACAAATCAAATCTCAGAAAAATAACTCATCAAAACGCATGATTCAGTTTCCTACTCAAGTTACAGCTTCTACATAGACCTTTGAAAATTCAAGTATGAGTAAAACATAGCCTCAAATGTACATGCGATAGTAAAGTTATTCCTGTAACAGAAATGATTTTCTTTCTCCCATTTTTTTATTTTCCAGTTAACGAAAATGACGTTAAAAATTTCCCACTTTCAAAGATGGATAAGATTGCTATCGAATGGACTATACGGTAAGCTTATGATTATATCTGAATTCAGACACGCTTTTGTTATCCAGAAATCCGTCAAGTTAAACTATGGCAACCGAAACTAAAGCGACTTTGAATAACCGATCATAACTAGGTTGGAGGAAAACTGGTTAAATCGTTTGAAAAAAAAACATTACGAACATGATTTAACAATGAACAGTTATTACATTTGTGTTTTAAGCATATTTACCAGTCATTTCATGCATAATCACATAGGGAAATCATACCATACATGATAAAAATATATTCGTCCAGATGACTATAGATTATGGTACTCTTGTGGGGTCTGTTGAAATTCTTGACAATATTCTTTAGTCTACCCGTAACTCTGTAACCTAACCCTAACCCTAAACCCTAATCATAACACGACTTAACAATAAAGATTTGTAGAAAAGTGTATTCAGAGAATAAGTGCCATGAACAGTTTGATTTGGGATGACCTTCTGTGGGGTTCCGCAAGTATGATTGGTTCTTGAAGGTCAACTGTTAACTATGGGAACTTGACTTTAGCTGTCGTTGTTTTAACCTCTTCCATAAATGTCTGTCAGATTGTGAACAATTGAAAAAAGAGGGCTAATTATTCCCACTATTGTCTAGAATTTTTTAAATAGTTAACACTTCCAAAAAGTGAGAGTTTAAAGATTGAAGAGGTCGGAGGTTATTGTCAATGAGTAACTAAATAATTCAAGTATATGAGATATAAAAATTCACGCAAACAAAATAGCGAATGATCTTCGCGTAATCGACAGAGAGTTGGCAGGTGACTAGTTAAACGATGAGCAATAATTAATGGAAAAAATGACAAAAAAAAACAGGAGAACACAGGTTGCAAAATGGGTTACACAAAGATAAAGTGACTACATAGAGTTCGTTATGCAATACTTCAAGAAACTAAACTAGAAAATAAAGCAATGACAAAGAAAGAGGCTCGTAGAGTTCAGATTCTTCGTAATGGATTGATACAGCTTCGGTTGTATGAAGAAAATGTAAGCGAAATCCTTTTGAATAACCTAACTGTTCTTTATATTTTTATTTTTATTTAAACACGAAATACTTGGTACAAAATGGCACCAAGAAGATGGGCCACACAATAATAATAAAACAATATAGATTAAAAGTAAAGATATAGGTAAAGAACGGATAAAGTGCTTCACCTGGAACGAAAACAGTCATCTTAAGCAAGTTCAAACATCATTCGTCAATTATCGTCAGTAAAGGGAAGAAAGAAGGAAATTCCAGCACATTCGCCATTGGTGACTGTGATTCTTGGCCATATCCGATGGCGATTCGAGCCACCGATTCCAGTTCTCTCTAGGACTTCAACCAGGAAGTCATGACGCATCACTGGTGCTAACCTCACAGAAATATCCTTCGTCTCACGAGGCCACATCATGGGCTTACTACCTATCCGCTTTTTCCATCCAGTACCCTAGGGTCAGCGAACACAGACCTGTACAGAAGCCTCTGGGGTAACATTTATAGTACATGTTCAAGCCATCAAAGCTGGTGTTTCTAGATGACGAAGCTCAACGAATGGCGACCTCCACCGTGTCCACACACACGCCACCTAACCTAAGAATTGCTCATGTAATGATGCTATCGAACGTAAGCGATTCCGCGGATACACCGACAATCGAGTACGCAGAGTCGCCGCACATCTTTAGCTTGCAGAAGCCGGTTTTCTCAGGCGTAAAGCGAGACAGCACGCATCAAAGCTTTGTAACCCGGACCTTTGATAGTCAAGCTAACGTGACGATGGCGCCAGAGTTGGTTCAATTTGACGTTTGCCGCCGTATCTTTGATTATACTAATGGAAATCTCATCTGTTACCCCTATGGCAGCATTCGCACAACTACCAAGATACACGAACTTATCGAAAACCTCAAATGGTTCACAAGCCAGGGTGAGTGTAGGTACAGTCTCCTGCCAATCTTGTAACAGTACTTTGCACTTAGGTGGCGCAAAGACACTGATCGCCAACTGATTAGGTGCGATTCAGGCAACTTGCGTGCTATCGCACAGTAACACGATATCGTCTGCATACTCGAGGTAGAAAAGTCCCTCTCTACGGAGCAGATCTACACCACCTTCACGCACATCCTTAAGAGCTGACTCCAGAATGTTGTCGATGGCAAAGTTAAAAAGAAATTAAGAGGTTGAGCGATCCTTTCTAAGTCAACTGTTGGTTAGGAATAGTGGTGATAGTTGCTTGTATACCCTCACTCGACATGAGGTGTTCGCAAACTTACTTATATACGACGTTGAATGAAGTCCTGTTGTTGCTGTGTGACCAGAAGTAACAGTATGCTCCAGAATAGCGCTGTTGACTATACCGCATTATTTATAATACACCGATTTATTTTGTTACTAACTGGGAATAATGTCTGACTTTTTTGTGGATTAACACTGTGCATATATAAATTCCTAATTTACCGTACAGCTTTGAAGTGAAGCTATAAAAAGGGAAGAGATCTCTTTGTTGACTTGCATGTTCTTAGTTACATCGCACGGGAAATTTCTGTATCTTCATTGCTATCTTCGATTTTCAATGGCTGCTTCCCTGACATTAATCTTTTGTGATCACAGTTGTATAAAGCAAACTTCTGGTTTAAATCCTTCCCCTTTTTTCTAATAGTTATGGTCAACGAATTGGTTTACTGCAAAGATCTCAGTCAAATCCCAGTGAAGATTATAAGTATTTCTACGAGCAACTGCACATTCTTATGCGTAAAGTTCGTTTATCCTTTCAGAAAGAAGATCAATCACTCTCTAGACAAAAAGATCAAGGTCAGTTTAGCCTATCCAGTTAGTCTGCTTGAATTTAGTGGCTTCATTTTATAGGATAACTGTTTTTGTATACGACTGATGAAACCTACAAGTCATATACAGTCACTATACAGAAACACGATTCAACGGGATTTATAGAACGGGTTCACTGTTTGCTTGCCCCATCATTTTTTTGGGACTTTTATTGTCATTTTGCGTTACAAGTGGAAATATAGGCTGTGAAGTTTCAGTGATTTTATTCAAGAAGAGTTAAACCTTAAACACCAGTAATTACCAATGGAAAAATGACCTTTAACGTACCAACCACATGATAAAGGCGATTTTAGCGTACATGTATATATACATGAAAATAATCTAATAAAAGGCGTGAAACTTTTGCACAGGATACCCTTCTCTGGCATATGACCAAAATACCTCTCAATTTTGGATTGAAGCATCTACATTCTACGCATGAAATTATCTAGGTCTTCTAACCTTTATCTAACTCGAACCAACCACTAATGTCGTCTTTATTAGGTTAAATTAACCCTATCTGTCCTTAGACTAAATCTTAACTTAACCTTCACCAAAACTAACCTGAAAATTTCCATATATTCCATTTAATAACATAACGCTGCACTAAGCCCATTTCACTCATGATTACAGTATTGCTTTCTATAGTTGGTTTGTAAGGATTAGATTTGTTTTTAAGAATTGATCACGGATTGATATCAGTTAGACAAAGATTGAAAACCAGGGAGTACTGGACAGCTGCTGTTTCATCCTAGTTTGGGAGTCATCGGCAGTATGCACCCACCAAAGGGGTTCGAACCCAGGACCTTTCGGTTACAAGGCAAGATCGTATTAATCTATTGCTTGCTAATGAATGCCTACAGGACGGAGTTTCCTGAGTTCTAGTGGGAAGTTATGACCAGTGAAGTGCATCCAGTCAAGTTTGAGGATGGATGTCCCACCGATGACATTGGTAAGTGGTTGATCTAAAATCACGAATTGGTAGAAGTTATAATCCATGGGCTGGCCAGTGAATCGGGTCCCAGTGACTGAATGGTATACGAGCTTGCTTTGTAACCGAAAGGTTCTGGGTTTTATCCTCAGTGGGTGTGTCCTGCCGATGACTCCCAAACTAGCATAAAACAGCTGTCCAGTACACCTTGGATTTCAATGGTTCTCTAACTGATATCAATCCGTAATTAGCTTGTAAAAACAAATTTTTTTATTAGGTTTCACTAGCTTGCTTACTGATCATTACCAGATCATTGGTGCGATTGCAATCCACTGGTACATACTGTTGCTAAAATTTAACTTGACTGTTATTCCCATCGGAGGGTGAGAAGTTGCTAGCCTCTCGTTCAACCACACTTTTCTTTCTCCAGGGTTGTTACTCAAAAGGTTTAGCAGTGTGTCATTTAGAAATTGAACACAGACCTCCCGATAAGTTGCCGAGTATTCTCCTCTTAACTTGCCTTCCATCCCCATAAAGAGCATGGATGGTTACTACTGTATAGTGACAAACAAGAATGAATCAACTGTCCAGTATTCCATGCTGGTTTTTTAATGGTTGTGTAACTGAAGTCAGTTTGTGATCAACCGTTGAAGTTAAAATTATTATTATTATATCCTTGAATTCCTAGAGGAACATAGGGCTTCACCTGCGCGTCTCCATTGCCTTCGGTTTTCTGCCAACTTTTTCACCCCGCTCCAAATCTGCTCACATGTTTTCATCCCCTCTTCACATGACCTCCTCCAAGTCACCCCACTGTGGGACGACCAACTCGTCGCTTCCCTTTCGTGTTCCACTCGAGCGATGGCTTGTCTAGGGATGTTACTTGATGGTTTCCTGAGCGTATGGCCAATCCATCTCCATTTCTCCTGATTTGTTCACAATCGTTCCTGGTTGGTTCGCTCATTGCCAGAGATCCCTGTTTCTGATCTTTTCTGGCCATCTGATGAGTATTGACAAAGACAACTGTTATGTGGGTCTGAAAATTGTTTGAGTGCTCTTCATGACGCGCCAAGTCTCTGATCCGTATAGTACACTGACTTCACAATGGAGTGAAATCCGATTTATTTTTGATGCTGAGTGCTGTTGACCTCCACACAGACTTAAGAGTAATGAAAGTTGTCTTACTTTCCCGATTTGGCTTGATATCCTCGTCAGTTCCCTGAGTTGAAACGATGCTTCCCAGGTAGTTGGTAGGTAAAAGAGATTGTTCTTTCAGGTTCCTTCCATTTATTCTGGCTGATTTTTGTTGTTTGGTGTTGGTGTTGGCCAGGAATCTTCATCACCTCGGTTTTATCTATGTTCATTCGAAGTCCTATGTTTGATGCTTCTTCTCCCAGCTTGTTGCTTTTCACTTGCATATCTTCCAGTTTGTGGAAAATCAATAAATCCGGGTTCGAACCCACGCCGACGCACACCTGACTATGGTCGGCTTGCGAATTTTGGCTACCGATATCCACGCTGAAAATTCCACACTTGTACCAAAAATACGTGTGAATCAAGCTGTAATCAAAGATAAAAAAAAATAAAAAAAAAAAAAATTACAAAATATTTTTAATATTTAGTGGTGACGGTTGATTTGGTCTTATTGAATCAGAGTTCACGTAGTAAGAAATATAGTTGGAGAGTATTCAGATTACATATTCGAGTATGTGATTGAAATTCTGAGCTACAGACTTTTGCAAAAGCATTCGATTACGGGGAAGCTGAGAGTGAATAAACAAAGGAGGTCGATGTTTCATGGGAAATGATACTTAAGCACAACTAAACATTTTATGAGTCAGTCATAAGAAAAAGAAGGTGTGAACAACGAAAAACAATTTTCTTTTTTAACGATTCATTTTCAAAAGCTGTCCAGTAGCACTTCTTATATTCAACAAAGAACTCGTAAGATCAATTAAATGGCGGTAAATTTGTTCTAGAAAATGCATTGCATAATGTAAGGTGTATTCTAGAAGGAGATGACAAGTTGGATATTAGAGAAAGATGGGGGTCAGAATTTGAAATTCGTGAATATAATCCTCATTCAGACATCAGTAAAACTCAAGCAAATAATTCAGCGAAGAGGTACTTTTCGGCGAATTCATTCTCTTTTGTCGTACAATCTTATTTGTCTGCAATATTTATCACGAAAGAGGATAGTAAAAATCCCTCTCTAATGATTCCTTATTAGCATTACGTTTTCATGCAGATTTTATATGTAAACATTTTGCTGTCCGGCTAATAAATTCATATTGCTGTTTGAAATTAGATCTCATCAGGCTTAACTATAATACGCCTTCATAAATTTACATATAAAAATTAAAATATCTACCAATCATGGTGTTTTATCAGTAGGATTATAAGATACATATACGTCAAAACAAAGTTCACTTTGGGCATTAGGTATATGTTATCCATTATGATAAAGGTTTTTATATTTCCTAATGAACGAAAAACAAAACGATATTGTTGTTTCTATTTATGTTTCGCTATTAAATACCGCTAATAGCTTTGTGAAAGTATTTGTTATTAAACCAGAATTTACAAAATCCACTCAGCTGATATTTAACAACCTAATCATTGTTCCTCAGCATAAGTTTATTTTTCGTTGTCGAATTGGCCAAATGGTAAAGATAACACAACGATGTGTAGATTGTTGGATTTGATATCACTATAGTATTATTATTTTCTTGGGTTCCTAGTGGAACATAGGGCTTCACCTGCACGTCTCCACTTGCTCCTGTCTTCTGCTGTGCTTTTCACTTGCATCCATGTGAGTCCATACTGTTTCAGCTCCTCTTCACACAATCTCATCCATGTCACCCTTGCACCGAAGACCCACTCGCCGCTTCCCATTCTGTCGGGTTCCACTAGAGCAATAGCCTGACGCGCGCGCGATGTCACCCAGCGGCCTTCTCAGCGAGTGAGTGTCCAATCCATCTCCACTTTCTCCTGCATATTTGTTGGGCGAACTACTGGTTCTTGTTTTGTTTGTTCCCATAGTTTCTTGTTGGTGATTCTTTCCGGCCCAGCCATCTGATCTTCAGTATAGAGAAAAGACAGTTATTGGTTGATAAAGGTCTGCAACAGGCTGTTGGAAATATTCTCTGTGACCCGCCCGCCAAGTTTCTGATCCGTATAGAAGAGCTGACTGACTTGACGTTTGTATTGAAAATCCGACTGAATTTTGTTGTTGATGCTGGCTGAGTGACGAAGATTTCCAGATTGCTTTCGGGTTGATCATGTGTGTTTCTCGCCTTCCTGATTCTCGCTCGATTTGACATCCTCGTCCGTTCCTCCTGTAGTTGAGACAATGTGAATAAGGTAACCTCTTTCAAATACCTTCCGTTGATGGTGATTGGCGCTGGATATTGCTTCTGTTGTTGTTGTTGGTTGGTTATTTTCATAACCTCCATCTTGCACATGTTCACCTGGAGTCCTGTCTTTGCTGCCTCTTCGACTGGTCTGTCGGTTTTCGCTTGTAAGTCTTCGATTTTGTGTGACGTCAAACATAAATCATCCACGCGCGAAATCCAGGTCTTCTAGGTTCTTCACGTCGGTCCAGGATATCCCCAGTATTTGATAATTGTGTAATATTGTAAAAAAAGCATGTGTTTAAATAATGTAATCGCTTATCACATTCGTGTTGATTTTGTCACTTCCGAGGGGATGGGTGGTGTTGTAACCAGGTCATATTCTGTTTTAGTCCATCATTCCTATTCGGACAATTCGGATTTCATTTGATGGGATAAATTGCTTCTCATGATATTAGACTTTCATTGTGTTTTCTGAATTTTCTCTGTATTATTTCAGCATTGTCAGAATCAATTTTGTGACCTGATTCTCTAGCGTTAAGACAACCTATGCCTGATGGTTTTTTAAGCTTTTAAAGTTCAGCTGGATATCTCAATGATCGAACAGATATGCTTTGTGGTGTTGATTTCTTCTGATTTTGATTTCCCTCCGACTAGGTTTGTCCGGTGTATATCGCCTCAAATTCTAATCATTTTATTTTATA